AAAACGTAGGGGTTCGTTTCGTTCGTGTCGGGTCGGCAATCTATGTTTTATTTTTAGTGAATCACTAACAGGGTTTTCCAAAAATGTCAATAATTCTTACTTGACTGGTATTTTCCCAATATACCTATACCTATTACCTATGTCCTATATTTACGGTTCAAATAAATATTGTGAAAGAATTCATTTACCGTTTTTTTAGTAAAATATTGCAAGTAGATATATTACCTACCAAAGAGTATTCAAAATTCCTCAACTTTTAAAAATGAAAGACTTTAACAAACTTGAAATAGGCTTCAACAAGTTTCTATAACCTATAACAAAAAAAAAGATTACAGTGAGGTTACTATTATACGTATATTCAATATTCAAATATTCCAGTAAAATGTATTCACCCATAATTTATGGAAAATCTAACAGATCTTCCTAACTCCCGTAAATATTACTTTAGAGAGTTCAAGTTAAATATGATTTCTCATATAAACAACAATTCCAAAGGTGACTCGACAGCAACTCAATTCTGATCGCATGGTACTTCTAGAGAATCAAAATTAGAGTCAAATTATGCATTTTTGAACTTGTTGCAGTATAGTATAAGTGCTGCCATTGTAAGGCTTTTTAAAATTATTCTTTAATTTCATGAAATGAAAATGTTTTTTCACATGGTGGTGGTCGATGGTGCCAACTTTGTCGACAGGTACCTATTATTTAATTTAAATAATCTCGAGAATAATCTTATACATCGTGCTGAAAATGTCTGCCATAACAAGAGAAAAACGGTAGAAAAGGTTATATTTAGTTCCTTAATAGCATTTGATTAACGGACGTAACTTTTTAAAATACCGACCTTTGAAATTACATACTTTAATCGAAAAATTAACTAACAAGGAAAAAAAGAGTTGGGGACCTTCTTTATAATAAAAAGAACACCACAAATTGAATTTGGACACTAATTAAAATGTGTTTCTTTAGAGTAATTTGCAACCGTCGAAAAATCACACGGGAAACTTATCATACAGGAAACTGCAAAAAAGTTACGGGATTTCATTCATTGATCACCGTTCATCACAAACATCATTGGGAAAATTTCTAACGGTGGCAACATACAAAACGTTAGTAGTCAGAAGATATTATGAAGGAATTGAGGGGGGCGTTCGGTTCTAAAATGCATTACGTTTTTTTTTCCTTTAGGTGGTACTGGTACTCGGTTTATTTATATTCTCGCCCGGATGCCGGTTGCGGTGTGACGCACAATAATAATTAATGCAGGCCGTTTAGTTTATAAAGTAGGTAAACACGAATATTTTAATAAATGCATGAAAACATCTGCCCAATTAGCCAATTGAAATCGACGTATTCTCACGCCCACACGATCGAAGATAATTGATTTCGTTATAATTTCGAATGACTCATCAGTGTTTATCATCTCAGTAAGTCTGAATTCAGTGCTGTTCTCAACCATGGAGGTTGATATACACTGCTTGAAGAATTCTTCAAAAGCGAAGGTTATTCCACTAGAAGTAGTTATCATTGTTATTGACATTTCGCGTTACCATCACGACCATGCCTTTCAAAAATTCTAAAAATGAAGTAAATTCCCACGAGTGATAAACACTGTACCTTCAACTTCGTCAAACAAAGACTGATTCATGACTATTTTTAAATAAAAAGAAATAGTTTTGATAGCTTAATCACGTCCAGATAAATATAATTATTATAAGTGCGACTCAATTTATCATTACTGATGGTAAAAAAAGTGCGAGATCAATAATGAAATTGTTCCTTTGGCGGTTTAATTAAAATTTACAGCGTTGAATGAAGCCATTTTTGGATTGGGAACAGTCGAAGTAATGTGATTTTTTTAAAATACATATTGAAATGAGTTGCAAGTCGGAATGTTCAAGAATTATGGAAAGGCCAACTCCAAGATTATCGAAAATTAAAATTATTGAAAATTTGTTACAGTAGTAAAGTTGCGGTAATCCGAACTTCCGTGCAACCCGAGGTCCAAAAGAAAAAAAATTCAGAAATTGGTGCATGTGTAATTAAGCCAAATAAAATAATTATATAATGATCAAATGGTAAACAAGTATAAATTGCGCACAACCCTTGTGCAGATAAAGCGCATTTTTTTAAACCGAAATAGCTTTTGTTTTGACATCACCAATGGATATATTTCTTGCAGACGTTTCAATCGCCCTTTGTGAGTACCCTCTTCCGACAATCCGTTCTTGAGGTATAAGGGAATATACCCGATCATGATAAGAGGTCGAGGAGGAGAGCTATGGTGATTAGAAATTAATTCCTTTCGTTGAGACCTTTCATTAGAGTACCATACCGAAGTACCATGAAGGATAAATTCTTAAAAAATGCGCTAAAAAGAGGACCACAGCTCAATTTGGAAATTCCGATAAGAACCTAGGCAACCTCACTTTTTAGCGCATTTTAAGAATTAAAAAAAATTGTGCTATTTGCGTTTTGTCCGTCCGATGCTGTTATAAATTGGTTTGTACAAACTACAAGAAATATATCCATTGGTGATGTCAAAACAAAAGCTATTTCGGTTTAAAAAATGTGTTTTATCCGCACAAGAGTTGTGCACAATTTATACTTGTTTTTACATTATTTCATAATAATAAAATATAAATCCAATAAAATTGGAAATAAATTAATAAATTGCCTAGGCATCCAGTCGGTCATTCGTTAAAAAATCAAAGGGCACATCAAATTGAAATTATTCTTCGTTTAAATACGTAGCCTTTTGACTAGTTATCAAGATCATCCTGCTACATGTTACCATAATACGAATCGAAAACAAGTTCTTATCTTTCTGAGACATATAGATACCTACAATTTTCATGAGGCACACACGGTACTCGTACATAAACACAATATCACAATTAGGCAACATTATTGTTTAAACTTTTTGTATTTTTTAGGAACCCATATTTGAGCTAAACAACTTAAAATTTCAAATAGGATACACGGGTTGGGGCTCTTTTTTAAAAGATAAGACTTAGGTTGATTTGAAACCAAACCAAAAGCTTTTTCGTGAAAAGTTAAATAAAATCGCGAGACATGCAGTTATTTAGAGGCAGGAGTCCAAGACTTACGTTTAGGGATATTTTTCGAAAGAAAAAAATCTTATGTGATGGATTTGTCCGTCCGTCTGTCTGTCTCTCGTCTAACTGGGGAACGAATTCAAGGATCAGAATATGAGCCGGACGTGTTCTCGAATTAAACGAGGAACAGGCGGGCGGACAAAACCATCACGTAAGGGGAATTGCTTTCGAAAAATTCCCCTAAAAATGTTTAGGTACTGTAACGAAAATGAGGAAATTGCAAATATTGATACCTTTGTATTTTATAAATTTTGACAAATTATAAAATTACATCACATTATAAATATTAATACACTGTAAATCTGAGTGCATGCAAATTGCAAAATGACACAGTGTACATTTTGGTATTTCGACAAGTTACATGTAACGTTTTGGATCCTTTGTTTATTTGGACCCCCTTAACCACCTAATTTTTTACATAGATTTGTAGACTATATTTCACAAAAATGGGTGAATGAATCCAAAGGGAAGAATTGTTATGTAATGCGGGTGAAATTGTATGTGGAACCGCTTACTTCCATCATAAAATGCCGTTTTTGGGGAAATTTTTCAAAAGAATTCCCCTTATGTGAAGGTTTTATCTGGTCCTCGTCTAACTCGAGAAAGAAAAGACAGCGATGTCAAAACTTCGTCAATCGATTTCAGAGTCAAAAAATCCCTTACTGAAAATCGTATGCAATTCTTCCTATCTTGTTTAACCTACTGACTACTAATGGAGATCGATACACAGCAGTAATGTTCTAAAATTTTATGAGTGCAGGTCTTTGTTCATCACCTGTTTGGATTGTTTTAGCTTGAACAAAAGTGGGAGATGTAGTCGAGGATTGATAAACGCTTTTGCGGTTTTCAGATCGCCATTTCAACAGCGCAGTTACTCGTTGCATTAATCATAATTCATAATAATTGAATTAAACACATACGTTAGCAATTTTTCCCACTTTCGTACAGAAAAATGTGAATCTAAAATGCGTCAAATTCCAAGAAAGAACTGCCAACATTTTTGCAATGCACTGTAATTTTCGCAGACGAGTAGAAAAGAGAGAGAGGGAAGTATAGGGGGGGGGACAGTGCACACACATGTCGCGGCCGTTAAGTTAGGTGAAGGACCCAGACGAGCCGGATTTACACTGGAGAAGTGATTGTTCGGAAACGACCGTCCCGGATCGAAATCGGCGAGACATCCTATTGGTCGAGACGTCTGGGGTTTCCCACTTACTTTATTTTACGCCGGCTGTTTCTTTAGCTGGCACTGCAGCGTGGTCAGTTCGTCGCCGACTTCAAATCGTGGAGCATTGTTGGTTCGCGTGCAGTTTACCGTTTGAAGTGCACTACTGTACTTGCAATTTCAAGGATTAAGTGTGTGATTTCGTTAATTTAATAAATTATATTGCATGCGCTTTAAATATGTAGTGAAATAAATATCTTTCGGACTTGTGTTACTCGGAATGGCAGTATTTATGCCTTATCGGGTAGATAAGCATTTCCGGTATTCGTCCGGTCCTCTTCAAATTAAATTCGAATAGGTTCAAGGTTTCTAAACCGCCCGCCGTGTTTACGTCACGATCCTTGTACTCATTTTCTCGAGTGATACGATGGTATGGTCGTGGGGAATAAAGGAATGTGCAAGCAAGAATCGACACCGACATCGAACGGTAACTATTCTTCTGCGAATAGAGGGAGATTTTAATGGCCAGGGCTGTTGTGAATTGTGCTAGGCGGCGTATACGACGAGACCAGCCTGTTGCTATGCGGGCTACTTTAGTGCCTGGACTGTGTAACCAATCAGTCAGGTACCTGAAGTAGCGCGCGTAACGGCCGGCATTGCAGCAATTTCAATTGTTTCTTTTACGAGAACTCCATCTGTCACATGTCTATTGTACTTCATCAGGTGCTCTGGTATGTTTTTCCCGACACCTGTTGGAGTGCACTAATTATGTGGCTGCGCTCTTCTAGAAAATGCAATTTTTATGTTATTTTTAATGTGTCGTCAGTGTTTAAAAATATTGCGCAATATTGTGTAAATTTAGGTATTCTAAAGTTCCGAAAATCAATCGCATATATCAGCTGCTGGTGACGTACTATAGTTGTCACGACTTTCACTACTAAACTGGTTTTCAAAATTCCACTATTGACCGTTTTGAATGATGCGATTCCACAAAACGTGAATCATAAGAAAAGCACGGGTATGATTCATTCTTTGAAACTTCACTTTTCATCATGAGTAATAGAAATGGACCGCCATTGTATTTGGCTTTGAGTTTCAAAATGCCTTTAAAAATAAGACATGACTCCTTGTAAGTATTCATCAAATTAATTAGAGTTTAATCACTTATCACGCCATCTAGTTCAATGCACGCCCTGTTTGAACTGCATTAGTTCTTGACGTCATTATCAGCACGTTTTGTTTGTCCAGTGTCCTCATCTTTTGTTTTCTGGAGAGAACCCCAAACATTTTGTTCTTGCAGGAATTTTAAGTCAAGGTTATACAAAAGTTGGTGGTTCAGTTCTGAAGAATGTTAAGTTTTCGAGAAAAAAAAAACGTTTTTCTGTAAACACAAGTTCATAGCGCTTTTTGGCAATCGCGTTTAAAACTAATTTTGATGCAATTGTTTAAAAAACGCGCTCCGAATTTTTGTTTTATTTATATATGTACAAAGAAAACAATTGCGCGATACTTTGGGACTTCTGCAAAGCTTTGTATGAGATGCAGAAATCATCTGTTCAAAATTATTATACCATTGTTTTGTGTTATTTTATTTGAATTAATATAGCCAATGCTGGTAGCCTTGTAGTGCTATTAAGGAAAAAGGCAATGGATATTCGTGCAATGCCTACTAAAAACGTATTTAGCTTTAGTAATTATTTACGGGTAAAGGGTGTCGGATTGGTAACAGGCAACATAGTGTTTACGAATACATATTCAGGTTTAGAACTAAAATTCAAATTTTGTGACTGATTGAAAAAGATCCTATTTAATTAAAAAAAATTGCAAAGAGTAAATTATGGATATTATGGCTAACAAAGCGGATTTTACAAGGTTATCTGGGATTTGTTAAAATTAACAAGCTAGGTATTTCAGGAATTTCCAAGGATAGAATGTATGATTTTTTTTATAGGATGGAAATTTACGTGTGTCAATTCGGCACGTTTTGTACAATGGGTTTTGCAATTTTTACAGCTGTGATGCATTTGGTAAGTAAAATGTTTGTCATGTACGTCTTTCTTTGTCGCCGCTTAAATTTTACATCTTCTAGGCTGCTAGTGTTCTAACGTTTTTAAGTTTTAATTGTCACGAAAAAGGTAATAAAATTACTGAATATCATGGATTTTCGTCAGAGATTTGAGATTTATTGTTAGGAGACCTTTTGAAGTGTACCAGTGCCATGTGATACTTCCAACGCCATAAGCCCACCGATGATGGAAAGAGGGAAGAATGAAAACTCGTCTAATCTCCCACTGTTAAAGATCTTTAAATCCCATATAAAAGGAATGCAATTTTGACTGTTCGGTAAGTAAAACCCCCTTTTCAACGACCTCCCTGAAAATGAGGCTATTACGTATAATTTAGACGCATGATGTAGTACCCATTAAAAACACCCGTGCGTAATGAAACAAATTAGAATAGATCATGTACCTACGTTTGGAAATTTGCCTTATTTTCAATTCAAAATTCACGGAGGTCGTAGAAAAAGTGTGGTACTTAATTTTCGTATTACAGGTTCGTCGAATTGCCGCAGCAATTGTCAAACTAACACTTTGCATCTTTAGTACTTATACTGTTGGGAAGGCCCAATGAAGTATGTAGAATAATTTAATTACTTTTTTGATCAATAAACAAAACAACGCCATCGGGAATCGCAACAATCAAACTTTTTCCATTTTGGGATGGGTGTGTTTATAGTTTACCAGATTGTGGGGTTCTGCGATAGAACATTGTGAATATCCGTACTAATACATTCGTATCCGAGGAAGTAATATGGATTTGATGGATGTGTAGGCTGTACTGCCTCTAAGTTTATACGCTGAGCAATATAACATGCCATTAAGCGTAACAACACACTAGTCGATTTTCGCCGAACGGGCCGCCACCGCCGCTGGGGTTATACCTATATTACACGAAGTCATTTTTACGTTCCTATTAAGATTGTTCATTGCTTCCTCATTTGGGACAAAATAAAATAATACCCTTGTTTATTCATGAAAAACAACAGGTCCTTGTCGAAATCAATCTTATAATGATGTGACAGGTGACTGAATCGCTGGTCGTGTGCACTGTGCCCCGCCCCGCTGTTCAGCAGGCGCGGCTAAGCATCGCTGCGAAGTCGCCTAGTGTGAAGGGGCACAAATTTAATTATGTGCGACACATGCCCCCGGAGATATGTGCAGTTTTGCAGCTACTTCCACGGGTATTGCATCATATACTGCATGACAGAATTGCGCAAGTTGCATCATCTTTGTATTCCGTAAACATTTCGTTAGTTTTAACGAGTCTAAAATTAAATAAATAATAGTGTTGGCTTACAGGTCCCCACGCTGCGGAACTCAAAAACAAGTAAACTAGATGGAACTTACTTGAACAGTTGTCTACATATCCCAGGCGGTATCCATAGCACTGTGGTAAAGTTGCATTACAATACCCCGGCGATATGTAACGCATCAACAGCAAGTTATTGTTTTAAGCTACCGCAGTCAACGTGAGGCGTATTTTGGCAAAAGTTTAAATTACACCCCTACAAACTTCATCCAATGAGACTGTAGCAGTTGTAAACGAAATGTTTATTGGAAAACTGATATCGCGTCGGGGGGACATTCCGTGGTCTCGCCGGAGCCCTGATCTCACGCCACTGGAATTTTTTTCTGGGTGTATCTCAAGAGCCGCGTTTACGCTAATAAAGCGATGACGATTGCCCAGCTCAAAAACAACATTCGCGAGGAAATGTCCGCTATCCCACGAGCGATGTGCCAGCAAGTTTTCACGAATTTGAGGTCTAGATTCGAGGAGTGTGTACGTTTAGATGGCACACATCTCGGTGACGTTATTTTAAACAAATAAAATTCGTATGTGTTTACTTTTTTATTATAAATATAAATTTTCCTTCCTGAGATTTTTCCGTCTGTGTAGGTTTATAGGTTATGTAGGTATATTTGTATATAACAATATGCACCAGTTCACCACACTAATTACCTGTGCGCCGAAGCGCCCCCCTTTTTGGATAAGTACCTCCGCCGAAACGCCTCGTCCTCCGAAACGTCTCGCCGCCAGAACGCCTTCCCGCAGAAACATCGCGTACCGTGTAGGTCCGGATTTGGGCTGAGGCTTGTGACTATGATGACTATATTTTGGCGACCGAGTTATTGGGGGAAATTCGTATTTCGTGCAGAATGTTATGGTTGAAGAATGTAGATCTCTAGGTTGTGCCACAATTACCCCGCATAAGAAAGGTTCAAGAGAATTGGCGTCAACAAATTATTGAGGTCACGGACTGGACGTCGTCGACGAAAAATACCATTACCTATTACATATTTGTAATCATTGTATAAAACCCGAAATAAATAAAAAAGTTAGCACTCCGAAATAGTATATTAAGTATGGAGAACGGTAAGGGATTTTTACCGTTCGAAGACAATTGTTTGGAGGAGGAGCGGAGCGACGACTCCAATTATTGTCTGAGAACGGTAACCCTTAACGTTCGACGTGCTTATAACATTTTTTGCGCGATCGAAATTAAAATTATGCAACCAATATAAATATGCACTAAGAAATTAACGAGCAGAATAAATCGAAATGATCGAAGTGGTATGGTGTACATCACTAGGTAACCAGTTTAATGTCAAAATTGAAATTAATAATTTCATAAAAATGTGCATGTGTCTGATGTAGTTTACTAGCTTTGCACTTCCTTTATGACTTTATGAGCGTCTTGCTATAGGAAACAACAGCACAAATTGTACGTTTAATGTACCTAACAATAATTAAAGATTAAATGTAATGTAAGACTGTTGATTTTTAAAAAGGCGTCAGTAAGTATTTTTGCTGTTCTGTTTTTAGATCGGTAAGTAATTTTGGCGTCGTCGTAATCATAGCAACTGGTAAATTCTACGTACTGTCATGGAAACACCCATGGTAAATAGTCAGAAATGACCGATCGCGCAAAAATTATCTATAAGTATAACCATGATCGAAATTGTTACACAATTGTTTTTTTTTGCTATGAAGGTGTAATTTTTGTAGTTAATAATTAAATGTTTTATTCTTGATAATCGGGGAAAGCCCATTTGCGGTTTTGATGTATATATATTTAAATTGACAAGGAATAAAAGGGTAAAACTACCATCACTAAACTTGCAGTTTTATCAAGTTTTACATGGACTCTATTTGGTAGTTATTTCACGATTAAGAGTAATGTAAACAATCGATTACCAGAAAGAGCCAAAGGTAAGAATCTGTATATCAGAACCAGTGATTTTTTTAGTCTGTTTTTAGTTACTGCCAAGAAAATAATTTGTGATTAATAATTTACGCAAAGAATGTTGCTCCTTTGCATTTTGCGTTCATATCTTTTGGAGATCATTGTTACTATTTGAACCTGGTGGAGTCACTATTGTCGTGGCTACTGCATATTGATAGTTTGTATGACCGCCCAAACATCGTCACTAGCGGGTGCGGGGTATGTCCGACCAAGTTTTTGGTTTTTTGATTCGGTGTCGACAAGTGGGGTATGCATTGTTGTATGCATCGCTAGCAATCCTTATTCATATACAAACTCATGAATCGTGAGGCAGTACCTACAGAATGTACCTTTTCTGTTGACAATTCAACTCATGTATAAAAAATCGCATAAGCCGCAGTGAAATTGTCACTTTGACAGCGGCAAAAGTTACCTGCAACTTTTCCAGCGACAAATGCACTAGTGGTTTAATCACTTATTCATTTTCGAACCAATTATCACATTATCCTTTCCCATATGACGAGTTTGACGTCTGTCAATAATTGATTAGTTGGTGTTCGTTAAATTGTCCTGCCGAATTACACTCGAGGTTTGTATTTAAACCGAGTAAATTTGGGTTGTGGCAATTCAAATCTGTTTCCTTTTAGCAATTGGACTCGAAAAACTGTCAACCTAAAAATGCTCCACCTGCGGTGTCGCATTTTTATTAGTTGACAGTTTTTCTCGTCTAATTGCTAGGCAACAGATTTTCATTACCTAAACAACCCAAATTTACTCGGTAAAATACAAACCTCTTGTGCAATTATAAGTGACAATTCAACTCATGTATAAAAAATCGCATAAGCCGCAGTGCAATTGTCACTTTGACGGCGGCAAAAGTTACCTGCAACTTTTCCAGCGACAAATGCACTAGTGGTTTTTTCACTTATTCATTTTCGAACCAAATATCGTATTATCCTGTCCCATATGACTAGATGACGTCTGTCAATAATTGATTAGTTTGGTGAATTTCTTGTTCGTTAAATTGTCCTGCCGAATTACACTCGAGGTTTGTATTTAAACCGAGTAAATTTGTGTTGTTGCAATTCAAATCTGTTGCCTTTTAGCAATTGAACTCTAAAAACTGTCAACCTAAAAATGCTCCACCTTCGGTGTCGCATTTTTATTAGTTGACAGTTTTTCTCGTCTAATTGCTAGGCAACAGATTTTCATTACCTAAACAACCCAAATTTACTCGCTAAAATACAAACCTCTTGTGCAATTATAAGTGAAAAGTTCACACCATTGGCTAACTCACATCAGGCAGACGCCGGACGCAATTAACAAGTGAAGTTTGACGTTGTTTCCTAGACTAACTGCAGTGGTCAGTGAAAATCGGTGCTCCGGGACACGATGCGTCGGAAAAGGTCAACGTAACTAATATCCTTTCGTGAATATCATTAGCCGATATCTTGTAAAAATAGAAAAAAATATGTATACAGGCTCCTAACGTAGTGCAGGTCCGGATGACATTTTTCTGTGGGCGCCGATGACTATTTGAATTTCTTTAATTAAATTTAAGATTGACACTGCCATCTAGCGGTGACCTAAAAAAAGTTTTCTGCTGCGTTTGAGTGAGAAAAATTAATTTCGTGGTGAAGTGAATTCAATTGCACGCCCTTTCTTCCGATTTCTGCAATTTCCCAGGCTGAGATTAGCCACATGCCAGTACAATACGTAAAAAGGGACGAAAGTGGGGATCATGACTTTATATTTGTTTGAATCCACAAGGTCAAAAGATTGTGGAAATAATACGACGATGTATTATTATTAAATTGATGATGAATAATAATGGCGTTCTTATTTTATTATTACTTATTCCGCTTTTAAGGTACACTCATTTAAGTAAGGTGCGTTTGAAGTGCTTGGCTAAAAGTCTAATTTCAGTGTATCCTGTTACAACTATGACGAAAAGCCCAAACCGAACAATTCAACTGATTGGGATGTGATAGTCTTTACACAACGATGGCCTGTTACCATATGTTCGCAGTGGATGCAAGTGAACGCTAACAACTCCTGTTTTCTGCCTACCGATGGTAACATATGGACGGTGCACGGCATTTGGCCTACAAAATCGGGTACAAGAGGACCTTGGAATTGTAACACAAATCGATTTAATGAATCGTTAATAAAGGAGATTGAATCTGATTTGAAACAACGTTGGGTTAATATTGAGAATAATACGAAACCCCTGTCATTCTGGGAACATGAATGGCAAAAGCATGGCACATGTGCGCAAGTGTTACCTGTACTAAATACGGAATTGAAATACTTTAGCAAAGGATTAGAATGGAATCATATGTTTAATATACACAAGCTCCTGCTGAGTAGCAGTATAATACCCAGCCTCTCGGGGTATACAATTGAAAAAATTTACAGTTCCATTAGAAATGTGCTTAACCACAATCCTATCATGCAATGTGTCATCGATAAGCACACCAAAGAATCTCTGCTAAGTGAAATTCAACTGTGTTTCGATCGTGCACTTAACATGATGGACTGTGATTCAGTTAAAGAACTGTTCGATCAAGTTGTAAAAGTAGGTAGTGTTCTTACAGATTGTAGTTTAAAAAAGGTAGTCGTTTATCCTAGTAATGTTTTACCAACACACCCTCCTGATGTTGTAAGATCTGATGTGCGAGCAACAATTGATGATTTACTTGAAAATAGAAATTATTGGATAACAATTTATAAAACAGTTAAGTTTTTAATATGGGCTACAATTTAAATCAATGTTCACATTGTATCTAATTTGAAAATTTAAAATAAAATGTCTATTGTGTTTGTGAGTTTATTTATTTATCAAAATTTTTATAAATACCAATATCCTAGCAACTAGTTTAAAAATTTGTAGGTGCCTGACTAATAATTAGGTATCAAAATAATCATTTTAATCAACTAAATCGTTACTTACCCAATATTAGATTAAAATAACTAGGAAATATACCATACCTACCGAGTGATAATAAAACTACTATCCTGGAAATGTTTGTCGACAATAAGAATAAAAAATGTGCATATGCTAAACAAAACATATTCACTTTCGAGTTCTATATAGAGATACAAATTCTTTAAATTAATAGCTTGTTTCGCATTTTGCATTACGAAATTTATTTTTTAAACAAGATATGCAACTTTTAAGGCCGATTTATATAATCTTCAACGTAGTTAGTATATACAAAATGTTCTAAAATTACCTTATATTTAACTGGGAACATCGAACTGCAATTCCAACATCAAGTTTATAAATCGTCCATTCAAGCTCTTTCTCATGATTGTTGTTCATAATTATGAAAGCACTGTTTAGAACAAGACTACTACTTCTTTGATAAAAAGAAATTGACAGTTGCATACACAAATGTCGGGTCCATGTTCCAAGACTTATATACACACAGTAGGTACACCAGTAGTTATGTGCTTGAGAACAATAAACCAGTGATGTGGTGGAAATATTCGATGATTGGCCAAAAACTTAATTTCTAGGTTTTATGTAAGCAACTATTTAGCAGTTGGGGCTACAGATCTGTTGGAAAAGGTAATTTTGACACACAAATCGACCATTTCATTACAGTAAGTAGGACAGTAAACTTCGTTGGTTTAGTTTCTGTTGTCCTTCCAGGTTTAGTCAATTTCTGTTTTGAATAAAATGTGGATTATTCTACATTTATAATATACTTTTATTTTCATGTAAAACGTATATATAATAACAACTTGAAAAACTACAAACTTTAAACGGAATGTATAAGTTAATCCTTTTTTGATTTCGTTACATCAACCGTATCAATCCTATTTCCATCATTATCATACTCGGGATCGTGGTATGCGTAATAAGCATATGCAAGAATCACTAGGTTAACTGTAACGACGCTTGCAATTACTGACCATACTGTGTTAGCATATCCGTCAATACCAAATGAATCCTTTAAAACATACTTTGTGCCAAAAAATGCGGCAAAGGGTAAGGTGAACATTAAGAAACTGTAAAACAGCAACAAAGCTATGGCTTTTGCAGCTTGTCTTGTGTGTGCAGGAATGAGGGGCTCATTATCGTTTACTACTTCTCGATTGTCCATTGTCTAAAATTTCACAAGTATCGAACAATGTTATACATGAAAAGACCTACTGTAAATACTGCAACACCTTAATTTATGCAAATAATTTACAACATTTATATGAAACTAACATTTCTATGGTTTTTAGCTACTACCTAGTTAAATTTGAGGTTAGGCTTGGGAATAGACGAAAAATCAAATGACATTTTCATGACTACCAACTGTTAACACTAAGGACCAATTGCACCGTCAAAATTAAGTATCCCTTTAAAGTTAAGCATAACTTAAATACCATAGCAACGATTGTCTTAATAATCGTTGCCATAGATTTTAAGTTTGACTTAATTTTTAGCAAGGCTTAATTTTGTTGGTGCAACTGGGGCTAAGTCACTAACTTCTAGCCTTAGATCATAAGATTTCTAGCGCATTTCGGTGTTACTTCCCTTATATCGCCATCGGGTGAATATTTTAAAACCGAACATAGGCAATTGGCATGGAAAACCGTTTTTTGCAGATCGTTGCTCCCCATGTTAACATAGAGTGTATATAATGACTCCAATCAAAAGAAGATTTTTTGTCTCGTCTAATGGCCTAATCTCTGTACAGTCCAATCTACGCATGTGAAAGAAACGTCATATATGTTTGCAATTTGTTATTATTAAAATCTGCTGCACCAAAATTTCTCGGGAAAACACTTTTTCTTATTAATTTTGGTGCGTAGAATCCAAATCGATTCGTACTTTTTCGATTAGACTTCTCAATCAAAAGTGATGGACTATAAACCAATTTCGAAAGAAAATTCAAAGGGCTGTAACTTTTGATCTAGTAGTCCAATCTTGGAACTGTTGGAAATTATGGAATCTACAGGCCATATTCTATAAGAAAATGTTTTTTTTCCGGTCGATTTGAGACAATTTTTTTTTGGAACCTCAAAAAAGGCAGTGTACAAACCTTCCTTTTTTACCAAAAATCGACTGCACCAAAATTTCTCGGGAAAACACTTTTTCTTATTAATTTGGGTGCGTAGAATCCAAAACAATTCGTACTTTTTCGATCAAACTTCTCAATCAAAAGTTATAGACTAGAAATTTTTCTCTTAATAAATGTCACCAAAGTTTTGAAGGACTTTAATAATTATTAGAAGAGTTTCTTAGAAATTCAACAAAACTTCATTAAAACAATTTTGCAATCAATTAAGAAGACACCCATTATTACCTCGTCCTTGCTATGAATCAATCCCTTTTACTACAATTTAAAAAAAATACAAAGAAACGAGGAACACAAATATTTTAAAACTGAATAATTGCTTTTATTTTTTATGGATCAAAAAATCACACAAATCAAATAACAAATAAAATTATGATAAAACACGAATTAAATACAAGAATGGCATCATAAATTATTATTAACATGTTTAATAAGGAATGTTATAAAAGATGTAAAAATGATTGCGTTTTAAATAATATACAGCTAGAATTAAAATATTTAATGTCTTTATTTGGTGTCCATATTCATACGACAATAAAATGAACCTTAAGGCTAAATTATTTTCAATTAACTTAAAATATTTAATCATATTCTTGAGAAAAAATTCACGTATATACATATACTGTTTAGATATCTTTTTACAAAAAAATTGAAGCCTCCATCCAAGCTTCTAAATACATGTACAGACATCGAAGCCGTTTGTTAAAGGAATATCAGTTTGTGTCACAATAACATCAACAATCCGCAAATGGCACTGTAAGGCAAATACGTTACTTAGTTGAAAATAAGATTTCTTTATTAAAAATAAAATAACTACAGTTCGTCCGAGTTATGTTAGATAGTAATTCATTTTCAGCAAAAAAATTGCGATCGTATATAATTCCTCGACTATTTACATAGTATAATAATTGATTTACCAATATAAAATAACACCGGGTAAAAAATTGTTTTAACCTACACATTACAAAATGCCTTCATGCGTTACATTTAAATTTCTTAAGAGGTAATTCTTTGTAAGAAAGTGATTTGCACCATTCATGTTCTATCACGATATTTGCACTTTTATATATCAACTATTTATTTATTGCGAGTATTGGACGTCAACTTTGATACATCCCTCTACAACAAAAAAAACCACAACTAAAGCCGGAAAGTCTGAACATGAGACGATTGTGATACCTATAACTTGGTCTAATTACGCTAAAACTTATCTTGGAATAAAAATAAGTTATTAGTTGCCGCGACAGCGATGATATTCTCTGTGGGATGCCAAGCCGTATGCAAAATTTTCTTATTGAAATCTAAACAATCTACACTGATTTCGTCCTTTTTCCTTTTACCGCCGGTACAAACTTTACGTGGTTTAAGCACAGTTTTAGGTTTCGCGATATCGCGCGATGCCTCTAGGGTTACTTCGCGCTTTGTTGTCCTATCAAACATTCGGAAGAAATTATTGTAGGAACCAGTCATTATCGCCGAATCGTTGCCATTCCAACAACACTCAAACTTATCGAATATGCAATCGTTTTCGTACAACGAACACAACTTCGATCGAAGATACTCGTGCACCTGAAATCAAAATTACAAATTTTATTATACAGACACGGGTACAGATATTTTGTAATCTTAGACAAGTCTTTGTGTTCGATTAGGCCTCAGGAAGGTTTCGTTGATTAGCTATGGCACAATAAACCTCTGTTTCTATTCACTATTTAATAATGATTTTTGATATTGAACTATACTGTATTTATTTAAAGAACGTAGCAGTAGAAAGCATGAGAAGCTTCGACCTTCAGTGTGATTGGTTAAAACATGAGGCAGTATTACGCTGAAACATAAAACGAATGGCTGTTGCCATCTAAACTGTGTGTTAATAATGACAATTTCGCGATTACTTTTGTATAAAACATTTCTCGGACATTTTCATTATTCGGGTACAAGACGGTACAGTTTTAACAGTTCCACGGGACCAAATTAGACTGTCACAGAACGTATATCCCAGCACTTTTGAAATGATAATTGATATCGGTACAAATTTTCTTTCTAAACGAAAATGTAAATGATGAGTAACAGGCAAATATAGGCTTTAGCAATCGAAGGTAAGTCTATGTACTTCTGAGAATTGTACACATGTAATTAATTGCTTGTAACAGCTAAAAGCGATGAAGATTTCGAGACCGACGATTCATATGTAGATTCCCCATACTTGTCTTCTAGCTACAATTTGGATGCATCGCTCTTACAGGAAAAATATCAACAAAAGGAGAAGGTAAATCTGAAAACCAAAATAACAAAACCTTCTGCAAAAATAAAAAGCAACACCTGAAACTTCTGTGACTGAGGGTATCATACCTTAAGAGGAGGAGTTTTTCACCTGCCAATTTTACAATTGAAGAGTTTGAGGAAGGGAATCCTGAATCAGCTACAACTAACAATACAATGAACCAAGAGGACAGTTGGAATACACCAGAAGGAAACCATAAAGTATTTGATTACCACTCAGAAGCTTGTGTCTCCCCGGCATATGCTGCTGTTTTAGAGTGTTCCTGGATGGCAAGATTATCGATGAGATGGTAATACAAACAAATCATTATGCTACGCAGGTGTTAACAGATAAAGGAGTTGAGATTAGTAATCGGTTATAAATGGGTTCCGACAAAAGCTAGGTGCACGTTTCCCGATAGCGAAGGGGTGAATCAGATCGAGATTCATCGCAGAATGCCTGCTATGTAAGGTGACAACAGTTTCAGATGCACTACAGTCAAAATATAGCCGGCGCGGTTTTGGGAAGGACAATGCGCGACTAGGACAATCCAACGTGATTACGGAAGAGTGCATTGTTTGTGTGGATAAGGTTGTAAATCCCAATAGACACATCACAGAGGACGAGATTGCAACCATGGTTAACATGTCGCCGTACGATTTCCACGTTTCATGACTCACGGGGAATGTGTGTGATTCAAAAATGTTAAATTATTTTTCTGAGGCCACAATACAATCATGTCAATGCGCAAGACACGAATTTGATGCATTTTTGATAACTATAAAATGTATTTTGTAAGATTAAAATCGAGATTAAATTAAATTGCCGTTAAAAGTGACTGTAATACTGAGGATCCTTCGATATTTCATTGTATCGGTTTATTTTAGGACTATTGTAAATTCTCAAATTATATACAAGATTTCTGACGAAAATTTCAACATTACAAGATTTAGAAAAGAAATAGTTAGATCTTTGTTAAAAGAAAAAGATCCTGAAGAACAGAAAGACAATCAATATGACACACTGGGGGGTCCAGATGGTACACCAACAAGATCAACATCAAAGAAGGGATTAAGAGGGCATGCATTTTCAACGAAGGAAGAGAAGTTAAGGGACGATATTGCAAAGGGTGTTACAGATACAAACAGACCACAAAATGTGAGAAGAATAAAGTGACGAAACTAGCCACTTACTGTATGGACTGTGAGGGTCATACCGACTATTGTTTAGAATGTTTCAATAAATTATTATTCATAAGCTGAAAATTACCTCTTTATTAATAGGTATTTTCTTTATTTCCCCTTTACAGCAAAATCTACACACCCCATTTGAAAATTCACTTGATTCGTACGTTACAGGAGTTACATCTTGCTTATAATAATTCTGCCTGTGGCAGGTAAATACGGAGTTACACGCACCTACTTTCCAAAAGGGTTTTATTTTCCGGAAATAGGGGCATCTGGTAAAGATAATTAATTAACGGATGCAAAGTTTTGCCAAGATTGCAAAAAAATCAGTAAAATCCTACCTAACATAATGTTGTAAATTTAACTGGCGCCACAAAGTATGCGCAAATAAGATATGGAGTTATCAGTAAGCACAGGGTTATAAGCAATGTATTTATGCTACAAGAACAAATAAAAAATTAAAAAAACTTACCGGATACGTTTCGATTGGTTTGGTCTCCATATGCAGATCCCAAACTTTAACAGATAAATAGTCCCTAGAAATCATATATCTTCCCGAATTTGATAACTTAACGTCGGAAATACTGGAAATTATTTCGGAAAAAAAACTTCTATTTGTAGGATCCTCGGGCTCCTCGAACAATTTCGCGTGCCTATCACATAAAGCTGCTGATCGCATATCACATAACCTTATTGTGCCTTTGCTGCTACTGTAAACGAATAAATTACACTCGACCGGATGAAATTCTGCAGCCGTAATAACTTCGGTCAATTCCTCCATATTAGTCGGTTTAATATCAACTATATTAAAACTTTGATCCGTTATCTCTAAGTGCCACAAGTTTATTCGTAGGTCGTCCGCAGAAAGATAAGTCTCTTGATCCGAGTTAACCGAAATGGAATTTATGTGGTAGGTGTGCGCGTTGGCAAATATTCGTCTAGGCGAGGCTTCGATCATTAGTTCCATGGGCTTAATGATTGGCACTCGTAAAGAGCAAAAGTTATCGCGATCGACAACCGATCCGTTTTCTAACCTAGTATTGTAGCCCTCCACTTTTTTATCTCTTTCCGATACCTTCCATAACTTTATTGTTTTATCGTTTGTCGAGAGAAGGAAGTGTGCTTGGTTTTTCCGCCTTAACCATCTAATTTTATTAATTTTTTCCTCTATTTCTAAACTTTTGAGGTAGTCAAACTCCGGTTCGTGAGATTGAAATGTGGAATAAACGTTATACTCTCCTCTCCTTGGTAGACATGCCTTCGATGCGGGATCCCTTTGGAAAATAACGACCCGGCCGCCCTTGTCACCAGTTGCCAGAAGTTCTCCATCGTGATTAAATTCGACACACGAAATAATATCGGCTTCGGTTACATCATCGTCCAGAGTTCCTTTCACCTGCGAGAAGCTCCATTGGATATCACCATTACCTAAACAAAGAAAAACAATTGCGGATGAGTTGATTAAGTAGTAATTGTGGGTGGGTGGTGAGTTTTCCCTCCAAGATCCAAGGGGAGGTAATTCGTACGCGTGTCTTACGAGGGCTTTCACACAAAAGTGAAATTTAAAAGGGGTAATAGCATTTCATTTACCTTCCATTATAATTATAAAAAACTTGAAAAATCAGAGCAGCAGCATAATTCCGAAAGACTGATTGAGGTCAGGGCTGACGACGAAAGGTGCTGCAAACGGCCATTACGCGTCAAAAGAAATACTGTTAAAAATCATTCCTCCGTGCGTAGGTTATTCTCTTTAAAACACCACATTAACGTAAAAAATTGAGCAGTTATTTTGATAAAATTCTCAAAAACGTATAACAATGGCTGCCTCACGAGGGTTCGCTCGCACTACAATTTGCCGTATGTGACGTCACCGCAAAGCAAAGCGAAGAACGCCGCATATCGACAGAGCCGGAATCAGGCGAGCTTGTTTGAAATCGCTGTAAGATGTCAGCATTTGATTTAAAATTTTCGAGTCGCTCAAAATGTCTCTTCTAACTTCGGACATTATCATACATATACAAAACGACCTTCAGATTCAAGGACTATTATAATCCTTCATGTCTAATCGATTAGTTTATTAATAGATTAGGCGGCCTTTCACACACACAATTATGTTTCAATTGCTTATAGAGACATGTGTAAATCAATTTAGGCGCTACTCTCCTCTGAATTAACTGTGTAGGTATTTATATTTTGAAATCAATCCACCAACCTTGTCGTAACTTGAACCTTCATATTAAAAAATCAGCCCGTTGAATGTACGTAAATTTGTCTGTTGCCGCATATAAGCGCACTAATAAGACCACGCACTTTCGATAAAAAAACCGAAAATTTATTGTTTACTAAAAAATTGCTGTTGCACTTTCACAATATCATTCATTTTTAACCAAAATGAAAAAAAACTGCTGTGTATGAAATATGTGAAAGGTATTTTAATTCTTTTGATATTCATTATGTATTTGAAATCAACTTTGTGAACTTTGTCAAAACTTATGATAATCGAATTTTCACCAACGTATAGAATAGATAAAGGAAGAATGACTTTCATTTGGTACACATAAAAGCAATAGGTTACGGGTAAACCTAGTAAGTATGAAAATTCATTTCGTGTTACGATTTCTTTTTTTACTTTCGCATTTATATACAGGGTCTTAAAAACATAAGTCGGCATTATTGCTAAATTCGTTATTATAAGAAACAAGGGCCCTTAAATTAGACTTGTTTTTTCGCCGATTATATTCCTACAATCGTGTTCCATTTGAATAGTTATTTATATAACAAGAGCGCGAAGTTCAATTTCGCGCATTGAGACTGAAGGTATTTTGACGAGGCGAAGCCGAGTTAAAATATCAGTCAAATGCGCGAAATAACTTCGCGCTAGCGTTATATACAATATTTTTTCTACAACTGAACCGATTGTTAATTAAATTGCTGTTTAAGTTCAACTTTGTCCCGTGCGCGAAATACTTTTTTTCACTGTTGACGATTTCGCGCACGTTGTCAAGAGCAACCTTACTTATTAATTAACCGATTAAAAATCTAGTACTTCGCGTTTCGAAATCCGTCAGAAAATGACAGGTTTTTTTGACAGTTGTAGAAAAAAGTCATTTTTGTCGATATTTTCAGAATGCGAGTGTCAATTGTTTTTCTGTTTTTACAATATTGTAATCAGCGTAAAAAGCACACTATTTCTCTAAATTTAACCGACCTTGTTTGTATCTCTTATAACAAAGTTCGCAATAGTGCCCATAGCCCTATACCTATACAAGTATACATACACAGAAGCGGAAAATTTAATTGAAATACATAATTCAATCTAGCAGTAAATTCCATTAAAAAATTGCAAGTAATAATTAGCTGCGCACACTACATAGTGCTCTTTGGAAAATTAAAAGTTCTTAAGCATATAAGTACTTTTGTTAAAACTTCTAAAACGTGCTGCTAATAAACCAAACGACGTCTTTTTTTGTACAACGAAGTCCACTCGAATGCTCCACCATTAGACATTCTACCCTATTTACCGACATAAATCTATCAAATTCAGGATATCAAAATATTACTTATTATGTAAGCATTGAACAAGATTTGCAAAGAGAATCCTATTGAATAAAATTTGTTATGGTCCAATTCTGGTTACACATACTATTAAGTTTACTAGTATTTTCCGTTTTTCGGTAATAGTGGAATATACAAGTACCTATCTAAATAAAGAAAGACCGTGTGTCTCAAGGAAAGAAGTAAGAGAAAATCTGTACCTACCTGAACCTTTTTTAGTAGCTTGTACGGCGTTGTTAATAAATCCGCCAAGTTTACCGAGCCGCATTCCCGGTGATCCGGGTTTCGCCAACCCACGTTGGCCCGCAACTGGAGACGCCCATAGGCCGATAACGCCCGCGTGTCGAATCGTGCTTCCAATGTTCCGGGTATCCTGAAAGTCAAGAACCGAAGGCACATCATCGAAGTGCATAATAATTATATGCAAAAGAAAATTAAAAAAATGTCATTAACCCAGTACATCATTTGACAGCTATGGTAAGTAATAGCTGCCATCGTCATGGTAGTACATACGTCGATAAGCCATGGAATTATGTAGAGAGTTAGAGACTCATATTATTAGGGGGGGAGGGCGAACCATCCCGTGCGAAATCACACTTGGTTATTTGAAATGGGACAGTTAAGTATTAATTTTCTTAAACCTACCTTAAATTTGGACGAAATTTTATTTAAAAAATGTTACCATAAGTTTAAAGCAAAATGGTTTTTGAATTATTTAAGGTTTTTTGTACCTATTTAACAATAATGTACATTTTCACACCGTAAAAAAGCTTTTCGTTTGTAATGCAAGCAGAAAAAGGCCCATTATTACTTTATCTAAAATGTGACAACTGTTTAAAAAACACTAGATATACGAGGGAAATTCATTAAAAATAAATTACTGTGGGAGAAGCTGAAAATAGCAGAGAGCCATTTTCCTTTGATTATCATTGTTATTGGGTGACACTGCGACAATCCCAATCCAGTTTCAACTTTCATGATAACGCAAGTGACAAGTTTCCATGCGCGTGTCCAATAAATGGTAATCGTGCTCGAAGAGTGTACTGTGGCAGAGCAGCGTGTAACATTTTATTCAGTAGTCGTTGGGCCATTAATTGATAAATGATAAAGCGAGAGGATTAGTGTATTAATGCAGGTGAAAAGTAAAACTTGCTTTTCGCTAACCATTCCCAAATTTTCTAATTAAGTGACTAAATGTATAATGCATTTCTATGACCAACTGATTTTCCCTCGCACAGAGTTCTCAGACATCGGTCACAGTTCAGTCCTAGGTTCAGTCCGTAAAATACAACATTAGATTTTGTAGAATCTCCCTTCTTTCGTCACCAGTGACATAGTTAAAAAAGTGTAAACAACTCAGATTTAAAAGATCAATAAAATAACTGAAAATATTTTAAGTGAAACGAATTTTCTTTAAATAACCCCAAATCTCGAATGTCTCGCATAATAATCAATTCAGATCTTAGTTGGGCACCCTGTATAGGTATTCCAATCTGTGTGAAAAAACAATATTAGCACGACGCTAATTATATTTACCTTTTTTAAGGTAACAGTGTAGCTAATTAACTGTTCGGTTGAAGCAAGTTGAAACCGCTTCAGACCGACACGATTTGCGCCTTGTTCTTTAAAATGTGCATATTCCCAATCTCAACCCGCAATTAATTATTTAATTATAGGTTTACCTCACGTTGGTAAAGCGTTGCTCCTGGTGACGTTAAACAAGGCCTACCGATTTCGATGCTCATGCCTTAATTAGCGCCCAACGTCGATCGGAGTGACTGCAAATAAAATAAATGGTTAATTTGTTTTAATAGCGAAGGTCTAATTATGTTTTCATGCCGCAAGAACTCCCCAAGTGACATACATAATTAAAAGTTGAATGGTGCATCTATTCAATTGGTAAGGAGATCTCGACACAATGGAGAGGGCAGAATTACCCCTCTTTTTACACACGCACACATTTTCTTGAAATTTTTTGTGTCGTTTTAAAGGGGATGAAGTTGACTTTATTTTTAAATTCCAGATTATAATCATTAATTACATTAATATTCCATTAATTATACTAACTCGAAATCGGTCCTTTCCGGGATAGCTAACGTAGGTAATTGGCAATTTAGCGGGCAGCACCAAAAGAATCAAATGTAAATCAACACAACTTTCATTTGCACGAGTGTTCGGAAATGAAGCAGCGTAGATGCGACGGAAAACTGAACTTGAACCAACTACATTTTGTTGCCAGTAAAATTTGGTGCGGTGTGTACGCCAAGTCAATATTAATACTCCATTGTGCTAAAAAATATTGCACCAAAGGCCATTACAAACAAAGAGGTCTCTTATATAGAAGTTCGTAAAAATTTTATAAGGCCAGATAAAAAGCACCGATACTTTTATTGCACATTTCGGCATCACTTACAGTCTTCTCCTCCACGCGCGAAAGCTGAGAAACACTCTAAACAGAACTAGATAAGTAAGTTGTGTAATAGAAACGTTCCATGACGATGACGTCCAACACAACTAGGAACGTTATCCGATACGGTTCCGCAAATTGAAAGGTATTATTGTTACGTCAATCCTGTACCTAAGGATATCTTGAGATTATTGCTGGCGCCACTAGTTAAGTTAGACGTTATTAGATGACATGAGTTTCATTACGTTTTATTTACCACGATGAACGTCCTTTAATTTGCGTTGTTAATTTAATCACGACCATCAGAAGAATGCAACCGGATCCCGTTATACAATTTTTCAAATAAACCTCAAAATTGTGCCAAATTGCCGATCAGCAAATTTACAAATAACAAAACACAGGCTGTTTCACGCAAAGCGTGAAAATTTGCATGACAACATATTTTTTTTTATCCATCGAAAGAAAATATTATCATGATCGTTTCACTTCCAGTTTTATCTGATGTGGATAGTAACTTTCTGATAAAACACCCTGTATTTTATTACATTTTCAAAATCTACATGAAAATCTATACGTCGTTTGATATACCACACCGCCGCTGTGTTTTGATACGTCAAAGCACAATCTCAGAAAATTATCAACAAACGTGAAACGAGAGGATGATCCGTTCGACAAAGAATTACAACCCGTCTAGCACACACGCACATACAATACCTACATCTATGCCAAAACATAAGGGGAAGTAGTTCAGAGTCGCATTACGAAGTACTTAGATCTGGATCAAAAGTTGCTTTATGCGAAGTAATAGACAACACATTTTTGTTTTAATTTCTAAAAAATCGGAAACGTCGTTTTTAGTTCCGATGGTAAAAGTTTTACCAATGATTCAAGAAATTGTCGCTGTATTTTACTACATCTCTCGTGCCATGATTGGGTGTATAAAAGATTTTGTAACATAAAGAGTAGAACAGTTTGCCTACATTGTTTGCAAAAGTAATTATTTATAATGAGCAAACATTGACGTGCAAGAGAAACGGCTGCACGAGTATGAAATTACAATTAACGTAAATTCGTCCTGCCATAAAGGCGTCACATATTACAGTATCGATCGACGAAAAGTATTTTTCCCGCACGGCGGTAAAATCCTCATGGGAAATTTGTGGATAGCGACGAGGCCTGTAATTACATCCGAAGGAAATCTGTTGATTGTGACATCACAAGTTCTTTGTTAGGAACACAATTAGGGGATGATTGTTAATATTACTAGAATTATTCACGAGCTTCATAAAAAAACTATTATAAGTAGATAATGTAATCGAATTCGTTCCTCAGCTATTCATTACGTTCATTCTCCACCACTTCCATTGAACGTCCAATGTCGATCGGTTCGCAACATTACTCAATCCGAAATAGTACATTATATATCAAGATTCAAGGTGGAGACTGAGCACCAAGATTACATCTCGAGGCGCTTGCACCGAAGGGTGTAGGTACCTAAGGTGCAAAGGCATACACTTCTCTACCGTGGTAAAAGTATATACTATTTTTTTCACGACTATAGTACTTGAAGTCCTCTAAATTAACATATTATATTGATACGAAAGTGAAGGGTTGGAGAGAATTTCTTCATGTCAATCAAGTGCGTGGTAGTACAAGTCAAACAGGCCATATTTTGCGAGCCGGTCGTCAGACGTCGCAACTTGTTTAGTCTAAGTTTACCTTCATTTATCTCATTAGTTCGTATAATAGTATTATTTACACTTCCGCTTGATACTTGATACTTTGAGCTCGACTTTAACATTCTGCTAAATAAATCATACGACCAAATACTGTTCCCTCCCCTTGCTTAAGGTCAAATACTTTACAAACCAACAATAACAAATCCTAGGACTGCCTACGTCACTTTTGTATAAGTAACAAATATAGTATTATTGATCGGTGGTTGGTTACTGTAACAAATCATCTCTTATTTTCTAATTACATTAATTTGGTTCGGCCGATAGCAGATTACCTATATTCAACGTCGACGAACGATGATCAGCTTTGAGTTATGGTAATTTGGAAAGTACAGCGGCCGGGATTCAAGAAAACTGTCGCGGCGTCGAGGCGCTGTATCACCTCCTTGACGAGAGATCTAACAAACTATTGACGGCCGATGACCGTGTGCTCAAAATGCACTTTCTTGTAACTAGGGTAAGGTTGTTATCGAATACCGAGTCGAATACGTAGTGCCAATATTAATACTTAACTCATATATAAACGACGATTGTAACAAACAGCGAGGAGCATGACCACGTTTAGTGGAAATTGTTCACCCCAGTTAACATCGCAGCATCCTTCTTTACAGATCTTGGTAAAAAAGAATTGACCTCGGCACTTCTTAGTAAGTACATTCTATATCAATGCCAATTAACCATTCATTACGTTTTCACCTTACGGTATTCAGATAGTGTTCATATCAAAAATGTGTGGGAAATTTGAAATTCTACAGTCTAGCTCTAGACAGTTGAATGTTGTTGTTTAAAGTACCTTATTAAAGTTCAATATTTTAACAGTTAATTAACATCACAATTTAATGGACTGTAAAAGAGAAATAGGTAAGACTTCATACGTCTCAATTCGTCAACCCTAACCTTTACATTTTTTAAGCAAAGAAAAAGTGGCACTAAATAGAAAAATTCGTTAAGCCGCTTGTGAGCAAGAGGCGAGGAGTGCACTATCAAATTTGTTTTTTTTTTCAATGTTAATAGCCCTTATGGACATTTCATGAGAATACAAACATGAAATAATTTTTAATTTCTGATCGAATAGACACCAATACCAAGTCTGTAGGTAAGTGGTGTAGTTCCGGAGCTTTTGTGACTCGGACAGATATCAATAGCGAAAAAAGTGCACTTTTTATTTTTTGAAAGTGAAAGTGCACTTAAATAATATTGATTTATTTTTTACTCGTAGATTTTATACATCGACCTGTTTCATACGGCGCAGGGCACTAAGCAGAGCGGTACGTTTATTATTTACTAAAGTATAATCTCATTATAGTCATTTCATTACACTCTTTACGAACTAGCAAGTTTGATAAGTCTTAACATAATTACACGAACCAAATTAACGTTTGAAATCTAATAAAAAGAGGGCACACGGACCACGGTGAAAACCACAAAACATAGGTTCAAGTTGTTTTACTTTTAAAAGTAGATACACAACGTACAAACGTACGCATTTTCAAATATCTCCCACATATTAAAAACTTAAAATGAAGTTATAAAGAAATGAGGGGAGGGGGGCCAGTGCCCGAAAAGTGTTTTGCTCTCAACAATCTGTTCTCAAACCAACAAAGCATAGTAAATTATACCATATCTACGTGTTTTTCCCCGTAGTGCCTTAGACCTCTTTTTAAGCTATCTAAATTCCACGTGTGTCCTAAACTTCCTACGATAATAATAAAAGTCTCGCGAGATTATGTCAATGCATTCCCATTTCTATTTTATTACGAAAATTTGAATTATGAATAAAACCTAAAGTAATCAATGCCAACAAGCTTCCTAATTCAATTTGAAAATCTATAAGAAGAAAAATGAAGCTAAATGTTCAAGTGACGTTTGCATGCTTGCGTATATACTTTATAACACTCCGCAAACTCATAAAGAATCAATATATAATAATTCGCAAATGCAGCTTGGGACCTTCGCTTATAATATTACACATTGACGAGTAGTCGACATATAGACAGCTTACAGTTCGCGCGACGTCTAATGGGTCGTAGCTATCGTAAATTCGAGTAGCGGGACAAAAAGTAGAATAGCTGATGTTTTCCAAATAAGAGGAAAGTTCGATGGTCGAATTTGAGTGTGCGGTTGCATTGCATAAGAGCCAATAAATCACGTACGCCTTACAATGGTCGTCATCTGGTGAACCAGACACCATTAACCAAAACGTTTCGCATTGGTTTATGTCCACTACGTCAATAACTGCCAGACATCGAGTAAAATTATACTCGATATCCTGGACGTTGTGATCTAACCAGAGTTCTTTCCCTCTCGCGCAGTTATAAGACCGAATTTCGGGGTGATCGTATTTGAAATGTTGGACAAATGAAGATATAGTGACCATTTTTCGACAGAAACCGTGAGGGCAAATTATTGGTTTCTTAGACAGACTAAACTCCGACGGCGAACTTTGGGGAATTGTGCCGATCGAACAGCTTCTACCTAAATCGGCACAAAGATCTCCCCTCTCCAGTTTAATATGGCACGGTAACACCTTGGAATTGTTTCTCTTCTTCCCAAATAACTGTTGGATTTGGAACCGGTCCAGCTGAAAAAGTTTTTCCATCGTGATATCGTTGCTCGCGCTTGTATCTGCAGATGATGACTCAACCGAATGCCGATTGTAGTATCTCCTACTGCGACCAATTCCGGGCTTAACTCGTAATTTGCGTAAGAAATCTAAACAGATAACATGCTTCGTCAAGTCCAAACTGTAGCACTTCCCACACTTCGGAAGGAGACCTACAACACTGGCACTAGGTCTATAACGAACCACCAAAGCTTACCACTCTCTTTGAGTATCTTCTCGCAATTATTACACATGAAGTGCCCCATATCGCATTTATAAATTGGCGACTCATCTGGAACTTTTTCGCAGACGGTGCACATCATCATTGTCAACCAATGTTCGGAAGAGCTGACCTTAACCAAATCGGTGCTCATTATTTCAGTTTAAATACAATAAATTTGGAGAGAAAATATGCGAATTTAATTTATGACATTAACACAATAATTTGACTGATTTGAAACGACTTGATTACCGAATTTCGACGATCCGTGCCCGAAATATTGACCTTGTCCAGAACAGAAGGAGCGAATTTAGAGAGAGATTTAAGGGATGTTTAGTAACACAGAAAACCGGACTATGTTCTTTGTAACAAGAATTATAAAAAAAAAACTTTTTTGGAGGTTTGTGTTTTGGAGTCTGTACGCACTTCTTGTCAACAGCGACACCAAATTGACAACTAAATTGCATAAACACAAATCAACAAATCAGATTTTTGTACAAAAGATCAAGTTTAGTCAAGATGACAAATATCGTTATCAGTTACCCACGGAACCATCCTATGTATTTGACACCACAGAATAGGACCTGACACTTTGCATACATCATCACAAAAATTTTTTTCAACTGAGAAACGAATCTTAACAGACATAATTCCGGAAAACAAGAAGGCTCTCTCAGATTATCACTTTCATGATCACTTCAACGGTCCTACTAATATACTATCATAGACGAAAGTTAAGAAGCCGAAGCCTTAAATTTTAATTGGGTCTCGAGAGGACGATTCTTCGAAGTGCATTTTTAAGATTAAATTTGAGTACCTAGATGCCAAATTATTTTGCAGCATAAACGTTAATTACGTACGCACTATCATATACAATGGTAGTATCTGAATGAAAATCGTAACCAGGTATTTACGTTTAGCGCACTATTTGATAGGTTTTTTTTACGTGCATAACCTTTTGGTAATTAAGACATTGAAGAAAAAAACTTACCTTTAAGGGGTTGAATTTTGTGGAAAACCAAAACAAAAAGTCATGATACGCGACTATAATAAATCTTGTAAGTAAAATCACATTCACACGTCAAAACAAGCACAATTAACACCACAACAAGCTAAGAAGTTCTGCTGCATATCAAATCAACAGGTTTAAAGCGCAGCACAGCAAGAGAGGCGACGTCTTACGTCATTTTTGTGCAACTGAAATGCACAAACCATTGCATGTATAGAAGCTGTCGGATTTATTTTTTTACCTTACGTTCGCCCAAATGAAACAACAACACATAGAAAAGTCGATACGAACTCAACGACGTGGAAGGACATACAATAACAATATTGGCCAATCACAATGTCAATACTTCCTTCTATTAAATTTCAAATTACTTTCACTGCATGTCATTTCTCCCAAACCAAACATTAGTATAAATATTGACCGGCTGGTATAAGCAACCGGTTGTTTGTGACCTTAGATTAGGAAAGTTCACAGACCATGGGAAAGTTTACTTAAAAGTTTTGAGGTTAGGTGTGAAACAGCCGAAATGCCCTCTTGGACACAAATACAGTCCCAGATGAAAAATCCTTCTAATCCCGTCGTATTTTTCGACGTGTCAGTGGGAACCACAGTAGGTATTCTGTATTTGAATAAGCAAAGTGAAGTCAACCGCTTTTAGGAAATTGGTCGAATGATCTTTGAATTGTATGCTGATGTTGTTCCTAAAACTAGCGAGAATTTTCGTCAGTTTTGCACGGGTGAATATAGAAGAGATGGGGTGCCAACTGGATATAAAGGTGCTAGCTTTCATCGTGTAATCAAAGACTTTATGATACAAGGAGGAGATTTCGTTAATGTAAGTGACATTTGATGGACTTTTATTAGATAGTACAGATATATTTCTAGGGTGACGGGACGGGAGTCATGAGTATTTACGGTGGAGCAACATTTGCAGATGAGAATTTTAATTTAAAGCACGATGCACCTGGTCTTCTTTCTATGGCAAATAGTGGCAAAGACACAAATGGCTGCCAGTTCTTTATCACTTGTGCAAAGTGTAATTTTCTTGATGGCAAACATGTTGTATTTGGGAGAGTGATTGATGGACTGTTGGTAATGCGAAAAGTAGAAAATGTACCTACCGGTCCCAACAATAAACCTAAAATTCCTGTTAATATTATACAATCAGGGCAAATGTAGGTTATTAGAATAAGTACTGTAGATATGTTTTTACACAGTAAATAAATTCAAATTTTTATACTTTACCAATATCGGTAAAAATCTGAGTCTTTTGTGGTAAGTGATGTTCCACTGTAGTTGTAGAAACCAACTGCAAATCGAATGAAAGTATTACCTACTAAAAATGAATGTAATGAATCAGATTTCAATGAAATTTTATTGACAAACCCCAAAACACCTTAGTAAAAAATAATTTAAGTGGACAATGCTGATTACGTAGTAGATTGCTAGATTTTTACACAGATTAATCGTTTAATGTAAAAAATAAAACAAATATCTCACTTATTAAATAACTTACTAAGGTGTTTTGGGGTTTGTCGACTCCTTTTGAGCTGTACTTCCGCCCCTTAAAAGGATACAGACAAGACTGTAAACACCCTGTACCTATATGTCACTATTTTTATTTAATATTCTGTTAATATAACATTGATAATTTGCATTCCTCGAGTGTGTTTCACATTAAGTCTGCAGTGTGATCATTGTAACATTAACTAAAGGTATAGTCTATACAGTACGAATATCCGTACAAAACTTTTAGTGGTCTAAACAGCACATGACACTGGACTAAGCTATTTTGACTGAATGAGTTAAAGTTTGTAATTTTTGCTTTAAAGCGACGATCCTATTGTGAGACGCTCAGCCAGTGAAAGAGTATATCTGACCAATACGTGTAGTGAGTGTGTGGTGTGTTCAAACAAGCATGGTGTGGCGGCTCAGTAATGGTACGGGAATGTTTTAAGGCTACTTATTAAAGAAACACTACTCCAACAATGACCCAAAACACATATCGAAACTCTAAAATCCCAACAAAAAACGAGCACAAGAGCTTTCAATGATGATATTGGGAGCTTTAAAGGTTCACTCCAACCATTGCGGAAATGCGGGATATATTTTTACGCTAGGATATGCATGCGAACCGCCGCATCGATGTATACATACTTACGTATCCCACTATACAAATATATTCCGAGGCGGTTTGGGTGGACCTTATAGTTATAAATAGTTTTTAAAAAGTGTTGCACTTTTTGGCGTAAATTGAACACAATTACGCAGAGATAATTAATGAAAACCTCCTACAGCCAAAAAATTGGTAAATTATTTTTATTAGAAACATTTTGTAGTTGCCTTCTGTTAAAGAAACAAACGAGTTTTTTTAGTAAATTGACTGATGGGCTTACAATTTTGATATGGGAGCTACAAACTTTGAGTGCAATGTGGAAGAACTGTACAGATGGATTGACGGATACAGCTTCAGTAGACAGAAACGGAATATATCTAGGGACTTTTCCGATGCTAGTGAGCGATACACTTAACTTATTTGTGCCAATGTTAATGCTACAGTTTCCAGTACCTTTAGCGGAGATTTTAAAACACCATTATCCGAAATTAGTCGAGTTGCATAATTACACGCCCAAAAATTCGATGACCCAGAAATTAATAAACTGGCAGACTTTGAACCGAAAAGTTCTGAGTAAGTTGGAGTTGACGCTTACAAATGACGTGATGCAGGAATTAGCACATTCCGTACCCGGAGCAATTGAAAAACTTCTCGTCAGTGTAAAAGAACGAGTCGAACGGGTGGCAGAAAAACAGCAACATCACCACAATATTAGTTGCATAGAAGGACTGTCAGGTGTGTGCGTTTTCTTATTGCCGTAATTGCATTAGTTTCTAAGGTTCCATCATTCCAATTCGACAAAGGAATAGTACAAAGATGGTCGACCATAAAGTGATACCAGTCGATAGTTTCCAGAGTATGGAGCAACAATTAGAAGAGAAGAGCGAAATAATAAACGGACTAACTCAAAAGGTAGCGCACATTTTATTTTGCATATCAAAAATTTTTCTTTCAGGTTCAACACCTGGAATCTCTCTTAGATATTAAGGATGAGCGTATTAACGATCTAACCAAGCAAATTCAACAAATTTCTGGTAACAGAAGCAGTTCTTCTCTACCTATCATTAAAGGAGGAGGGTCTACATTTTTTAGTAAATTATTTTAAAGTACCTATCTAATAAATGTATTCGTGTATATAGTCAACTATTCTTTTGTCGCTCATTATACTGAAATGAATGTTTCTTATTCATTAATTGAGGTAGATTTTTTACGAAATGTTTAAAGAAAACCAGAAAATTCCGATTACTTCCAAAGATATGCCCGAAAAATCGAAATTTAGCTGATTTTGTTTTTTTCTAATGTTATTTGAACAGATACAAAAATAAAAACCAGGTTGTGATTCTCACTTTCTGAGCTCTACAAGATTCTGTTGAGAAATTTTCAATACAATAACGCTGCTTTTTGGATTACATAAAAAACAAGTTGTAAAACTGTTGGTTTTAACAGGATGGTGTATCCGACCACAACGTCCCAATATCATGCGAGAATACTTACAGACATATTTTCCAGGAAATCTGTCCGATAGGTGTTCTCACACAACAATTGGGGCGTTGTGCGGGGGTGCACCACCCTGTTGAAACCAACAGTTTCCCACTTTTGTTTTTTTTTTGTGTGCTGTATATTCTTGTATACGCAATAAAAAATGTATGTACTTCTTTTATGGGAAAATATAATTCATGATGATTTCACCGAAATAAAACGTTGTATTGAACATCTCTCATTGGTATCTATCTTGTAAGGTCTAGGCTCTGCTATGGAGTAACAATCTCTGATGATTGTTGCCAATGTTACGGTGTTATCTTATATTTATGTATAAATGATCAAAATGATAGTTTTGGCTCATTTCAGTTGTTATGGTGATATTGACAAAACTATATAGTTCATAATATTTTGATCGCCATTTCTGTTTAAATACTTATGTCCAAATAGATATGTACAGTTCAGTAACGGTAATTTATGTTTTATTGCGAGTTATAGATTCTCTTATATCATTTTAGGACACTGCAAGCACCTTAAAGCGGGATAATCTAGAACTAAAAAAGGAACTCGCCACAGTTCAAAATGAGAACCATCTGCTTAAAGTTAACGTTCGAAAGCTATTAAGCGAACTTAATAAACGAGATCGACAGATAGAAACATTGATTGACCCAAGCAAGGCAAGCTACACATCTTATATATTCTTATTGATGCACATTTTTAGTCGAAGTCTATTAAGAAAATATTATCCGAGAAGGGGGCATCGATGATCATAGCGTTGCGAAATCGCATCCAAAAGCTTGAAAAGGTTGTGACCGAGAGAGATTGCACAATACGTCGTCTGCAAAACGATTTGCAAACTAAGAAATTGTATACATTCAAATCTGCAGAAAGAAAAAGACATGGATATTCATCGACCAAGTCTACCTCTGTTCCTTTTGCCGATATATGCGACCTGGCAGACTTTTTTAGTCCGTTGCAGAACGAAATTGACAAGTCAATTGTCAAAAAAAGGTAATAAAAACAAGACTTTCTTTCAGACTGAATACATTTGTCCACCTTGCAGTAGCGGACGTTCATTGTCGGCCAGTAGGATACAGTCTTGCAAGAAAGGTATTTGTGACTCTTTCTTTTAAGCTTTTGTACATACTAGAACCTTTTAAGATGACTATGGTTTATCTAACAGCAATAATCTTGTGTCCATGACTGATAATTTCAAAGATAGTTTACATTCAACACCAGTGTGTTGCAATATCCTCGAAAGTCCTCGAAGAGATTTGAAGAGGTGCGAACTGCAATGTGACACGCCTCACCCAGAGATTCAACAGCTACAGAACTACTTTATGGAAATTTTGGGCGAAGTCGATCATCTTAAAGTCACCATCGCGAAACTAAAAAACGATCCAAAGAAAACCGTCACAACTTTGATAGAGAACGAGTAAACACTACAAAATTAGCTTAAATTTATGTAGGCATTAGTGCAAACATCTTGCAAAAGGAAACAAAGTAATGCATATTGTTTGTAGTTGCAGTTGGTAACATAAGAAACTTAATTTCAATAGGAAGTATTTATCATCATGTGTTTGATGTAACAAACTTTTTTATAGGCGGAAAAGTAGTGTGAATTACAAGAGAGATAATTTGTTGCCATAATCGAACACTCTGTACCTTATATGTAATGTATTTGGTTTCTAATTTAAACATCGAGATGTTAACATGTATACAATGACCCTATTAATACCAATGCATTTCATCAATGTCATAATCAGCCCTGTGATGTGTCAGTAGCGTTAAACTTAACGTGCAGGTCATTAGCCAAAAAATGTTATTTTGCATTATTTATGGCCGTCACCAACAAACTTAAGCGGAGCCTAGCTTAAAATCCATGACAACCATTGTCGCAATAATCGTTGCCATGGATTTTAAGCTACTCTGCTTAAATTTGTGGGTGCAAACGGCCATGAATAACGTTTTTTTACTGATAACCTACACGTTAAGTTTAACGTCAATGATACATCACAGGTCTGATTATTGACTAAAATGTACCTATATTATCAAACTTACATAATAAAAGGCAACGAGCATTTTATTACAAATGTACTTTATTTGAAAATATAACCATTTTCAGAATGAAAAGAACATATTACATCTAAAAGTTTGCCATTAATAGCAGAAGAAATCAGTCATAGCTGTATTGCATTATCACATACAATCTCCCGTTAAACCTAACGAAATTCTTACAATAAGAACCTTATTGTTCTTTTTTGGCAATTGAGAATTTTGGGCAATGGGATAGCTTCTTGGATATGAAATCAACGCAATTATCCAAAATTCTGTGACGAATTAATCCTGGAATAAGTAGAAACGTAGTGATCAAAGTGTACGTTAAAAACAAATTGTTAAACGTGTTTCCAATCCATGCCAACACCGCAAGGCCGAGTATTGTACAACCATAATACTGAAAGAATATGTTAAAATTTAAAAATTGGGAACACATTTTTGCTATACCATTTTAGTATTGCTGCAGCGCATGCCGTAAAAACTGCTAATAAGGGTAACGAACTTAAACTTGCACGCCACGACATTTGCGCAAAATTTGTTGAAAGCCTCTTCCTTCTCGTCAGTCCACAATTCAGATCGAAAAAGTGCTGCCGATACTTTTGGTACAAGATAGTCGCTTATTGAAATCGTTAATCCAACAATGGAGAAGGTAGTGAGTACGCTAGGGTCGAAGAGCCACAAGCTACAAAATACAAACGAGGTGCCTGAAATGTGACAGATGAAACAGTAAGTAATGCGTGCACCACAATTTACCCCCAAATATTGCGGCGGGATACCAATTATTGTCCCATAAGAGTATGGAATGGACTAAAACGACAACTTCTCTCCAACTCTCCAGGCAGTTCCTCAACTTGAGTGTGGATACCTCCTGATAATAACAATGACAATTATGTACTTACAGGTTATGCAATATTTCGTTAGGTCACAATTCGTAATTTACCTGGTTTTCCATTGTAATTCTGCAAAGATTAAAAATGAAGACTGTCACTTTTCGAAAATTTTTAGAAAATTTCTTGTAACTAGATTTCCGTTGCCTTTTTTTTGAACCAGCAAAAATACGTTATTCCTAATCTACAACGCATGCCCGTAAGTCAAATTGTCGATAAAAATGAATCCTACTCTGTGTAAATTTCCACGCAAAAATATTCGGAAACATTTAATTATTCTGTCGTTTTAAATTACGTTACTATAAACGACGAGCATTCTGAGCAACTTTGTGAATATTATAAGGCAATATTTGTGATCGTGGTGTTTAGGAATCTTTTAGAAAATGGATTTTATTAACATGTCGCTTGGGGTTCGAGGCTATTATAACAATGGCTTCTAATTTCAAATATGTATATTGTATGCGTTTCAATTCTGCTAAATACTGTGACCTTTTAAATATTTATTGATATATTAGTGGCTATACACGATCTTATATTTAAGGAATGGCTTCGGTAAGTGATTTTTTTTTACTACAAATAGCACCTCCAACATTATTTTATAGATGTCAAATAATGTAGAAAATTTATCACCTCAAACTATACGAGGAGTCGTTAGAGAGATGCAGGAGCTTTCAACCCATCCACCTGAAGGAATCAAAGTGCAAATTAACGAGGAAGATGTCACCGATATTCAAGCTTTTATCGATGGACCTGCTGGTGAGTATAAATCAAGGAGAAACCATGTAATCCTGAAATCCCTATCCCGACGTTATAACAATTCCACAATACCAATTCACCAACATTTAAGTAGTACTCGAAACATCTGGTAGGGTTTTTTCGAATTTTAATATGCATGATATCTACTAGTAGGTCTCTAGGACTCCATCCTATTAAATTCTGGACAGACAAAAACTCGTTATATGTGTAAGATATATGTTAAATGAAATTTTATAGGGACCCCATATATGGGCGGCATATTCAAGGTAAAGCTTTCCCTAGGAAAAGACTTCCCACAAATCCCACCAAAGGCGTTTTTTCTCACGAAAATATTCCATCCAAACGTCGCCTCTAATGGTGAAATTTGCGTAAACACACTCAAAAAAGACTGGAAACCCGATCTCGGAATTAAACACATACTCTTGGTAAGACCGACCCTCTATCTTTTCTTCGACCTATCCAATTTCAAATTGCAGACAATAAAATGCCTACTTATAGTACCAAATGCAGAGTCCGCTCTAAACGAAGAGGCTGGAAAATTACTATTGGAGCACTACGACGATTACTACCAAAGAGCGAAAATGATGACTGAAATACACGCACAGCCCCAAAAAGTATCGAAGACCGGCCTAATGGAGGGACCGCTAGCAAAAAAACATGCAGGAGACAAAAAACTAACTGCCGAAAAGAAGAAGATATTGAAAGACAAGAAACGAACACTGAAACGTTTATGAAATTTATTCTTCCTCCGTTTTATAAGTAATTTGTTTCGTGAACATTCTATGTATATAGGACTTCCAAATATATAAATTTATTTTTCCGCATTTTTCTAATAAAAAATTTATACGTTTACCCTAAATTCTGCATATTTTTAAAACCTCACGTCATGTGTTTCTTTATCAAATGTTAGAGTAATGATGAATTTGTAAGTAAATTGTGCAATAAGTGTTTTTCGTAATGAATTTGTTTTGTTTATACAAAACACCATAATTGGTTTGTATTGTGAATTATTTGAAGATATGTGTCGAGTGCTTTCACAAATTTGTTTTTTGTTCATTTCATTGAAGAGTTGAACTAGGTGTGTGAGCATCTAACAAATTGGAAATGATTGTAGTAAATAAATATTTTTAACTGGTACACTATTTTTCTCAAGTGGACGACACTTGTCTCGAAAAAGTATTTATTTGTTCAGTTATTACATTCACTTAAAATATATTGTTACTTTTGCTTAAATTTGATATGGCAAACAACTATTAGGGTACAATGTTGGCCCTGCGAGTAGAGCGGCGATGAAAGTGGAGCAACGTTTTGCAAAACATAATATCCATCCAACAAACAACAATACTAGCAAATGAATCTCTTTCATCGCTCTTTTCGATGCACCTTTGCGTTTGTAGTTCAAACATGGGCACGTTCATTTACTACAATACAGGGTGTTCAGCGAGGAATGGAACAGTGCGATATCTTAGGAACGAAGGCAGATTTTAAATAGATAAATTAAATTAACAGAAGTCAAAAATAATGTTGGGTTTGCCTGGTTCAGGTGCAGGTCTGCTGTAGAGGTCTCAAATAAACAACTTGAAAAGTTCTATTTTATTAAATTGGTAAGTCTTTTTTCAAACTAACATAAACTCAAGTTATCAATGATGAATCTTTATATGTAACATTATCTTAACACGAAAATCTAAAATATATGCAAGTAAAAAAAATGAAATGACGAACTGTGCTCGTTTACATACCGTCCAAAACATTGTAATTAGTAAACCGACAATAACTAAATGTTTTATGCCGCTCTTTTATATCTACACGCGATACACTGTAATTGTAAATGTTAGTTTTATAAAAATGAACAGAACTCAGTTAGGTATATTACGTTGTGAAACTTATGTCGACAATATGTTTGAAACTAAACTAATTTATATACAAAATAACTACTTCATTTCTTTACTGTATGCGTCTAACTCGGCATCCAGTTCTTCAGCCGTAGGCGGTTTCTTTTGATTTCTAGCACCCCTACCTCGACCTGAATACATACAAATGGGACGTTAGAAACTTGCACATCCAAGGAAATACGAAACTAACCTCTTCCAGGTCGCCCTTTACCGCCGCCAGTACCTCCTCTTCGTGGCATTGACTGAGTACGACTACTGAACCGATTCTGACCCAAACGACCGCCGCGAGTGACTGACGGTATTTCAGAGGTAGTAAGTTGAATGTTCATGGCACGTCCATCTAACGGCACGCCGTGGTATTGTTTCATAGCCTTTATTGCGTCTGCTCGCCTTTCAAAAATGACATCGGCAGTACCGAGAGACCGTCCGGACCGATCATAATGTACGGCGGCACTTTTCAACGGTCCAAATTCGGCAAACAATTCTTGTATATCCGAATCGGATACGCCGAAATCGAGATTGGATACCATTAATTTAGTCGGACCGACATTGGACTGTACTAAAGATCTGGCCGCCGCAACTTTACGTGGGCCGTAACCCTCAAAAAGGTCGTGCTTCCAAGCACTGTTCACGTCTCCCTAAAGAAATAAGTGGAGCTTGTCAAAACGATCTCGGGTTGACAAGTTTTATGTACGACTCAGCAAGTTCCTCCGAGAGCAGGCATTGCTGGATTTCACAAGTAAATAATGAAAATTATTAAACAATTACCCTGGTGTATTGCCTAGCAATTCCACCGCGACTGCGGCCTCTTTGTACGCCGCCGGTGCTTCTTCTGAAATTCCCGCCGCCACGGCGGCCACTACCTGCACGGATTGCACCTCTTCCACCACGTTTAGCTCCGCCGCCTCGTCGACCACCCCTATTCGATTTAATAATATCATCCAAACTCATGTCGATTTTATCAACCATTTTCATGGCTTTTTAAAAGTTCCTTTAAAGAAATTAAACAAATACACACACAAGCGTCACCAACACGAAAAATAAGGTAATGGCGGCAGCATGAGAAAATGCAAAATCGCGATAACTTTTTCCAAAATGTTGCGCAAGCGCGCGTACTGCGTAATATTATTATCGGCGTTGCCAGTTTCAAAAAAAATCATCGTGACGTTAAGCAACACGCCAATCACGATCAAAAATATTTTCCAGCCGCAAAGATTCGTCTGGATATCTTGACTACACAATTTTATATACACATTGTGTCTTTTATAACAACATAATGATAAAGTTTATTGTGCTGTGCTGTCAAACGCTTGAAGCGTTACCGATTTTTTTTGTTTATTTTATAGCAGATGTGAAATTGACATTTTAGTAGGTTTGAACGAGTAGGCAAAGTTTCTTTTTTATTAGTATTAGTGGTTAAAGTGATCGTTTTAAGGGCAAGCGTACATAATGACATCTGTCAGTCTTATTAAAAATGGGACGCGCAGCATCAAATAAAACGAAGTTCAGAACAGAAAACAGTATTGTTTCCATGGAAACGGCAGATACCAACCTAAGCTATATATTCTTAATGTCTAAATTGAATTCAGAATTTTCAGAAGTTTTATAACGATTTATATGGCTTCTGCTATAAAATCAAGTTTTGTATTATACCTACGCGATGATGAAGGGAAACTCGTATGCTAATAACCCTGGTATATGTACTATAACCATCTCGTGAAAGTTTCTTTCACTCAATCGTTAAAAGATATCCCTTTATCGCCTTGTATAATAAATAACTAGGTATTAAATTCTCATAGATTCACTTTACATAGGTACCTACCTACAATTATTAGGTATAAATAAATAAAAAATATAGTTGAGTTAGAATTTGGCAAAACAATGTTTTTCATTCCTTGATGCACGTTAATTATAAACATTGGCAACATGGTTCTCCGTCCAATAATCAAATTAAAATAATAAATAAAACTAAACAGATTTAACCTTTAATTTCATGCACTTATATTCCAACTTTTATCACTTAAAATTATACATGCTAATTATAGAATTTTATTAAATTTATTTATTTTCATATAACGTAAACAAATAAATGGAGAACATCATAAAATTAACACTCAATAATATCTCAAGTAATGACTTCAGAGGGAAAGCCCGTAGGTACTTATTTTTGAATGTACTCATTAAAATGATTGCTATAATGTTTATTACATAAGCAGTAGCTGCTGTAATGAAGTAATAAATAGATTGTTGAGTGGGTACATTGAGTACAAAGTAAATATCCTGAGTTTGTATATGATTCTGTGCCGCTTTTAAAAGGGAGAGATTAAGCCTCTGTTATAATTTTGTAGAAAAATGGCAGGCGGATTAATTTTAGGGATTGACTTGGGTACTACTTCTGTAAAAGTTTGTGTTGTCAATGTGACGTCACGGGAAGTGATTGCTAAGCAGAGTAAGGATACCCAGTCACATACACCAAGCGATCAAGGTACTGGGGGCAGTAAGCAAGATGTTCATAAGATAATTTATGCTTTGAATACGTGCGTTGCCAAGCTACCAAAAGACTTGCTTCGAAAGGTGTGTGAATTTTGCTATTTCGACTGTCGTTGATACCAAATTCTAGATCACGCGTATCGGAATTTGTGGCCAGATGCATGGGGTTGTGTTTTGGAACAGTGGTAAAGTTAAAGCGTGGGAGAGAATTGAACGAAATGGAACTCTAGTAAGATACGATGTCGTTCAAGAAGAGCTAACGGCTCTTTACACTTGGCAAGATTCACGATGTGATTCGGCCTTCATAGAGTCCTTACCGATGCCCCAATCACACTTACCAACGTACTCGGGTTATGGAGTTTCAACAATGTTTTGGATGGCAAAGCACAGACCAGAAAAGATGTCGAGATACAATTGTGCCGGAACTATACAGGATTTCACAGTCGCTATGCTGTGTGATCTCGAAAAACCAGTGATGTCTGTACAAAATGCGGCCAGCTGGGGGTACTTTGATTGCAAAAATAATTGTTGGAATTTCACCCTCCTGAAGAGGGCTGATTTTCCTGTTCACTTTCTGCCAGAAGTTGTAAACAGTGGCAAATTCGTCGGAACGTTAGCAGATGATTGGCATTCAATTCCTAAAGGAACGCCAATAGGTAATCCGGCTCTTGTGTAATTATTTGATCCGTAATGAATGTTTGTAAGGGGCTGGTCTGGGTGATTTGCAATGCTCTGTGTTGGCCACCATAGAATCTGTACATGATGCTGTGTTAAACATATCGACATCGGCTCAGCTGGCTTTTGTTGTCGAAAATTACGAGCCCACCAATGGTCCACCAGAAGTGTCCCCAATAGAATATTTTCCATATTTTCATGGCAAATTTCTTGCAGTAGCAGCTTCATTAAATGGCGGAAATGCTCTTGCAATGTTTGTAAAAATGTTACAACAATGGACAATGGAACTGGGATTTTCCATACCTCAATGTAAGTAATTCACCGCACTGTACGAACGCGGTTTGAGGCATCACTGTTACACTCACATTCAATTGGAATCAATTTACAAAAAATGGATCCCATTGGAACAGTGTATATTTGTTTTATTATACCTACATGGTGTACCTATAAAAAGTACCTACGGTTAGGGAGATTATACATTAAGATATGTACCTATTAGTACTTATTCTTTTAACAGAACATTGTGTATTACACAAGGAGTATTCTCAGGCGTTGTTGCCCTTGCAGAGAGTTGCCTACACACTGAGGTCTCCCTGTGTCAAGTTGCCTCCACGCTAAAATACCCATCAGATTCGCAATGAAAGGCACACTTGTTTCTGCATTCACGCATTTGTTGGTTTATCTATAGGTATCTTTTCGTTCCTATGCTAAATTTTTGCAATAATTGGACATCAAAATGTACACTGTTTTGAAATTTCCAACTCTTCGGCGTGGTACCATCCTACTAGGTCATACACCTATGCACAGGATATTATGACAGTAAAGTGTTTCAGCAGGATATCTACATAGTCTTGCTAGTTTTCAAGTTTCTTCAAATGATTCAGTTTTAGCTCAAATTTGGGAAAGAGTGTTGGCCCTCGGCTTAGATGATAACACCAGGTCTGATTTACAAGTACAGCCCACTTTATTATGTGAACGTCACCAACCGGACGTGCATGCTTCTGTAACAAACATTAACATTGGCAATCTTGGACTTGGACAAGCTTTCCGTGCTCTCTGCCATGGATTGTTGCAAAATTTGCACAAGTACGTAACCACAAATGTTGCAACAGTTACTGTAATACTTTTATGTTTTCAGTATGATGCCGAGGGATATTTTATCGAAGGCCCACATTACAAGAATTGTGGGGAACGGGTCGGGATTAAGTCGAAATAAGGTGTTGCAAAAAGAAGTGCAACAGTTATATCAGCTTCCGCTGGTTTTTACCACTGGTGGGGATGCGGCAAAGGGTGCTGCATTAGCTGTTAGTCTTTCATGATAAATCTTCTCTAGTACATAAAATTTGTGATTCTTGAATTGTATTTACAATCGCTGTATTTATTACCAATGACATAATGTAATGGCTTCCGCAGGTGTGACGAGAAAATTTTGTTACACAAGAAAATCGCATTTTAACCTCATCTATTGGTCAGAGATGAGTAGGTACTTTTACGTACCAATGCATCCCTTATGCGTTTATGATAGTACATTAGATTAGTTCTCACAGCATGATAAGCATTCATTTGTCTTTAGGCATCCAATCATGTTGTAGCTGTTATTAGTAATGCCCTTACATATCAATTGTATAGTATAATGACAATAATAGTATAAAATGAACGTGCATAACTGCATGCAATTAAGTAGGTACAAATTTTATAATTCTTACATAATTGTTATTGTTTGTCCAAATGCGATATTAGTAAAAATAATAAAAAAATTTCACTTCACATCATTGCAGTGTCATTTCATAAAATCTTTTCATATACCTAGGTACTTTGGTAAATTGTGGTTGGTTAACTATCATGGACTATTAATAAAATGCTATGTTGCACTCAATGCTTACATTCAATTTTTCGCAGCATCAGTCATTCTTCCAATTACACTTGCAAAATAAAGCGGATCAGTATTATATTGGTATATGTGAAAACGTTTCCCAAAACTGGAGGATAGTCAGTGAATAAAAAATTTTATTCAATGTTCTACTGGAGTAACATTGACGTTCAATTCGCACATAAATTCGATGCCTCCGTAAAATTCCCCCTACGGTATTTCAAATTTTTATTTACGAGAGCTATTTTTTTCTTTCTATCTGACAACCACAAAGAATATTAAAACTATTTTATATTTTGGAAGATTTACACGCACACTGTCAGTTTTTCTCTACATATATTTGAGATTCTAATTGTGACCTTCGTCATCATAGTACAATCAAAAATGAGTTGCTGTCGAGTCACCTTTGGAATTTTTGTTTACATGAGAAATTGTACTTGACTTAAACTTCCAAAGGCGACTCGACAGCAACTCATTTTTGATCGCCCGTTATCAACTTCCCTATACCGTCATCATAGGGGGAAACACTGTGATATTCATCAGTATGATTTCGTAATAAAGATCACGTCCTTTTGTCCTCTAGTTAAAACCCAGAACAGTACTGATATTACTATTTAAAAAATGTATAATTTTATATTCCCTTAAATGTAAAGTCACTACCATATATATTTATTTACAAATAAGTAAAAAAATTTCTAATTGGTAAAGCATTCTATTCATACGACGAGTTCTTTAAATGTGATTTATGTTATTTAGAATAATGTTACTTATTGTATATAAACATGATGTATCTTGACGAATGTAAGTGGTTACTATCACAGCACATGAATAAATATTACTATTATTATTATACCTACCAGTTGTTACGTATAACGTATCTCTAAGAAATAAAATATATAGATTACATAGATGGGATCGCATCATTTTGCGGAAGTTAGAAATGCGTTCGAAATTACTTGTTTCCATTCTATTTGAGTTATGGCTCAATTATCGCCACCATCGGAAGATGTACTTCAACGAAATTTTAATTGTACATTAGGGATGTAGGACAAAATCATAAAGAAATAATCATATAAGTTAAAGCAATGGTTAAAGGGTTAAGCTTAAACTTACAGAACACCCGCAGTTTTAAAGTACATAGCTTCGGTGGCGACGCGCCGCTTGCACATCCAGCAGCAAACTAAAACATGCTGCATCCTCATTGGTCAAAACCGCCAAAACATCGACACGATACAATTCCGTAAGTCGTTCGCATCTTGAGAAAAACATAGATTACAGTCTACAGACCGGGATCATGTTCTGTGACCGGTGAACGTGAGTGAGTCTGATCAGATGTAATTCAAATAGTACCATCAATTTTAGCACAAATTTCGAGTTTATATTAATCGCATCAGATTGTTTCTGGAAAATCACATTTAATATAGGTCGATTTTTCTTGGGATTGGGTTTTTCTAAGGGAAAAAATGTTATATAAGACGCGTCAATATTTGAAATAAATTGAATAGCGAGCTTCTATGGGTCTTACTAACCATGCACTAACATTTTCACATTTAAGATCAGTGCAATATTTGAAATATTATAGTTTTTTACCTATGCTCCATTATGATCATGATGGAATATTATGATTTGGATATGTTATGAGATAATCGTAAATCACACGTAGGTATACCTACAACGGCAAGTAAATTCCACGGTGATCTTAACAGAGTGGATGAAATCTTTGCTGTAGGTACCTAATTGTACTTTCAACTATATAGGATCTGCCGATTATGTTCGATATATTTGTAAGTTTACAAGTTCCAGTTTATATAGTGTGAGAATAAGAACGCCATATCAACATATTTTTTTCATTATTAAGTCGGTACCTATATATATATTTCCCTTAATCAATCAAGCTATCACTTCCGCGGAAAACCACACGCTTAATTAAGACCAGGTTCTGTTTGTCCTTTTTCGACATAGAATGCTAGAATGGAGATTTTGCAAGTGGTCGATAGATTTTGGCTCGGATTCGGAATCGCCCTGTTCGCAAATATCGTAATTGCAATAAGTAATACGGTGAGAAAAAAGGCAGTGATAAGAAGGGAATATGTACCTCTGGAAAATGAAGACAAGTATATTCATTACAAAGACTGGGTGCTATGGGTGAGCGTCGTATTGAGTAAGTTGCAAACTGTAGGTATCGCAATTTGGATTTAATTCACTTGTTACAGTGCTTATTGCGCAAGCGATCAATTTCATCGCCTTCTCTTTAGCACCCGCATTTCTTATCGCCGCTACGGGCGTAATTGGAATATTTCTTACCGCCATAATGTGGAAAATCTTTTATGGCGAGATCTTCAATTACGTTGGCTTTGTAAGGTGGATATGGTTCAAGACAGTTTGTAACAACGATATTTTTAGGCAGGATTGATCTTTTCGATTTTGGGTTTGGCGATGATGGTGCTAAATTATCCGAAGAGGGAAATTACGTTGACCGTTTCCGGTTTGGCTGCACTGATGGATCAAACTGGTCTTATTTACTATGTCATTGCCGTCGTGATTTTATATTTATTGACGGCGTGTTACATAGTACCACACTTTGGAACGAAATGTGTTTCTGTGTACGTCATTTTCTCGCTGGTGACATATTCGTTCGTGGGAAGCGTCGCGATAATCTTTTGCAAATGCGCAGGTTATTCGATAAAATACCTAATCGTTACTGGCAATCAGGAAGAGGCCAATATATTATATATGTTACTATTCTTACTAGTAAGCATAGTTGCTGTTGGCATTCAGGAGATCTATATGGCCAAGTTTACAAATTCATTTACCTCGGCTAGTACAGTGAAAGCGATATTCTTCATTTTGCGTACGGCTCTGGTTGCCGTTTTCTCCGACTTACTGTTCAGCGAATGGTCTCAAGTTAGAGATCTAAAAATAGTCGGGACGTCTATAGGGTTTGTATTAATTAGCATTGGTGCACTCCTGCATCCTCTCTTCTCAGACTATAGTTTCGATGATGCCGTCATCGGGGACAAATTTCGTCCTCGATAAGTTCATTATTAGATTTTATTTTTAAATCCGGCATTAAGATTATAAGCGTATAAAGTAACTATCCCTTGTACCTAATTTAATGTTCCATTTACTTGACTTTTAAGTTTGTTTCTCTTTAGGTTAAATAAATACCAATAATATCTGTTTTTTTTAGCTGTATTTGTACATAGGTATTAAAGTAATACACACGTGCTTTTCTAGACATTTTATAAAATTAAAAGCTGATGAAAAGAAGACAACCAGATTAAATTTCATTTTCTTGGTTGAAAGCTTTCTACACAATTAAGTTATACATCTGGAAGTATGAAATGATGTCTTATTTTATTTTCCTAGTTCCCTTTATTGGCATTTCGAAGCATATAATGAATCCATTAGCATTACAAACGTTCCAGCTCAATGAGGCCTTCCTGTAAAAAGCATCAAAGGACACGAGCAGACCAAGAGGCAATGCGTTATTTATCACCCTTGAACATCTCAATATATACATTTGAGTCGTGAAACTTTGAAATAAAAAAAACAGCATTCTCCTCATACTTTATTCATTGTCTACTTTATCATTACACTAAAAAATTAGCACCTACCAACCGCCGATTCACTCATTCCGCTCATATCTACAATCCATAAACCTTCACGTAAATTGACGCGCAAATTCTACAAGAAGATTAGTAATTACTTGCTCATCAATTCAATGAGCCAACAATAAAATATGTACTTGCCTTCATAGTTCACTCTTCCGTCCTTATCGGTCGTTGCCGATCTAATAAAATCGTTAAGCTGCGTTTCCGTAACGGGTTCACCGATCATTTCCATCGCTGCTCTCAGTTCGTTCTTTGTAACGTACCCTCGTCGTTCAACGTCAAAGACGCGAAAGGCCGCTATCAGATCCTTCGACGTATCATCTTCGACCTCTTCAGGCAGAAGGCTCTGAATTTTTTTCACCCAGGTTACAAATTCCGATTCATTTAATAATTCGTTACCTGCGAAAATTGAAAGGATTAAACGCGAGGCTACTAATATTGAAAGACTGCTGCTTTGAGCAACATGTGAGTAAATTGAATTCTAAATGATGCACACCGGTGTAGGTAATAGTTCGATACTATGTAATTTTTTCGTTATCTCGAACGCACTGTATATAGCTACCTGAAGGACTGGCACTTCTCAGCAGTCGTAGCACCATTTCGTCTTTCAATGGAATCCCCAATTTTCCAAGCATAAATTGAAGTTCGGAAGGTGTCACTCTGCCATCTCGATTTCGATCCAACAAGTCAAACGCTATACGTAATTCTGCAATTAAAAAATATATACCTACACTCTTTGCCTGAGTTCTGTAAAACGTAGTTGACGAAATTTACGCTACAGGATCACAAGATTGATAAGGTAAAATAAACAAACGTCATCAATTTCAGACAGGTAGGTGTACACTGTACACAAAGCCTTGGCTTCCAAAAGTATTTTTTTATGTACGAATATAAATACTCAAGAGGATCATTTTAAAGTGTGACCTTAATAATTGGAAATGGGCCAATATACTATGACCAAGAAATCGTGCATGATATTTTTGGAAATGCAAAATCTCAATTAATAAGCGATTTAGAAATTTACTTACCTTTTAATTCGTCCTCTGTAAATTCTCTTCTACCCACACTCTGAAAATAAAAAAAACTTAATTTTTCAACCTCAATTAGGAATATACGCGCTTACCATACCTTACGGCGAGAAGTCTCTTTGTCCATTATTTTGCGCACCTTTACAAAAATCTCCCCTTTGTAGGAAGGTACAGCAATTGCTCGATTTCGTCTTTTATCACTATTTATAACGTACGCAAACTAAAACTTGCGCTTACCTCAGTTCTTACAAAAATACCCATTTTCGAAACTAAACAAATTAGCATTCACGTTGATAATCCTCCTTATCATACTCATATTTTATATACCTTGATAAACGCGCGGATCACGTAAAGCAACTGAGCATCGGAGTTTAATTTTAATGAGCACTTTAAAGTTTAAAGATGGAAAAGTGAAACTTGGCACCTTCTTCCGATGTTATAGATAGATTTAGCGGCGCGTTTCATTGGAAATTTAAATAAATAAATTCACAGATTTAGGCAGATATAAAATTAATAAAAAAAGTTTATTTGTAAGAGTGCCGAATGATGCATGGTTGTTTAATTGAAGGCGAATTAAAATGTGGAAAAAAATACTTTCATTCAATTCCCAAACTGAATAAATTACCCTTTTTTTAAGTAAAATACACGTAATTTGTTTGCGTAATGTCAATTTGAAACCTCAATTTTATAGCATACCATTAGTGTCCAGTTCCTATTGTAACTTTGAGCGTTCCTAGGTACAACTTTTTCTGAACACAGAAGATCTATCAAAGGGCTAACATGCGTGTGGGATCTCTAGATTACCTACTTTTACATAGCACTAGGTGAACAATATTTGGCAAATTCTTCATTCAAATTATCTGTATTTACTTTTTTAATGGACAATCTGTTGCAATAATCCACCCAGTTGATCACCAGCTTTCTCTCAAAAATATTTGACTCACCGGTGACCGGCTCATTGGTGTAAAATGAGCAAGGGTGAATAGCAACACCTCGTATGGTGCCTTCTAGCATTCTGTAATTTTTTCTCGTACAAAATAAATTCTTTTGCTTAGGTAGAATTGAGAGCGAAACCGTGTTATTCTCTTTTATATAAATACTGGATGCTGACTGTTGCGCTGTATACAATTTTTTTGACTCACATGAAAACCGAGGAGTGGGAATTTATTTGATCGAATTGGGAATGAACAGTGACCTGGCCACCTGGAATGTATCGTAAGAATCGGCCTTTGGTATCAATTGACAAATTCTATCAAGTGTCAACTAATAGATAATAAGATCGAGTTGATAAATGTAGTAAGCTTCAAATAACAAATGCCTGCTCAGTGGAAATTGAGGGGGGCAAAATATTTCATAAAAATAACTTTTATGTTGACTCTCTGGCACTTCCGTGCAATTGCGGAACAGCATAATAAGATTATGATTTTACTCCTTCTCTCAATTCCAACTCTCTTTAGCTTTACATATTCCTGTTGTTACGCACTTTCTACTATCTATCTCATTAGTATCTTTAATTGCAACGGGAGTTACATTTCAGGGTAAAGTCTGATTATGTTATCAAAAATCTCTAAACCTTCCCCATATAGTTTTATTCGTTGAAGTTTTTAAAAATAACAGCGACTATAGTTTCGGCGTACTGCCATCATCAGGCGATGTGAAAGTTAACAGGAAAACGGTAAATTACAAACGTTGAAGACGGATAAGACGAACATGTTGTTTTTTTAATTATAAACTGGCCGAAGCCAAGTGAAAAACCTGAAGGGTGGTTAAAACGGAAAGGTTGTCCTAAGTTTCAAGACGAATTAATTATCAAGCCTTGTTAAGACAACCAACCGGGGGGTTGAATTTTTACATTAAAGTTGAAATTTGGGTTAACACATTTCAAAAGAACGGGGGGGAAAAAATAAACTTATAAAAGTATTGAAACTATTAAGATGACTACATATTTAAATTATTTAAGTAAAGTTTAAATTCGAGATCATGCAGACGGCATGTCTCGAAATGATTGAACTTCAACGAATAAAACTATATGGGGAAGGTTTAGAGATTTTTGATAACATAATATATTTCAACCCCCATTTCGAGGAACGATGGATCCAACTCAAAAAAAAAAAAAATAAAGTCTGATTGTTCAGGTAAAGATAAATTGTTTTGCCCAAAACTTTATCCACGACTAGCTCACCTTATTAAAAATTATCTTATTTCAGTTTCTCCCGGAGTAAAATTTCCACCTTCCTCTATACCCATATAACAATTAGTTTTGAAACGTATAAATAGAAAATCTCTTTAAAATCTTTGAAATAAGCCCTGCATAGTGTGCACACACGAATATATATCACAATGGAAAATTTGTTTACAACAAAACAAATAATTGGGTAGGTACTAATAATAATTGTACTACTTTTTTTCGAATGTTATATTTTTCCAAATAATAAAATTCTCTAAACTCCTCAAACTAAACGGTCCGTACCGAATAGAAACAGTACCCAATAAAACAAGTATGAATTGCCCAGATAAAGCGCATTTTTTAAAACCGAAATAGCTTAGTAAAAGGTTGCGTTATAAGGTAGCAGCATGCTATATTTATCGATACTTTCTTTCTTGTTAGATGATTAATGGAGAGACCAATAGATATATCTCGTCCAGACAATTCATTTTGCCTTTCGGGGTACTTTCCTCCGACAAAGCGTTTTTCGTAAAGTTTTCACATCACCAATAAATATATTTCTTCTAGGCGTTCCAATCACCCTTTATGAGTAAAGTACTAAACAGGTCCCAAAATAAAGTAATCGTCATTGTTTGCGTTTAGTTTATCATTATGTAAATAGCAACCTTTAAATAATAATAATTACTCTAACCACGGATTTGTTTACTTCATAAACTAGCCGAAAGGAAATTATTGAGTACCTAAATTATTTTTTCAAGGTTTCTTTAAAACTGCATCAGAAGCTCAGAGATTTCCGTTGAAAAAATACAGGTTCGTAACGTTTTTAATTCCCACGTTTATCGACTGTTATCAGCACTTACTGATAAGCAAGCTAATGTACATCAGGTACAAGGATGAATAGTCAAGTAATGCTAAATTTCGTGCAGTTGTAGGTAGTTTGCTACTATAAGAATGGTTCGCGATATTGACATCGGAATGAAGTGCATCAAGTATATGCTTTTCGTGTCAAACTTTATGTTTGTGGTAAGCGTTACTACCGTATATTTAATTTAAAGCTCATTTTGCATATTACAAAGATATTGACGGATCAATTTTATACCTACCATGGATAAACTTTCTTTATTCGAACTATTTAACATTCCATACGGGGTGCTATTTTAATTAAGAAGCCTAAATTTTGGTTTTCATATGTAGGTAGGTACAGAATGGACCGAGTGGTTGGAGAACGAAACAAGTACCTATGTTTATGACGAACAAGTAGGAGATAAGACTGATAAATCGTTAACAATTATTAGAGTTGTAGCTCGGAGATATTTTACCAAGGTTGTTACCAAGCAAATATATGATTGGCTTATTTTGGGCGAAGAAAATATAGGAAACAATACCATATGTCATACTAAAAATATTCAGACTTAATATTATCTAGTGCACCGATATCAGTAGGCGACGATGTCAAGTTGAAACTTGTATCCTCAAACTGTTTACATTGGTTTCTTTTTAATTTCGGCCTCATCGGTTTTTGACTACATTCTGTATTTTAATGGTGATAATTTTTTCCTTAAAGAATGGCATGCATTTTTAATGCTTTTGATCAGGCTTTCTCTATATTTAATGGTGACCTATTCGTAAGTCGCCCCTCTCCAATTTAATTCACTTTAATAGGTAATCCATAAGTACAGCATTTTCTCTCCATCAGTTTCCTGGTGCACGTAGTGTTTCTTCGAAAACCGTTTCTTTCGAGAAATTAAAACTACTCATGAAATGCAATTATAAGACCCGCTTGCGCCAGTAAATGGACCTGAATAAAGTTACCTAGTGTTGCGGATAAAGGATGGATAAATTTTTATTAAAAAGTTTAGGTATGAAAATAGAGACAGTGTTTCAAATTGATCTACATCTACAATTTATAACAATCCTTTAGTTTTAAGCAAGAAGCTCTAGTAAGATGGAAGAGGGTAGCTCGAGTTACCTATTAATTTAACGAATTTTCAAAGGTGGTAAAAATACGTCAACATGTTTAACATATACATTTACATTGTCAACAGAGAAAAAGATTATCGACCTTATATTGCTGTCCCGGCCTTGTTTTTTTTAATTCTTTCAAACTTGAAAACAAAAGTAAACAAAAGTCTCTGTAAAACCAGCAAACATCAATGGCAATTAAATGTTATATTTAGAAATATAAACTTATAGTTATCTTTGTATATCTACTGTATACTGATGTGGCGTAGTTTTCATGAGAAACTTTTTCAGATAAAAATATACAGAAATGACGCATAAAAAGAGAATTTCCCATACAGGCTGAGGATTTAGATAATAAGGCGTAACTGCTAAAATTTTAAGGTGTATAACAGAACAAGGAATGCATGCATTTGTGCAGGCATGGAAGCATATTTAAATGATCATTATAGATGGGATCTTCTTAGTTATTATTATTAGTTCTTTGAATTGTTCTACATGGTTACTGATCGCATGAACAACAACAGATAGCGATTATGTATTATTAAAACAGAATATTTCGAAAATTAAAAGATCAACTCTAAAAAAACTACATGCTCACATACGACGAATTACCTATAATTTTTTTTTATTATGTCATTCCACGTTAATATATCAGTGTTCTAGCATATGTCCGAAATGGATTAACAAATCAATGACGCAGGGCCACAGAGCCCTTCTGATTTTGACTGACTGTAAGTATGTAGATTATGGTAACAATTAAACGAAACAAAACCCACGTCCCTAAATTTGCGTCGCTTTTTTGTACAAATTATTACATATGACAGGGTATAGTAAGTCGATTTTGTCCTTGTTCCGAACTCGATTTGGTATTTAGAGATCATCTTTTTTATTAATTTTGGTAACATGCGGATGGATATCACTCAGTAATATATTGTAGTTGTTTAGAGATATGACAAGTTTGTATACTTTCAGATGGTGGGATTCCTGCTAATTTCAATTGGAACGACAATTTCATCTATATATACCGACTTTGAGCTATTTATGGAATCGCACCATTTCAAGCCTGCCCAATTGATCGTCGTTATTGGAATAATAATCTTCTTGGTCTCTCTTTTTGGATGTATCGGTGCAATTAGAGAGAGTACATTTTTGGTTAATATGGTAAGTGTAGTTTGCGCTTTGGAAAAGTTATGGCAGTGTAATGATTATAGTTTGCCGTCCTTTTGTCAATACTCTTAGTGCTGGAGGTATCCGCTGCCATTGCCGCGTACGCTATGAGATCAGATATAAAAGAGAGCGTTGAGCATAACATGTACGATGCCCTCAAGGACTACAACAAAACGTACGATGCAAAATCGTCGTGGGATTTCATGCAATATCGAGTAAGTGAAAATTTCAATAGACTGAAAAATAAGCGACAGTTTGTGTAGTTGATATGTTGTGGCGTTCACCAACCGTCCGACTGGAGAAACACTAACATCATCTTTGAGAAGAATCTGACTGCTCCCGTGAGCTGTTGTAAGTACCCGAGATGCGAAACTGGTGTGATAAACACACACGGCTGCTTGGACCGTTTGACGGATATTGTATCAGAATCCGCACTAATGCTCGGAGTTGGATCCACTTGCGTCGCTCTCGTACAGGTACTTTCCTCAATTAAAAAAAATTACCGCAAATGCAGATTGGTATCGTTCTAGTTCTTGGGAGTCGTGTTCGCCTTCATGCTCGCTAAAACAATACGCCGAGTCAAAACCGAGCAGGAGATGCGTCGTCAAGAAAACCGCCAAAGGATCTATGAACAACTAGCAATTGGCACAGAAGATAAGATTGTAACGCCCGTCTTATACACTCCTCAGTCGACTGATGCCTAAATTATAAAGGGATTCGTGTTAACTCTCTGTACGAATTTTAACTTTAATTACATACATATATAATTTTTTACTTAGTTGTAAGGTTAATAATATTGTCAGCTTCACTGAAATGCTTTATTATAGGAATAAGTTCTTAAAGTGTGGTTATTTAAATTTATTTTAAAAAACCTTTACTCATCATTTACGTACATTGTAACGTTCAAAATTGGCGTGTGCGAAGTAATTGAGAGGAAGAAATGTAGATAGGAAAACAGGCGGCGATGTTAGTGATAAGGATAAAATTTCGTACCCATAAAGAAAGTTTCACAAAGTTCGTACAGTAGTGGATGATTAGGAATCTTGTACATAGTTAGGAATATTTGTATCCACGACTCCGTTACTCAGAGGATCTGAGTACCGCAGGACCGTAGGTAATGTGTCAAAATAAACAGATAGATGAAAATTGCTGGTATTGTTAATAATTCTATTGCCCACAAATAAAAACTATTAAGGGTGTCGCTCACTAGAGCGAAGCGCATTTCCGTAACTATACGCCCATGGAGCGCGCTGCACCGAAGAGACGCGGAGCGGCACTCTGGCATCTGTGTTCCTAATCTTCGTTTAGCAATTGTGTCCTCTGCTTGAAGGCGAATTCTATTGTGGGCGTACCATAGGTACATTACAATGGAAAATACCTTTCATAGAGAGAGAATTGCGAATGTAATTTATTACTCACGCATTATACAATCGCCTACAATTATAGCGGCAACGACAATATTTTACACCGCCAGAATCATGCCATAACCAATTTGTAAAATTACTTTTATTGTATGTAAATAAACTTAGAATGAAGTACGTGATATTAATAAGTAAGATGATATTGAAAATATAATCCAACAATTGCAGGATTTATGCTTTTGAAGTCGGTTTCAAACTGTAATTCTCATTCTGAAGATTGTAAATAATGTGACGTTGATTTTGCTTATTCATTTCCTCCTGCGTTTTAACGCGACGTATACTTTTAGCCAGCATGTTGCCAAACACTATTCCTAATATCTAAAAAATGCATTTAAGTGCGTGTGATAAAAGTACTCTACTCATTACTCACCTGGACTATTGCGACGCAAAAAGCACCGGTGCCAATCATGAAAGCACTCTGTGACAGAATATAAACGACTTTATTAAGACATCCGCCGCTGTAAACGTAGAGGCAATAAGAAGTCACACAGCACGAGTAGGGTATATCAAATTCGTCGTTCTCAAACATGATTGTGGTGCCATTGATTTCGTAAATTGCCCAATCGTTTAATTTACGTACACCGCAGCACTCAAGCTGTCACGGGAGGGATTATTTGAGATCCACGCCAGGTTACAACTCATTATCGCACTTACGTTCTCTTGGACAAAATCCCATCCCTTTGTAGCTGCATCGACTTTGTTGTAATCTTCCAGCGTATCCCTCATCGTCGCCTCTACTGATTCCTCGATGCTGTCACGTTTAACGTACGCGGTAATTGCGGCCGATAATTCCATTATAAATAAAACGCAAAGAAGGAGGGTGTACTGAAATTTTTATCTGATTAAACCATATTATACCCTATAACAATGTTAAGAGACCACAAGAAACTTATTTTTTTTCATTAATGCATATAGACGAAAGTTAGCAGCAAATTTAATTGATAAATCTCCTAATCGGCTTTAGTGCTATTATCTGTGAATTATTAGAAAGAAAATTGTAACCCATATTTTATATGATGGATAGATTTATTAAAAGTTTTCGAACTGAACAATGCAGATTAACTCGATCATTGGCCACAACAGTCAACACATGTAGCTACCATAAATTCAAAAAAATGTCCCCTGGTTCCTATGGCATTTGTAATTTTACAAGGTACCTAAGTTTTCAATATTTGGTTTAAAATAATTGCCAAAATGCTTTTTTTCAAATGTAAAAAAGCTTGAGAGGGTCGAATTTTAATAACTGTCAATTATTATAGTAACAAGGAATTTCATGTCGTTTTCTACCATTCTAATAGATATGTGGCCAGTTCATAGGTCATAAATATACAAGAATTAGTAATTACATAGCGATCCGTGAATGCAATTATATACCTACATTATTTTTCACATGAATTCCACTAAAAGACCAAATGGTTTTAACATTATGCAATATCTACACCTACAAAGAGTACCAGTATATTTATAGGTTTATATACAGGGTGCAGAAACGCTTTACGCACCGTAGGGATTTCAATGGTAATTTTATTTATAAGTATTGAAATATTTTTATTTTTCAGTCAAGTTGTAAATAAGTTTTTTGTAGATTGTAAAATTCTGCGTTTACTACTGTGCCCATTTGTAAGTTTTTATTGTGGGAAATTGGAGAAATTGAGGAAATTATAATTATAGATCTAGTTTTTGTTTCATAATTGCACGGCATTTTAGTAAAATCACTGGTGCCATGACATTTATTGAAACAAACATTTGAATTTTACGCAAATACTAAATTCTTATTTATTTATTTTTCTGGTTTCTCAAATTGAAAAACAATAAATGAGGACATGAGTAGACGAAGAATTTTTCAATCTACAAGAAACGTATTTACAACTGTGCTTTAAATTAATTAGGGGAGAAAATATTTCGATACAAAGAAATTATCATTGAAACCGTTTCTACACCCAGTGTATATCACTTCCAAGCAACACTCTAACTTTAGTAATTATGAACCAATTTTTAAACAAACTTTAAGGGTTGGAGTAACTCGTAAAAAAGTTCGTGAATCAGCCAATTCCGCCGTATTGGAACAAAATGCCGGACACTTATAAATGTTAATGCGGTTAAAGAAATCTACCTACACCTGATCCGCCAAGCCGAAAGGGATTTTGTTATTTGACTTGTTGTTTATGAGTGACATGTGACAACATACGACTCGATATGACATCAATTTTCTGCCACTTCCAATTTGCTGGTATTAAAAAGAGATAATAATAGTTCCTATTATATAACGAGCTTATTAGCCCTACCTTTTCTATACAAAATGAGTGGTCGCGAATGGGGGGCACTGTAGTGTCGCAGGTATGTAAATCTCAGGGTGAACTGAAGTCCTGTAAACATCACTCGGAATCTCGGATCGCGTAAAGAGCAGGTTCTATAGCAACCCGAATAGTACGGGGATGTTTAAATACTCTTCATTATCTTTTAAACGTCCATAAATAAGCATTAGTTGGCTTTTGAAGCGACTAATTGACGTTTGTTAATTAAAATTTTAACAGTCTCAAATTGTGTCTCATCGAACAGACTAGTTTACCCTAAAACTCACATACCAAGGTAATGCCCTTGACCGTATTTTATTTGCAATTAGCAGTACATGTATTGTATGGTGTAAGATTTTGACCTATTCCAACACTTTTGTATGTAGTTAAAACTTCCCATATTTCACGGTTGCTATGAAATTTGAATGGTGTTGACATGACTTTAGTTTACCCTGAGATTAACATAATACTATGCGATCAAAAATGAGTTACTGTCAAGTCACCTTTGGAATTTTTATATATTTATATGGGAATCGTATTTAACTTGAATTTCCAAAAGCAGCAACTAAAATTCAGACAAAGTGTGACATACTACTTTCGACATCTGTTTCGCTAGTTGCTTTATTTATCTAAGGTCAAACAATCATAAAGTTTTTTTTTCCAGATGAAAGATGGGTGATATATAAGCAACAAGATATCTTACTAAGTTCACAAGGAAGGTGCTTTTCCTCCAAGATCCCACACAACCAAACAGCGACACCAAGGTCATGGTAACACCAATTGATATGAGAAGCATGGCTGGACTAAAATTATAACTTTCCAAGAAAACCTCATATTTATAGTACAGAGTAGTGACCGAACTTCCAACAACAATCAACAAAATCCCGATAATCTGAAATTAAAGCATATTATTAAAACTGTTTAAGGAAAAAAGCGAGGAAAAAAGGGAAATAAAATTTAATTCTCTTCTAAATCTGTACTGACAGGACCTGATAATTGTCGCTATGTTAAGCATGAAGGGGACCGTTTTTAAAGTGAATCCGTTTTTTTTGTTATACAGCAAAAATCTATCAATCTGGGTTCAGGAATTTGAACAATTAAATATTTTACAGTATTTAAATCTTTACAGCGGTTGGTGTTCTCTTTCTAGGTGGTTGGTTGCAGTGCTACATCAAATTTTGTTCATGTTAGCATAGTGCATAAAATCTTTATCAGTAAGCACGCCAATTCCATTATTAGTTAATGGCGTAATGAGTGATCCTGAAAGTTGCAGTAATGTGGATAGTTAAGTATTTCACGATCATGTGTATTGTATTTTGTTTCAGCCGTATGAACTTTAATGAAAAAATTAATTGGTAACAATGTAACAGCTTCCGTGCAATTAAGTATGAGATTCTTTAAGAGTCATACATTTGAGATAATGCAGGAGCTGCACCTAGCAACCATCTTCTATATTAGTTAAACAGACTGATACACTGTTGTTACATGAGGTAATTTTATTACCTCAACCATATCACAAAGTCGTACCGAGTTTATTACACCAATTGATCATGAACATTTTTTCTTTCTTTGTGAACATTTTAACACTATATTTCAAATATTGAAATGTAATTGGTTAAAAGATGTTTCAGTTACCTAAATTTTCTGCTTTGATGTAGTCCATTTAAAAGGATACTAAGGGAAATTGCATATGTATTCTCTTAAAAGAATATCTCCGTACATTATTGTTATTGCTAACGGTAAGCTAGTACTTCTGCCTAACCTACGGTGATTGGTACAAGTGCTGCAGTTTCGTAATGTTTACAATTTAGTATAAACTACATATTCAGCAACATATAACTTACCACAAACATAAAATTCGAAATGCATAACATATATTTTATGCACTTCATTCCAAAATCCATGTTCTCACCCATTCTTTTACTAAAACCGTGTCTTCAAACTTACAGAAAAACGTGTGACAATTCACCCAGTTATAAAAAAATAAAATTTTATCGATAAAGATAACAGTGTCGTTATCGGGAGAGATAACTGATAAACCTTCTGTACATTCTTGTTTATTTTAAACTTATGTCGAGATACATTATTTTTTACTTTACATCAATTAAAAACATTATTATTTCCAGATTGTGGCGGAGTATTTCAGTTTTATTATAAATAATACGTCGATATGTGCGCTCAATTTTCACCCCCTAGGAATCAACCAAATTGGTCAAGTAGTATCGGCTGAACTTTGTTTACAAAAATCATGCAGCACGCATACAGATACACCCATACGAACATATACAGACATTTTAAAAAAATTGAATTTCTAGTTCTGTTCGAAGTTGGTAAAACCCCATTTTACGGAAGTTAAAATGTTTACCTATTACCGATTACGCAACCAAATTTACGCTATATTGTGATTCATCATAATTTATTCAATATACATCGCGACCATTGTCAATGGATTTTAGGCTAAAGTGATAAAAAACTCAAATATGTCAGTGTAAACGACCATACGTCGTCGCTTAGTATGTAAACTAGTGACCATGTCTAATTCAAAATTGTCGCATCGTTATACTATAAAATTAAAAATATTACAATAAAACATGACTATAAAATAAACTTCAAAACCAAGGTGGATTCATAACGGTCGCGGCACTCCGATCTAGAGCGTTGTCCAAATCTGACCTCGTATACATGTTGCCTACCCTCCAGTTGTAAACTGGTTTTACTATGGGAAATGTAGCGTTTTTAGCCAATATATCATATTTTTGACATTGGAATTCATACAGTGTGTTGTTGTTTTACCCATCTATTGTCATTTAAGTATACTGGAAGGACTGTACGGTTGTATTATTAACAAAATGAACATTTAACATTTTTTCGCCTGAATAAAGGAAACACAGTGTACACGTTCGTATATCTTTTTATGTATGTACGTACTTTCATTACCATAACATAATCTGAGGTATTATGTTACTTTTCTTATCCGAATAATGAATATTTTCTTAGTTCCCAGTTGCTCAGTAGACCAAAGTCTCGCGTATTCAAATGAAGAAGTAGGCATCTTTGCGAATTCCCTACTTATTACCGTTTTTGCGCAATTTAATATTTAATGCTAACAGTTTACACGCTTACAGGTTCTACAAAAATTTTGTTTATATGCTACCTTTTGAGTTACACCATTTATTATTCTAATTGTTATTCTATGCTATTAACTGGGATCCTTTGTCAATTGAAAATGATTCAAGCTTACAAAGTAACGCAAATGTGGTTATAAAAAGACGGACAAACCTGAGAGTCCTGCGATGTAACAAACATAGTGATATGAATGATTCTCTGGCACCCTTTTGATTGGTCCTTTTACACTGAAGAAAACCTTGTCAATTACCCTTGGTGTGAAATACAGCAACTCCTGTATCGATTCCAGAACTTTCCAGTTTCAAGTATGAGTGATCAAATTTTTGAGGGTGTATTTATCCAATTGCACTAACTTTGGGTAGTGGTGTTTTAAAATTGTCAGTAAAGGTACCTAATGGAAACTGTATTATTAACATTGACACAAATAAATTAAATATGTAGCCCACTAGCATCAAAAAAGTACCTAGATATATTTTTCATTTCCGTCGACTCAAGTCTTGTGGATTGAAGTTTTTTCATGTGATATTTAAAGTTTGTAACCCCCATATCAAAATTGTAAGCCCAACAACGTCATTGTAGTAAATAACTCACTTATTTTTTTAATAAAGAATCTTTTCACCAAATTTGTTTAGCCTCGGCAATAAAGTTCTGAAGATTTTTATTAACGATTCGTTCACGATTTTGGTCAGCTTGGGTCCATTTTGCGACGTAACTAAGATAAATTTCCGTCAAATGAAATTCATCGAATAGGTCTTTCTCATCTTGCTCAGTTATTCTGGCACATTCGCTCATAAGAGTTTGAAACGATATTGGGAATTTTTTTATGAAATTCCTACACTCAGTATAAGACATACTACTAACATTGTAGCTGTGCAATAGATAGCTTTCATAGGGATTATAATGCAAGACTGTGGTCAATTGTACGGGAGAACCGCTTTGCAATGGCAGCCGACAGTTTTCTACGTTCTCGCTCTTACAAATATTTAATAACCGTTTCATGTGCTTCAGGTACGAGTTCTTATGACGCTCCTCAAAATTCCTTAAAATTGACTTACTGTCCTTGACAAGTACAACGTCATCAAGTTTAACAACATTAGACAAATTCCCACTGAGTGATTCTGTAGTTCTCGCATTTGTAAGTTGTATAAAGGCTTCTTTCTTGACCTCCTTCCTCCAGAGCTCTCTTTCGGTTTTTAAGCTTTTGTAACTTATTAGCTGAATATTGTTCTGAACCCCTCTATGTTTCAACCCAATCTTACTATTTGGATATAATTCCAGTAAATACTTAAATGGATTCAAACAAAATTTAATGGAGGTGTTGGTGAAATTTAACTTTAAAACGTCTACTAAACAACTTTGCTTGTCAATCATATCACAATTGGCAAGCACTTCTGTATATCTACGAAAAGGTGTCAATGACGGATTGAAAGTTAAAGATGTAGGTAGTTCATACTGCTTATCTTTCAATTTTGCCAACAATTGCTGTATAACTTCACTCTCACGATTGAGTTTCGTTTCCTCTTCAAACTTTGAATTTTGAGCATTTATAAAATTGAGAAACACACCCGTGTTTTCAACATTTTCGTCATCATATAAGTACTGTGTTGGAAAATGGTACTGTGCTAGGAGCAGCTTCCGGTACAGAATGTGAAATAACCAGTCATCCCACACAAACATCAGTTTCTCTACCGATTTGCAATCTCTTTTATTGATTTCCTCAGCACGTTTGGAAAAAAAGCGCTCAGTTTCATTGTCTAAACCAAATATTAGTTTCAGAACGAAAATAATTACAGACATCACTCTGCCTTCATAATTTGGAATTATTTTACAGTTCTTCGTGAAGGCCATTATAGGAGTTATATGTGATAGTAGATTGACACAGTAGCCCCACACTTCATCTAAAATTGTCACGATGAGTGGTTACAAACTTGAGGGCATATTTAAACCTAAAGGACTTTAAATTAAAACCCATGATTCATTTAGTGACAAGTGTTGGTGTTCCATTGAGAGAGATGTCCGATATATTTTTACATAAACGATATTGTCCTCGGTTTGTTTAGAAAAAATAAACCATGTGTAAAGCGGATCTAAAATCAGCAAAGCGGTGTGACGCTACAGGGTCATGGAATTTGACCCATCTTCAATAGGCTTGTTACCTACATGTGGCATACTGCCCTCCTACTAAAAACCGGCGTAACTCCATCAACACTAATTTCGAGAAAATCGCGAGCGAACATGTTAATACTTTCTGATACATTCTTGTAATAAATTTTCCAAAAATGATTGTCCTCAACTAGGTGTTCTAGGCCAAATAAGCGTTTGAAAAGCTAATTACAATTTTTTAATATCTGAAAATGGATTTGGGGGTTGATGATTGATTTGATTTGACTTTGATTTAAAATAAAATTTGCAAAATGTAATCGCCAAAGCACATGCAAACTAAAGAGATGAATTTCAAAATTCTATGATGAAGCAGCTCGAACTAGTTACCTAAAAATTTGAGCCCATGTTATAGTTCAATTCATTATCAAGTTATTAAACATTGGCCAAGTCCAATATACTTATTAAATCATAGAGACAAATATGGACCAAAATAACACCAACATTTTTCAGCTAAACTCCCTTCATCATATATGCAAAAGAATGTAGTCCTTCAAGTAAATATATGCCACTACAAAAGTAGATCCCACTGTACCCACGTACCTGGTAAATTGAGTTCGTGGCAATATCTGTGACAAAGTTGAGGTAAATTCTGCATAGGAATATTAGCTGAAACATTTAAAAAATGCGCCAACTTTGCAGTAATAGATCTCATCCAGCTATGGGAGGGATATGCTTTCCCATCATTCCATGTTTTTAGATTGAATTGCACATTATCGTAACCCTCAGGATAAAAATGGTTGATGTAATGGAAACTCAAATGCCCTTCTCTTATAAATCGTATTAGATCACCCAACTGGATGTTGTCCTTATTGATTAACAACGCCAAGTTTAGTAGTGCGTAGATTTTGATCCGCGATAGTACCGCTGGACCTTCCACGTACGAACGTGTAAAATTCTTATATGTGCCCTTATGGCAAGTATGCTCGTTGTTGGTGTCGTTTATGTGACGTTTTAAATGACCTGCTTTCATCGTCTTTAGCAATTCTTTCTTGGCAAGTTTGCTGTATTGTAAACGTGTTTCAGAATCAGAAGATGCGGCAGATGGACTCCTCAAGCTAGTTAAACTTTGATTTAGATCATCAGAAGGTAAAGTTGAGCTAATCTCGTTATATTGTGCCAGAAGATAAGAGTGCTGCAATCGGCATGTGTTAGATTGATAAAATTTGACACAAATACTAACTCGATCCTTTGAGTGTGTCCTTTGAGACAATGACTCATTTGTAAAAGAGTCAACAGGTGAAGAGCGGCGTGTTGAAGTTTTCCTTTTCCGTTTGGACAGTTTTCCATACACAAGTTCGGCATCTCTACAAGATATTGTTAAAATATGAAAATTTATAACGGGACATTTACAATTTTGAATGAACAGCTCCAACTTTAGGAAGATCCCCAGTCACCTCAAGTTCTTTTAAATACATTAACCATAAAATGTGTACTGTCTTTCTTAAATTAACATCCGCACCTAATCCGATTAGCTCTTCCACGAGACCTCGAAGAATATAATTGTAGCATTCCCAAGTAGTTAAACGATCAACACTCTTTGGAGAACGACGCTGTTTTGTAATTTTCTGCTTAATGGGAGGCGAATTTTCATCCCCATCCTCATGAACGTCAAACACTTGCTCTCTTACTTCCTGTGACTGCGTTAAGCATTCATTACAATAATAAAAACCGGCGTCTTTATGAAAACTGATGCCACCACAAACATTACACGATATTTCATTTTCCATGATCTACGTAAAGATTTTAATTTTGCCGTATTGTAAATAACCCTTTTCAAACATGTGAAGGACAACAGGAACAACAACAAAACAAAAATAAAACTGGAACTGCGCTTCGGCGCAGCGTTGCCAGTTGACTGTAAACCATATATATAAGAGAAGCTGTAAACCATATATACTTCCTTCTCTTATATATATGCTGTAAACACAGAACAGTAATGACAATTATTTGACATTTGATTTGACAATTCGTGCACTCAACAAAAAAGTTTTCACTACAATTATTACTAAAAATGTCGAATATTATTGATGTACTAACCGAAATGGGGTTTAGCCGTCAAAGAGCGTAATTTTACTCACTCAAGTGAGAGAAAGGCATTTTTCTAACCTTAAATCTTTTATAGGGAACTTGCAATTGCTGCCACGAAGGCTACCGAAGTCGAACAAGTGATGGAGTGGTTACTGACCAATGAAGAACCAGAACTTTCAATTCCAGAGCGGATAGACACCGAAACAGCTCCCGAAAACAAAGATTCGGAAAGTGTAGAAGAAAAGGCAAATGTGGAACCGCAAGAAAAGCAAGTGGTAGCTAGATCAATTAAATGTGATGACTGCGGTAAACTATTCACGTCAACTTTGGAAGTAGAATATCACAGTACAAAATCTGGTCATAGTAATTTCTCAGAGTCCACCGAGGAAAAAAAGCCGTTAACCGAGGAAGAAAAGAAAGAGCAGTTGGCAAAAATTGAAGCTAAACTTAAACAGAGGCGCTTAGAGCGTGAGGAACGTGAAAGGGTTGAGGCATTGGAACGAGAGAAAGGTCGTATTCGATCTGGTAAAGATTTGTTAGAAGCTAAACGTAAGCACGAGGAGGCAGAAATTAAAAAAATGGTAGAACAAAAAAATAGGGAGAAACAAGAAGAGAAGATGGCGAAAGAACGTGTCAGGCAGCAAATTGAGCAGGATAAAATCGCTAGGAAATCTTTGTTTCAACAGAAGACTGAACAGCCCTTGTGTGTTCCGGTTGCACCTGCTAAACCAATTATAAACTATTCTGAAGTTAAGCTTTGCATACGATTGACTAATGGTAAAACGCTCACTCAAACCTTTGGGGCAAAAGAACCACTTTCGGCGGTTCGTGTATTCATTGAAATGAACCGTACAGATGAGTCCGGGCCATTTCAACTTCGCCTTTCTTATCCTGTTAAAATATTTACCACTGACGACTATGATAAACCGTTAGAAATGTTAGACTTGGCACCAAGTGCTGTGCTTGTCGTTTCTAAAACGTAACAACTGTCTGAAATGTGTTTTTAATAAAGAATTATGTAATGGACGTCTTCAAAATGCACCGTATGGTTATGCTATAGACTGAGGTTTTTGCTAATTATTTTTGAATAATTCATGTTTTCAATATAATAAGCTTTAGGGACAAGTTAATGTGTACTTTTCGTGTGAATAAACAAATTCGATTATTCTGAAGAAACATACTATTCCATCATCTTAAATGTCAATTACAAGAATTTGTCACCTTTAACTTAAAGCATAATACCTATAATACTATGAAAAAGATTTTAATTTAGTTTCCATTCCCTTATATAGTTCATTTTATTCATGTTCTATTTTGAGAAAAATGAGTGCAAAGCCTTGTAAATGCCAATTCATATTATAGCGTGCTATTTCCATAGGAGTATTCACATTTGACGATCAGGTCACGGTCAGAACATGCTCATAAGAAATACACGCTACAATAACTGACCAGGTTGTGAGTGGAACGTGATGTGACCAATAATATTATATGAATCGGCCTTATGATCGTTTGCATCGACAAATTTAATTTAATTTTAGCTTAAGCGTAGCTTAAAATCCATTCCATTCAACTATTATTGCGACAGTGGTTGCCATGGATTTTAACCTGAGCTCCGCTTAAATTTGTCGGTGCAAACTGCCATTAATCGTGTAATAAATTTTACCCAAAATCGTCCTGAAACCTTCATTTTCATGCTTACTTTCTGTCAGGAAATTTTAGTTTTAGTCTGCTCTCTCCGCATAAGAAATTCATTGTAAACATTCGAGGCAAAAATGCAAGACATTATACGCCAGGTACCTAATGGTAAACTTCTCCTCTCACCAGTAAAAACTTACTTACCTGGCTAATATCATATATAATTATATATGATCACATATTTGATCAAAAACTTCTGAATGGTAGGTAATGTATATTAGTATATTACGACATGAAAGGTTGTAATAGTGCATATTACATCAGGTAAGTAGAAAAATTGCAATGGTAATAAATTCCACCATTGCATTTATAACGAGAAATACGGGTTATTTAGTTGTGAAGATTATATATTGAGCAGTGCTGATAGTGATGAACTGTCTATTATGCTTGACTATGCGAAAGCATTTTTGACACCATAAGCACAGATATTTATCTGTGGTTATATCATAAAGTCGTTACTGCTATTAATGCTAAAATAAGTATAGACCTAAACCTCAAATTCAGAGATTAGTAACTCTCTAAATACTGAAATTTAAAGGTTTTTAACTGCATTGCCAGAAATATTAAGAAATGTTGTGCGCTCAATTTAGGTTTTCTACTTTTAATAGAAATTTTTTCAAAGCCGTATCGTCCATGTCTTTCGTCTAGACTCATCCAGCTAGAAAAGATAGGGAAACACCTTAACAGTTTTATATAGCGTATGAGTTCAATGGGGCTTTGGCGGGGTTTATGGAAATGTTCTAAACGAACTTTAGATAGGCGTAGAAGGCTTTTCTGAACACTGGTGCCTCGTAAAAGCCCTCTAGATCCCTTCTAAATGGTATCCAGGCGCCTTTTTAGAGCCTGAGTCTAAAACGCGAGAACCCTTCACGTGAGCACTGAGTTTTTTTTAGAACATATTTAGGCTTCACTAAAAGTTTTTCAGACCATTCCAAAGCGTTTTATACTTTTATCAAATCTTTATAAATAAAAAGAGGTCCTTTCAAGATCGATGTTAACAAAAGTACGTCTGTCTTTGACATCTGCACATCATTTCAAATGGTTTGAGATTTCAGGAAAGAGAACACTTATACGTGGCCCCCTTTCGATGTCTTATTCGTAACTATATACCGCGTACTCGAAATAGGTAAGTACGGCAATTGTTTTTCGTATGGATCGTATTTTGGCTCCATGAAAGTGTGGTGTGACGTGTACCGTGTACCTTTATATACGTACCTACCTACCCACTATACCAATTTTTTTGGATACTATAAATGCCATTAACAAATGAGCCTCGATATTTACGCGATTTTGCAGTAGCGAAACTGTTTAGGAATTAAATTAGCGTCCTTTTTAGAAATCATCGCATAATTCGTAAACAGAAAGCTTGAATTCAAATGACTATACGTAGGTACATATTTATAAAATCGCAAAAAAAATTTTCACCGGAATTGTGTAATGCGTTGCGTTTAAAAAGTCCTTCAAATTGCTAAAATTTCAATTGTCTTTTACTGGGCACCCTGATTTCACTATTTTTTTGGAATCGCCATTAATATATGAACCACATTGACTAACATAGTAGTTGTGACGTCACAGTTCGTGTCACGTGACCCAGTTGATCCGTTGCGTTGTACATGGCTTCCAGCGTTCGCTTAATTTTTACGTTCTCGTCTCGGTTTTCGTTTAATTTATGAAGAGCTATATTAAAATAAACTTTTAAAAAGTAATTCTAAACACGTTAAAAATTTTGGTTCTTCTTTCGTTTGGGTCCATCGTTTAATAAACCGCGGCGTTAAAAGAAGTCTTTTACGAAAGTATAGCGTCCCTTCGTTTGAATTCGAATCGGCGTTTGCGTGTTTGGATCACGGTACGCGGATCCCGTTTTCGTGTTTTGATTTTGTGTTATTAAACTCAACCCTTAAAATAATAATAATAACCTATAAAGATAAAAGAATTCTTACCACTCGGCAATCTAGTTAGGTCATTTTGGTGATAAGGATGTAAATGTAAGATTATCGGAAAATGGCGTCCCATTTCAAACTTTCTTTCATTGCTAGCGGGTTTAAAACAACGTTTTGTGCCATTTTTCCGTGTTTGACATCAAGACGCCTAAGATGTCACGAGTATGCTGATTTAAGGTAAGTTTAAAGAGTTTCAAAACTTATCGTACATATTATCGTAATATGCTTGTGTTAATCTTGAGATGCCATCCGATCGTATCACTGCCTTATAATAAAACAACACGTTTTAAAGTATTGGAGATGTTTATTCGGTAAAAATGTCACATACATGTAAGTTGCCTTTTAGTAACTTGGAATAATTAGGGCCTAGTAGTGAGCGCTGCGATTGTGACGATGGCATTGGACTCCCAATTCGTCTGGTAATGGAGATTGAGATTCTGTTGATTCTGCAGCAGCTCTTTAAGCGTTATTATGCGCCCTACATTTTTTTACTTCCCAGTACGAAATTTACAAAAAATTCCGTAAAGTGTAATTCAACCATATATTGTTTTATCTTTTTGGTCTCCAATCTAGTTTGACGGAAGCACACTACAAAATTAGGATTTCTGTATTCAGATCATAAATTGCAAATCTGCATAATTCTTACAATTTCTATTACTTTTCATTTGACGAACTAAAACAAATCCATTACGACATGATCCGCCCCAGCTTCAAACTCTGAATCTACTGCGAATTGCCTTTGACATTTTTCCTCACAATTCTTTCAACCATTCCGGCCCTTCTTCCATGATCAGTGTTTGTTAATAGTAGATTACATAGCTACGAGTAAGTTACATACCAAGCTGGGAAGTGGTTTATTACCTACGCCGAGAGCTTAAGATATATCACCGACGCGCGGGAGATGAGGTATAAGCGCGAGGCGTTGGTTATAAACCACTATTTTATTCACAATCTGTCTTAAATAGGCAGTATAACAAATTCCACCAGGACCAGTGTCAGTGTAGTAATGAAATCTATTTGACATTGGTGTGCAAGTCAGGGAAGTACTTTGACGACCTCGACGAGGTTCGCGAAAGATATTTCCAAACTTCACTATTAATGCAAAAATTAACATTAATTTTATATATTGTATTGACTCTCATATCTGTTGAAATTTCTACGAGACATTTGCAATAATAGCAAAATATCAACCTAAAGTAAACCAGTTTGTACAATGAAACTATATTTAACTTTGTAATTTGTATTTTAAAAATTACAGGCTACAAGTTTAAAAATTCACTTCACATGCATCTTCATTTACACTACAAAACTTGTGTATGCTATCTTGAGCATTAATTTTTTAAGACACTATTTGAAAGACCTTATAAAACGTGTGTAACAACCTCAGATTGAGATGTACTTAATCGATAATTGTTTTTTATAATGTTAAACAGATTAATATTGCTTAAAATTAAGTTTTTATTGGCTCAGCAGTGAATAATACAAAAAACAAGGCATTCACATTTGATTTGCTGGAACACCTCGACAAAGGTTTATGTATAATTGCAGTCTTAATAGTTAATTCTATAGCTATTAGTTTTTCCTCTGCCTTGAAACATGCTGCTAAAACTGTTTTTAAACTTTTCCCTTGATTTGGTATCTTGACCTTCATTTTCTAATTGATTTACACTAAAAGACAACTAATTAATACACAAATAAAGGCGGCAAGTTTGAAGGGAAATTGGCAAAAACTGAAAAGAAAAGAAACCTACCCTTTTTTATTTAACTTTAAAAGTCGTATAAGCATACTTGTAATACAGGGGATTTGTTTTTGCAAGTGCATTCTCGTATCGGTAGGAACATTACTTTCATAATCGACAGCGACCCTTCTACTAACAAATGTGAGTAGTGTAAGTAAATCGTACAATTCACAACTTTCATCCAGTTCGGTACATAGAGCTTGAATAAACCATGATCCTTTAGCGGTATTCCTCCAAGAATAGTAGCCGGGTATAGTCGAGTATACAAGAAGAAAATCGGCATGTGTCGGAATTCTATACGAGCTCCAAGGATGCCCATCTGTTTCCGTTCTGTTTAGTGTCACACCCGGATCTAATCTATCCCCCTGACAAGCTTGAATGAAAAACAATTTCGGTTTGCCGGCTAAACTCGGACATTTATCTGCTGTAAAGGGCATCCACAAATTTTCTGGTTTATATGCCGAATCCTTGGCATACAAAATTCCTAGTTCGCCGTGTGTTAAAATCACCATAATAAAACAGTCATTATCACAATGATCTAAATCCGCAGCAGCGCTCACTCGTGCGTATAAATGGGAGTATTCCAGATTGTGAAAAACTTGAACATCAAAACCGAGCGTCTTCAAACGAATAACCAAGCATTCACAGTCCACATTGGTACCGGATCGTCTGGAAAGGCCGCCGATATCAAAGTGTTCGTGATTAAAAACAATTGCGACGCCACGATTTTTGTGATTCATATTGTAGTAAGGTGCATTACGCTCTGTGGGCATCTTTGCGATGCAAGGTTGATAAAATGCTTTGGAATTACTCAGAGCGTCTTTTTCATCGTTTTTATTTGAATTTCCAATGCAGTTTCCATCATTTTCTTCAGCCATATTTACTGGAAACAAAATATTATTCTAACTCGTAAAAATATTTGTAATTATATTGTCTGTTCAACAAAGAAAAAACAAAGTACTAATAAACAAAAGCAAAGTAACCGAAAATATTCTCCCCCAAAAGGCCACGCACGGGGTATTTGTTGCTACAATCATTACTGTTGGTATACTTGCAGATGTGTTAAACATTGACTCCCTCGGTACTGCGCATAGGCAAGCGTGCTTAAATTTGAATTTCATTTAACGCACTCGAAATTAATAAAGCTTCGGTCATCACTGTGAATTCCAGTTAGATTATAGCCCCAACTTGAAAGCAACCGTCACGATAGGTCTTGGTCAGCTTAAAGTAGAACTTGTGTGTACTTTCGTTTCGATGTACACACCTAGAGCACTGAGGTAACAGTATGTAGGTTTATTGCGAGAGTGATGGAAAAAATTAATAAAGATATTGCAAATGTTTCTTAAAGAGCCCTTTAACCACATTTTGTAACCCTGTGTTCAATTGTCCTTTTAGAATTCAACCCTACGGCATCTGTTCCAAACTGCGGGACCTTTAGTAACTATTTTCATTTTTGCCTGAAGGCTCTGGATTCCCTGGCGATTACACCATTGCAAATAACGCGTTATAATTTCCTTCTTTTTTTTTAAAAATCTGATGCCCAAATTTAATAACTAAATCATAAACAAATTATCTTTTTTTACTATGAATCATCATGCCCCTAAAATTTGTGGGGGTTACTTTTAAGATGGCAATTTCCGTCAACGGAATTTATAATTTGTTCTGTGCATTTCATTATAAGAATCACTGATTAGTTTTTCACAAAAGAAAAGTAGTTTTCTCCTAAATTGAAATCCGTGATAAATAAACAATGCCAAATTTTGTTTTAAAAGCGCTGTGATTTGACCATCTTTTTAAATCAGTCACGTGCGATGACGTCGTACCTACTACGTCATCGCGTAATGTCACGTGACCCAGTTTTTAGTTTATCGTTGAAGCCGCTTACGCGTCCTATGCAGCTTTTTTCCGTTTTCATTGAAAATAAGAACGATCATAACAAAATAAACGCGAGAAAATTAAAACTAAACACTTGGAAAATTGTGGCACGTCGTTATTTTCGGCCCGTCGTTACATAAATCGGTGTTTTCAAACGTTTCAATGTTTGTGGTTATGATGGCGTCCCCTTTGAATTTAAACTCGCGATTGCGTGTTAGGTACCTCGATGTTTCTTGCATTGTTTTTCAAATTATAAAGTGTCGTGATATTAAAAATCAACTCTTTAAAGTAATAAAGCGAATTCGGAAAGCACATTGCTCGTTTCGGTGCCGTGTATAATTTCTTACCTAAAACTGGTGCTGTCTTGTGCAATTACGTGGGTTTCTGTTTCTTGTTTTGGATCAAGACGTCTATGATACGATTTCAAGAATATAGGTATCGACTTGAGGTAAATTTTCAAACCTTTTAAAGTTCCATCATACTTCTTACCGTACGGCCTTAACCTCGAAATGCTACATAGGTACCATCTCTTAGTTTACGATATTCTACAATAAAAAAGCATGTTCAAAAGTTCAATATTTATAGTTTTCATTTTGGTGTAAATGATATAATAACGAAATATAGTCTGACTGATCAATGTACGTATTTTTCGGTGAATTAAGATGGATGGCGATATGCTTGTTGATGTGCAGACCATACGGAAGATAAAACGGTAATTACATTGTACACAATGTGGTCAAACACACTCATTTTACTACCTTCCTCGTAAATATAACAACATCCGCATCGTAGACTTTTGGAGTATAAGGTAGATTTTTATTACCGTCCAATGCCTAATAATCGGTAGCAGATGTAAAAATTCTTTACCTTCACAACCTGTTGGAACGATCAGGATCAATTCATCTTGTAATACTAGTTCAGACTCAACGCTGCATTATGTACCGTTACTTTAACAGTACTCCGCTCGAAATGAATTATAAGATCGTACATTTATCTTATTTCAGTAGGCGTTTCTTAAATGGAGGAAATTCACAAACATGGGAAACCTGCTCGGAATTGTGACTTTCAGGTTTTCTCCCATTCTTTCAAGTATTATTGACAGTGCAATCCAAAGTGCATTGCTGTCAAGTCACTTGTTTTGTTTACATGGGAAATCGTACTTAAATTGAACTTCCAAAGGCGACTCGACAGCACCTTATTTTTGATCGCCCAATATTTCTGTACTTGCAAATTCAAACCACTTTAGTTGTTGAATAATGTCAACGATAATATAAATTTTATTCGCATATTTACACTTAAAGTAAGTCCGTAAAAATTATAAATAGTAGACTTCTTTTCTTTCTAGTCTAGAGGCGCCATTAGCCTCCTCCCATTCTATGCATGCTTTGATGTTGAAGTATTCTTGCTAGCATATCCCATATTGTCTTTATGCTTCCCCTTTTCTTCCTATTTTGAATTCCGGTGTTCCATATGTACGGTTTTCGCAAGCTGACTGTTTTCCATTCCTCCAAGGCGTCCAAATAAGCGTTTTAATTTTTGTCTATCAAAGGTCTCTTCTCAAAGATCTTCTTACTAGGAATTCCACCAACTCCCCTTACCCTTCGCAAGTACTTCATTTCAGTAGCTTGTAGTCTGGTTTTTTGTGATTCGTTCAGCACCCAACTCTCTCTCTACCGTAGGTCAATAATTGGTCTGTAACGTTATTGCTGTAAGTAGATTTCATTAACTATTTCTAATTAACTGTTACAGTACTTACCGAAACAGTTTCTTCCTATCGCCTTTGGCATATTCTAGGAATTCCTCGAGAAATTCATAGCCATGTACTTGAAATGTAGATATCCAAATTCATCTTGATAATACCTACTACACCTACTTACAATAGGTAAGCAGGTAAACTAAATTTTCTTCAATTATAGCGTTTGCAGGTTATGTTTATTATTTACAAAGATTTACACCTTTCCAGATTTACACTACTTGACAGTTTTACGCAAATTCAAATTTAAGCGCGCTTGCGTTTGCGCAGTACCGAGGGAGTCAATATGCAACACATCTGCAAGTTATTAAAACAATGAACTTTGTGTTATAGAGGGTACTGAAATTTTACCATTGGCGCACGATACAGTGAGTGTATGGGGCGTATCGTGCATTGGCGTACCTGTTCAAAGTAATTTTTGTGGCAGGGTCTTTCTACGTTTTTGTATCATATACTTATATAATAATAATTGATAATAATATATATTTGCTTATTATACAAGGGGTACTTACAATGATTAATTTCGCTATTGAGAATTGAATGCAATTATTTTAACGTTTACAGTGTGTTTTCAAAAAGCACAAAACAAAAATGATCATTTTCTCATATTGATTGATTATATTTTACTTTTCAGTTCTTGACGAACGAGGAGTGCCGGAGAAGTGTGCAGTGTTTCATCATTACTTTGGTTGATATGGTTCTTCCCAGGACAGACTGAATTATTGAGGCTAAAGGGTAAGTGTCCATTCCTTTTTATTACCAGTGTTTATTGCTCAATTTCTTTAAGAAAACGGTCAAACAAACAAACGCTTGACTACTATCCCAGTCAAAATTTTCAATTGTTTTAAACTATACATATTTTAATATCATTTCTAACATAAATCTTCTCTTTGTTACAGATTGCAGAAATGCGGCCTCATAAGGTAGGATTTTTCCTTTTATGCATGGTGTATTGCATGTCATTTTTTGTACGGGGGGAAAAGTGAATAGTGAATATCAACCAGAAGGAAGACCAATAATTGTTCTGAGAATGAGTTTCGTGTGTATAGCTATGAAAATTGAAACAGTTTTCCCTGTCTGTCATCCTAGTGACGTACGATTGACTGCAATGATTCTTAGGAGACTTTTTCGCAGCGTCCATCTGTTTCCTTCATATTGGCGAGTGTGACTGTGAATTCACAGCCATACCAGCTCTGTGATGCAAACAGATTTTCTCTGCGAATAAGCCTAAAGAATCATTGGTGCCGTTTTTTCCGTTCCCAAGCTGAGGGACTTTGAGGATTATTATTACATTTTCATTTATATATTGCACGAAGTTCATCTTAGAGGAAGGTAAGTGCGTGGTCATAATATAATAATGGATTACTTCATCAACTAAAAACTTTGTGGTTACCTAGCTACGTACTAATCTCATCGATTGTTACAGGCGCCATCGACGTCGCTCAACCTGCTGATGAGGATTATGCTGACCGCCAGTGCCGGATTAAGTATTCCTGAGGCAGGGTTTACCTACAAAAGCCCCCCTCCACCCCTCCCCTTATCAAAAATTTCAGTTCCAACTTTTACCTTCTAAGATTATCAACAAGCAATTGAACAAGAAACTAAATTTTTTGGTCCTCTGATTATTGAGATTATTGTTTGTAGCATCCAATTATTTTGAAATTATACTTGCTTGCCACACTCTGTGGTATTTTTTAATGGTCAATAAGAAGTTACGGATATTTCCAAATTTTCAAAATACCAGATTTACGGGAACATTCGTATTACTTGAAGTCCCTCCGGGTTTCCAGGGCTGTAGCCCTCATTGTCTCCCTCTTAATCCAGCGCTGCCAATGACCTCTGCGATGGATCAGCTCGAATTCAAGCCTGCTTTCGACTCAGTTCAACGATTATATTGACATGGATCACGCAAACGAGGTGAGTTTTTCACTGTCCATAACAGAAACGCAAAACTTCATATAATTTTTTTTTAGTTATTGGTAATGGCGTTCGAGGAGAATCCTTCATGCTAGTAGCTCGAGGTGATCGTGAACTCCTACGGTGATGGTGCTTCCTAAGCCAGACTGTATTAATATGGTTAAGGTAAATTTTCACATCTTTATTAAGACGTAATAGCAACGCAAAAGTTCCTCACCTCTAGGGTGACTCTTTCAATAAAGAAACCCCTCCCCTCCCCCCAACATTACTTTTTTTTTTATTAATTTTCGATAAATTTCTATTATTTTATTTTTTAACTTATTTTTCTTGTTTCAGATTGTAGAAGTGCAGCCTTATAAAGGTAGGATTTTTCTTTTCTATGCATGGTTGTATTATTTTGCAGCAGTGGGGGAAAAGTGAAGTGTACAGTGGGAATCGGCTCAGTGTTTCAACTGGGTTGATTCTTCCTAAGGTCTCTCTCGCGGCATAATCAGTTTGTATCGATCGGCATGACTATGACTTCATAGCCATACCAATTTTACGAAGCGAAGCGATTTTTTTCTGCGAATCTCACTATGGTAAAAGTAATAAGACATGATACCTGTGCGCCTTCGTCAACTAGTTTCTATAACAGCCTCTGTAGATAGCTCGACTTTTTTAAGACTTGCGGTAAAGAAATAATTTTGTCTCATAGGGTTTATTTGCGGAAAATTCTCCCTCTTTTCTTCTCAAAAGGATTTAATGCAGGATCTTATTCTTCTATAAATAATGCCATGCGGCATTTTAACGGTAATTTATTGAATTGTAACAGTTAGTGGGTATACCAGGTGAACAAGTTAGCAATGTCGTTAATTTTGGAGGTGTTAAAGGGAGTCAAAATAAGTACTTTCGCCTCTCCTTGGCTCTTAGTGTTCGCATTCTGTACAGCATTTTATGTGGAAAAACATGAAAACTGAGGTTCCACAAAGAAAACTGGTTAAGCCATTTCCTTATTTTCACATATTTTCATCTACGTTCCTAATCTATTGTTTCTCAAAATTTAACAAAATCATCTTCAGGTAAAAAAAAGGCGAGATATTGGTTAAAAACAGATTATACCGGACTTTATTTCGGCCCCTGTGTGTTTCAGTGTCATTATTGTGCAGAAAATTATTATCTCAACGCATTTTGGTTTAAGTTTTAATTTTGATTTTTGGAAAATATTCCACACCAGCTACTTTTAAAATATTCGTCATAATTAGGCATGGGAATTTTTTTCGATATATCGATAGGTATCGATAGTTATCGATATATCGAATAACAATAGGTAGAGCTAAAAAAATCGATATATCGATAGATCGATAACTATCGATATATCGATACTTATCGATAAGTATCGATATATCGATACCTATCGATATGTCGATAACTATCGATGTATCGATATGTCGATAACTATCGATATATCGATAACTATCGATATATCGATAACTATCGATATATCGATAACTATTGATATATCGATAACTATCGATATATCGATATGTCGATAACTATCGATATATCGATAGGTCGATAACTATCGATATGTCGATAACTATTGATATATCGATATGTCGATAACTGTACGATAAAATTATGTTATTGTTGAGATTTCAACGAGCGCCACTATTTTTATTAATAAAATCCATTTTCGGGTTTACTCTCGTGTAAATTTACTATTTTTAGTTGCTCGACGTTTCGGAAACTTAACTTTGCTCCCTTTCTCAAGAGAAGCGCTACGTCACATCATCATCCATGCCAAATAAACGCAGTAATAAAATCTTTAGAAAATAGATCTTTTCGTCTTACTGACGATTGCTCAAAAAAAGAAGCACTTCAAAAACTTGAACAAAATGTTGCATCAAAATGGCTACTCTTTAGATAAAATAAAGAAGACAATCAAAGGGTGTAATCATGGCCTATGTATCGGTATCTGACTGATGGTTACAGAGGACCAGTCACAAAAAAACAGAAATGCTAAAGAGCCCTGCGATAATTGCACAGTTAATATATATGGTAACTCCATTAAAGTTGCAAGAACTGCATTCGGTTATTTTCATATTTTGTTAAAAGAGCCCTCTTGTCTTGTCGGGCTCTTTCGCCAAAATATAAAAGTAAACTCATGCAGTTTTTAGACACGCTTTCAAAAAAATTATCGGTAATATTATATCGATACCTATATATTAAAAACTATCGCCATAACGAGAACTATCGATATACCGATACTTATCGATATAGCGGTAGTTATCGATCTTTCGATAGTTATCGATGTATCTATAACCATCGATATTTCGATAATTATCGGCATATCGATAAGTAAAATATATCGATAGGTAAGTACCCGATACTTATATCGATAGGTGAAAACAGTTATCGTCCATCCCTAGCGATAACTATCGACATATCGATAACTATCGACATATCGATATATTGATAACTATCGACATATCGATATATCGATAACTATCGACATATCGATATATCGATAACTATCGACATATCGATATATCGATACCTATCGATAGTAATCATATATCGATAACTATCGATATATCGATAACTATCGAAATATCGATAACTATCGATATATCGATAACTATCGATAACTATCGACATATCAATAACTATCGATATTTCGATAATTATCGGCATATCGATAAGTAAAATATATCGATAGGTAAGTACCCGATACTTATCGATAGGTGAAAACAGTTATCGCCCATCCCTAGTCATAATAACAAACAATTTAAATGAAACACGATCATGAACCTTAATTTTGTTTATATATTATCCTTTATTAGCAATTATCATACACATCAATAACAAAACAAATCGTGAATACACTTTGATAATAACTTACTTAGTTTGTTATAGAATATTGATATATATGTTAATCATCGAACAAAAAAGAAAGGGTACAACCTCTATACTTTGCATTAAATAAATGCCCTTTTCCTGAATATGACAGGGCTCCAAATTACACTATCTATGCTATAGGCAGTTACCTACTTGTAAATACAATACACATTCAATAATACACTTAGCTAAACATCGATAAGTGTATGCAGAATAATTATTACGGAAGATGCCTTCTCAAATGAGGGAAACGTTCAGTAAGAAGCTAGCTCAAAAGTCTCAATGTGTTGTGGTCACAATCACTAACTCGAACAATACATGCTGACTGTTGTATTAGCCTTCATTGTCAAACATCATAGCACAGTATATACAGATATACATCAATAGATTGAATGTCAAGCAAGTAAAACCAGCTAACATGTAAAATTCCGCATTGGTACCTTCTCGAAAAAACCACTAATTCTATGCAAAGTATAGCTTGTAAGATATTCGATGAATATCGTGCAAACCTTCACAAATGTATTCGGTTACTCAATTGACTAAATCGTACACTTTCAAAATTATTGGGCGATGAAAATTGACCATTGAAAGTATTCAATTTAATAATGAAGTAACCGTACTGCGACATTCCTTATATAACGGTCTTCACTTAAATAGAAGTTGGCAATACACATGGAGCCAGAAAATTTTACTCGATGTTAAGATGTTCAATCTGAAATATAAAAATATTTTATTTAAACGAATTATAATAAAGCAACCTTTACAGCACAACAATAAAAAGAATTCCGTGCTAGTTTTTTTTGTTAAAAAAATCATTCTCCTCTGAAAAAGAATGTCATTGTAATCAAAATTACCGCACACCAATCTAGGAATATAACGCACTTTAATTTTTACAATTAAATGAAGTTGTCGTAATACAAAATTATTTTCTCAAATTGAGCTGATGTACCAGAGCTTAGGATGGATGAATAAACTTGCAACGCCAAAACCCAAAACTGATTTTATTACTGGCCGAACGAACAGCAAAAACTAAAACCAGGCAGCGTGTAACAAACATTACAACAATTTTTCTCAAACGCAACAAATTAGATTTCTATATTCTGTATAGCTCCTAAATAGCTTAAAATTGTGACAATCCATAGCTCCAAATGGGGTGCTTACTAAGCTTCGGAGAAATAAAACCAAACCTGTATATCACATACAGGACTACAACATCTACGGGGAATTAAAAACTAATTAAGTTCGCAAACTTTCAATAACATTTGAATCTACAAAATATTCAACCCAAATACGAAATTAGGTTAGTACAAAGCACGACACCTCCAATTACGCTATGTAAAATTTGCATAAATGCAAATTAGTGATGTCGAAAATTGAAGTATTCGTTACACATAGGAACGAATACAAGCTTCTAAAAGTATTCGTTCTTTTCGTGATTTCGTTACCGTTAATGCAGTGCAGTTAAAGTAGTCCAGTAGTACTTGCAGTATTGTAACGTAACGACTAACGATATAACTAATAACGATATTTAGAAAGTTTGTAATTTTGCATACAAAACTCGAGAGCCGAGCCGCGGATTGAATTTCGTTTACCTATGCGAAGTTGGATTTTTGCTTGACCACATCATATAAGTCTTTTTAATTAAATACCTACATTTCTTTCTTTCTCGGGCTTTGAATTATACCTTAGCTACATACAAAACACAAAGGAACTGAAGATGAGTAGTAATAATCCATGCTTCTAAATGCATTATGTTACATGAGTAACGAAAGTAACGATAACGAATACTGATCTGCATAGTAACGAAATGTAACTGGTACTAAAAAGTAACGAAAGTTGACATAACTAATGCGAATTGAATGTTTTTAATTCCCCCTAGATGTTGTAATCCTGTATGTGATATAAACTTTGATAATGGAAGCAGTTGTCTTCCGAAATATATCAGTGTAACCCGTGTAATCTTTTTGATTTATTACAATTTTTGTGGGCAGATTTGGTGTTATTTTTCCTAAGCTCCTAAATAGCTCATAATTTTGTATTAGGAGTAGTGAAGGGTCTAGTTTGAATGGGGTTGCACATCTTTAACTTAGAACAAACTTTTTATTAACTGATTGTAAAAATCTTTACGAATTCTTTGTAATTCCAATGTAATGTCTTAAACACCCAAAGTAATCCACATCTTATATTCTATCGGTAATTCTGGATTGTCACAATAATGCAAAATAAATTTAAGTAATGCTAATTTATTGATAAGTGATTTTCCCCTCGAGCTAGGGTGCAAACCTACTACAAATGCTGTAAAAGTCTTACTTCATTTTGTCATAATCTTAAGATATTCTAATGCATTATGTGCAGCATTAGACTGGGCATCTTTCGACGAGTTGCCAGAACCGTAGCAAACAGCTACAGGTAAAGTTGACAACTGCACCAAACACTGGCTCTTCCCATTGAGAGACTTTTCTTCCACGTCCACGTACGTCACTTCGAATTGTTGTTCGGATGCGATCTCTTGTAAAAATTGTACAAAGTTGAAGTCTTTGATGTTCAGCGACGTATTCTGAAAATAGCTCATTTTAAAAAAATAAATACAGTTAGGCAAAAGTACCTGTAACTCGGTTAACTTATTTCCACGGGATTGTTTCAAAATCTTGTGAAATTGCGATACTTTATGAGAATGGGGGGTGTTCACAGTGGTGATTTTACTATCTTTCAGTCCACTGTAACGAGTCTGCACACGTGTTGTTAACTAAAGATAATTGAAATAGCAATAGTCTGAAAGACAGTAAAAATATAGGTTTCGGTTAAAACACTTACCTCGTCCTCCTCCTCAAAACCTTGAGGCAGATTCGTCCCCTCTATTGGCATGTCTTGTAAAGCTTGCCACATTTTATGAGCCGCCATTCGCTTTGCCAACTTCTTCGATTTCCCCATGCCTACCTCCCTATGTTTCAATACTTCGCATGCAATTGTAAATTGTCTCTCGTGGGGAAGCCCTTCTTCGTGCACCATCTCGTACGAAGGCGGAGGCCAACGCCGTGACATACACATTTCTTGCAACCAACCTATCGGATTACCCATTACTTTATCATCGTACGGTGAAACAACTTGATTAGTGCTGTAATGCAGCATGTTAAAAAATTATACATTATCATTCTTTAAATACTGTATAGTTGAACAGATCCAATTAAACATACTCGCAATTATATTTCTTTTGATAGAAACAATAATATGTAATTCTGTACAATGACTAATTATTTTTAATTTAACGTAGTCAAAGCAAAAATAAAATTCAGAATAATATCAACGTATTCCTTATTAAGCCATTATAAAGTTTGGTACAGTTTGAAATGTTGCAAATGACCGACCATCCGAAGAGGTGAAAACAGTCTAATGTACAAAAAATGCGTTCAACAATTGGGGATAAAGTTACTAAAATTAAATCCCATTTTTAGTGAAAATCTTTCTTGGGTTAAGTTTTAACTTTCTTAAAAAATAAAACAACGCATAGGTCTGAAGATGGCTTTTAAAAAGAGTGCCTTGGAAATAAAAAATTTTGCTTTAAAATTATTAAGTACAAAAGCAGTGATATGTGCAAAATTTACCTACTTAATTAATAATTAGAATTGTTCATCTATTTAGTTTTACTTGCTTCCAAGGCACGCAAAAGTGAGTATTTTAGTCAAAACAAAATATTGGGCGCCAGTTTCCCACGTAAACAAACATTCTAAAGGTGACTAGACAGTCGCCCATTTTTGATTTAATTAAAAAAAATTCCCATTGAAAAATTCAAAGCTACAATTTTCGACTATGAGGAAAAACTAGTCATATGCCTTCAAAAAAGTATTGTAATACTGCCACCTACTAAATTGTCCATTTCTACTAGGTTGCATACAAAATAAAAAATTCGAAAGATGAAAAATGACATTCTTATCAAAACTAATAGCAAACTCCGGCTTTTCATTTTAAGATTTATGTATAGCAATTTTGACTTACTCTTACAAACATCATCTCATAAGATACATTCATTGATTAATAGTGGTTATTATAAATTAAGCTAATTAGTATACCAATTATGCATCTTCTTCTCAACAAGACAACTATTCCGGTACTTTATCACTGAAGGACTTTAAAGTCTGGCAATGTTATAGCCCCACCTTTCATTTCATTGTATTTTTCTAAACTAGAACTAGTTTTTTTGTTCAAGTAATATTCCCATAAGATTGTTCAACTATAAAGTATTAAAACAATGACTTTATCATGAAACACATACATATCAGTACCAGAAGATGTTCCATTTGCAGCATTTGCCTGTTCCGGTGTTTGTTTCCCAATTAATAAATCGAGCAAATTTTTCGCAGCTGCGTGTTTGGCCTCCTTCTTTGATCTACCCGTACCCGTCGCCACAAATTCAGAACTCAGAAACACTCGATATCTAAATATTGGTTCGTGAATTGCTCCTTCAATTTGAACTAGCTCATATTTCGGTGTGATGCCACGTCGGCTTAATAACTCTTGTAAAACTGAGACGGGTGTTTTTGTTGGAAGTGATTGCATTTCCTTAAATTGTACTTAATTAGACGAGATAGGTAGTGTTCGAAACAACAGACATTACCAATTTGGCAGCTTCACCTAACGACATTCTTTCTGACTGCATTGCATGTATTGACTGGCGATTGTTTCTACGTCGAGCATGAGCCGCTACATTATTGTGTAATGGAAGATGCGGAGGCATGACTTGAAAAGTTGGTGGTTCCATTTTATACTGCTGCAACATTAAAACAGCTTTTTAGATCAATCATTTTAAAATGAAATGTGACAACAAATGCAAACTGTCTATTATTGGAAATCAATAATACACATAAAAGCATTCTGTAATGGAAATTGCAATTTGTTACCATGTATACGGAGGAAATCTTGTAGACTTGAACTGTATAAATAGCGGTATAAAATGAACCGGCACCTTTTTACACAAATAATTTAATATTTGCTCAGCTTCTCGTGCTAATCGAACAAGTCTTGGCGCAATTAAGTATTTTACCAACATTGAAATGTTGGTGGATATTGGGTCTACCAATACATACAAAACAAAATCCCCTAATACCAACGCAGTATGCTTGCCATACCGGGTGATTGCAAATGTATGATAGTTGGAATTTTCCGCAAAACATTTATAAAGTTTATACCACATCACTTGTTATTAATTTAAAATTAGTAGTATGCCATTGGGTATGTTTTGCAACAATTTTTCCTGGTAACCAAATTACAATCGTTTTTCCGCCATAGGCCGTCGGGCACAGTAAGGTATACTGTATACTGCGGGGTTGGTGAATTTCATCCGAGATTAAAAAGACCTTGTTTAATTATTCTAGTAGCTACCTACCTGGCACATTGTACTCTCCTAATACCTCAAGCATTTACAGAGAAGCCAGAGGCCACAACTAAACTACTATCCAGGTTCGCATTTTAGAACGAGTTCAAAATAATGAAACAAGTAAAAAGGTTTTCGCCCTCAGGCCAGTAACTTCAGCGCATTTTCCATGAATTAATCAGTACTTCCCAAAAGGCCATATCGGTGTGAGATATGTTTTTTTTACTAGAGGCAATATGGTTAAAATTTCAAAGAAATGTCGCCATAAATAAAAAAAGTTGACGTTGCGCAGGAGCACATTTAATTTATGCTGTAGCTATAGGTAGGTACCTATGCGATGTTTATTTTTACTAGAAGCGTAGTTTAATCGCCGAGATTTTCCTTGGCTCAGGTGCCAGAGCTATAGTACGCTACCGAATGCAAAAAGAACGAACTAAATATCTTGAAAACTGCAGTATAGTGGTTAAGGCCGCGGACAGACAAACAGACAGACGGACAGAGAAACTGGCTGCAATAGCGCACCCAACTTCGTTGTAAAATGCGCTAAAAATGATCGAATGAACTTTTGTGCATGGTAGGATTGAAAAATGTGCATATTTTGAGCAGAGAGTGACAGTTCCTCACGAATTACCAGTATTTCGTAATTTAACACATTTTGTTATCTAAAACTGTTTTAAAGTAAACAAACTAGTCTAGTAGCCTTCACCATTTTATAGAACACTGTGATGATGACCTCTGGTCGAAACATGTAGTGCCTTTTATATCTGTTATAGGTACCTAATAAACTATGGAAACGGTTTAAAGATCGTTGAATCACTTCATAATCAATATCACATTTTGAGCACGATGAACTTCAATATATACCTAATTACTGTATCTATAGTTACAGTTTCGTTGCCAACCGGTATAAAATTATACGACTCATTGCAAGATGCTATACCTAAATCCTATGTCTTATTATTAAGGTATATGACGTTGGTGAAATGTACCACTTTCTTACCTTTTGTAATACGCATCATTCTGAATTTTAGTCAGTCTCTCCTATCCTGGCTACAATATCTAGAAAGGAAATAATTAAATTAAAAACTGAATAAATTAGTTCAGTTCGACTTTTTATTTGACACAATGGCAGCACCATACACTGAAAATAAGCTGTTTGTGATTTAGAAAACGAAAAACAAATAAATAGATTGCATTAAAAATAAAATGTCAGTATTTTAATTATTGAGCAAGTGTATACGTTATTGCTAATAATATTACTTAAGGGTACGAAACTAATTTGTATTTACAAGTTACAGACGAACTAACTAACGGTCAATCGACCGCCAGTTTCGCTTTAACGGAAATGGCACCCTGAGTAAACATTATCTACCTACTTGGCTAGCACTGGAATAATTGTCTTGTTTTTTTACCTAAGAATGAGATGGCATGAGTTTATGTTTTGTGGCACGTGGATCTTGAAATACGTAGTTGTTGGGAGTCGCACGGGGGATTCTTTCGCAAGGTAACTCGGGCAGTTTGTCGCCGGGATGACGGTGACTTATCGACGGTAGTTTCCTTGCGGGTTTGTTTATTTGGGTGTTGCTAAGTCCCGACACTGGGTATTTTGTTTTAGAACTGTTCGATTGGCGGATATTGACATCGGTGGGATGTTTGGGCATTACGAACGCTTTGGTTTGCTTGATGAGAGAGCGATCATTGCACAACGCGGCAATGAGAGGCAAGTCCATTTTCTTGCTTTTCTCGCGTAAGGTTCTTATGTCTAGGGGGCGTTGAATTTTATCCACTGTTTTAACGTCACTTTCACTTTGAAACTTGGCATCTGCTATGTCACTAACACATTTTTCCAAAATGTTGTGCAAGCTGCTGCCGCCTATGCTTTGGCGACTGTCCGACGTTCGCTCGGGAACAGGTGGAGGCGGAGGAGGTGGCGGAAGTCGTCTAAATTTCGGTGGCTGTGGAGTGTCCAAGGAGTTGAGGATGTTGTCATCTGAGCGAGTGCGCAAAAATCGACTTGGACGGTTTGGTGGTGGAGGTGGTGGTGGGGGATCGAAGCTTCCCGTCGAAGAAATGCTCGGCGCTCCGTAGAGTGGAAGATGTACGTATGTATCGGAAAGGTTTTGACTGGAGGCATAGCGACTGAGGTACGGCGTGGAACGATAGAAAAGAGGAGGCGTCTGTGCAAGTGCCGCCAGTATTGATCCTTGCTTTGCTTCCAAATATTCTTGTTTGCTTATTGCAGGTTCTTTAAGTGGAAATACGACAAAATCCACATCGCTGTACATTTGCTGTTGGTACTGTTCGATCTGAGTGCGAGACAGCTGACTTGTGTAGACAGTGGCGAGCGTAGGTGGGGGCGGAGGTGGTTGTCTGGGAGTAGGAGGCGGAGGAGGTAGAAACGTACAGGGTACCAATACACTAGCTTTACTGGCAGTCAAATCAAGATAGTTATTTGAGGAGATGATTGGCGGAGGAGCTCTGGGATGTTTGGGAGGAACTGGAGGTACAGCATTCGGTATCGAATAACTTGGCAAGGAATTTGCACCGACATTACTGGTATGTGCTGTAAGAATGTTTGGAGGTCGAGTGGTAATGAATCTGGCCATTGCTTCTTCAGAAGAATACACTGGGGACGGCGCAGGAACCGTGTTCTTTGGATATGGAGGTGGTTCTCTCAAGGAGATCTCGGATAAACAAAGAACATCGTCAAAATCGGGCACCGGATCGAGTTTATTAAGTTGTGTAGGATAAGGAGGAGGCGGAGGTCGGATTCGCGGCTCTACACTATCAACGCGCTTCGGTGGAATTGGAGCATAACCTTGATAAGATGAGGGTAATGTTACATAATCTGAATCGGAATCTAAGGTGTGACTGACGCTTTTACAAGAGGGATATCTTCCTACAATAAGATCGGATAGCTCTTCAGCAGATAAAGGTGTAGGTTGTGTATCAGTGGGGTCACTACCATCTCCTCGAAAAGACCCAGAATTGCTAATGTTGGAATTGGAACGATCTCTAAAAGGAGCGTCCACCTGATCGCCTACTGAGCTATATTGCTCACTCGATGCTTGATATTGATCACTAAGGCTGACAGTATAGTGATCGCTTGAGGCCATCGTGTACACTCCGCTGGTGTAGCTGCTTGGCGGAGGACCTGACACGGAATAGACAGACTCCCTAGTGTCCAACTCGATGCACGTAGCATCACTAACTGATGAGTTCTGTGCTGTATGTGAATAGCCCAATTCCAAACTGCTGCTGGTGGATGGTCTCCTACCTTTCACCTCTATAACGATAGGTTATTAAAACTAACTTAAAAGAAAAATTACTTACTTGTATGCAAAGGTGTAACAATCACTGTGCTGCAAGAAGAGCTGCACTGAGAACCGGGGCATTTCCCGCTAGTAGTCTTAGTCGAGCTTTCACTATTGGTATTTTTTCCAGTATCGGAACTATCCTCCTTGGAAGAGCCAATTACAGGAGGATTCGTTGCAGAAACTAAAGATGTTCGACTGCTGGGAGGTGCACTATCTAAGAGATGTGCTAAAGCTAGACTCTCGGTAGATGGTGCTGGAGGACTCGTGATCATAATCTCTAGCTCATCTTCGGAGTGCACTCGATCGCTCACAATGCCCGAAGTAGTGTTAGATGAGGTACTGGATATAACAGAAATTCTCTGATCGCAATCCCAACGCCTTCGATCTTCTTCTTCGCGCCGAACCTCGGTTAGCCTAGGCGCTACTGCCATGCTAAACTGATGGGTGGCCTTGCATAAGGCAAGCAGAAGTCGACTTTTCTCATCGCTGCTGGAATATAAAGTGATTTTTTCGTGTCCAGTTCGAATTTCAAACTTCTTGCGTTCGAAGCTCAATTTACCAATCGAACTCCAGAGGAAAATCGACGGTGGATTATGATCTGCACAAACTCGTAGGCCACGTGCGCACACGGCCAAAAGTAGCGAACCTGGGGGCGGTTCATTTTTGGAAGCACGTAATCGGAACACGTGCGCATTGACAGGTTCTTGAAGATTACAAGCATCTGATATAAAACGTGCGCGGGCTTCTGGCTTAGAAAGACCGCGAAATCCGCGATGCGCGGCTTCTACGTGGCGCAAAGCTTGCGGGCCCCTCATGCTAGGAGGTACGTAATCTTCGGGCCGAAAGGTCGTGGTCTCTGAATAATCGCCTAAATCTGTTTGTAAAGCTAATCCTGCTAATTGGCCGACACGATCCTCGGCCGCTCCGCAAGCCGTATTTAATCTCAGCTGTAAGTAATAATGATGCCTGGTGGTCTCGTCTCGAAGCAGCAGCGGGCTGTCCACGTAGAATTGCACCCTGAAGTAAAACGCGAGCGCCGGCCGGCCGTTGGCGTCGAGACCGTGACAGTGAGAGGAGCGCCAACTCTTCGGAGCGTATTTGGACAATTTGTTTTCTGGCTCTGCAAACAGATACTCGCCATCTGCAAAAGACATCACTTGCTGAATGGAGTGTACGCTATGTCGAAGAATGTAGAAGCACAGGACCGCATTCCGAGCTATCACAACCTCCCCGCCCACCTTTACTTAAGCCCTAAAGAATATTATTGATATTGTAACCTAGTTCATCAGACGCAACTATTCAAAACCACCCCGACAGCTCCAATTAAGTAAATCTACAAATGCGTAGAGCATATGGGTAAATACTGAAAAGTTTAAATCTCCGAAAAGCTATGGCATTTAAGTACGTCGGTTCACTGGTAGACAGATCGTGGGCCGACTTGCGTTCTGGCGAGAGCCGAGACTGTACCGGGTCGGTCACATTCCCCAAGGTATACAAATGATCTCAACTCCCTCCCCGTCTAACACTACTGCTACCTGTCTTTAGCTTCGGCGTACATTGTTTTTTTGGCCACATTCATTAGCCCGCGGCTGCGATTTTTATTGAATCCACGAAGGTTATGATGCCACCACTTCAGGAGATAAAAACTAGAATGCGTTTAAAATTCCTAACGTAATTTTTTTGAGAAACGAATTTCCCATTATTTCAAAAAAAACATCAAAAAACCTAGGCTAATAAAAAAAAACATTTTCACGAGACGCTACAACGTAAAAAACCTAAACTTAATGAATTTAGTGATATTTAAATTTAAAAACCACGCTGCGATACACGAGATTAAATACCAGAAGTCACATACTAATCTTTCCGCATTTCTATTTTTCAATATTATTTATTTATTTAAGAGGTCATTTTGCAAGAATAATTCGAGATTTGATAGGTCTCAATCCTATGAGTAGTATCGTTGATTGAGGTAGTACAAAGTTAAATCCAAAAAAGGTACGACCGAATTATATCGTGGACAGACAGTCGGAAAAGTGAGAACATAGAGTTTCCCCTTTCATAGTTTACATTGCTACATTTTTTAGTCGAAATTTTGTTTAGTGTTTCATCGATTTCGGTACAGGTACAGGGAGTTCACAAGAAAATGGTAAACTTTCGGAATTTCAAAATGCTATATCTCTTTTCTTTTAAATGAAACTAGGTACCACTATTTTATTTCGCTATTCGATAGTCTTTTGTGTTTTCTTCAATTTTTATAAGAGATCATGTCCTGTGTAGTTTTTAGGTTATTCAATATTTTGCACACAAGAATAATACCTACCCATTAATGAATTACATGTTTACGCACTGGAGTAGGCCGCGATAAAAAACCATAAGAAACCGATACAAAAATTTAAAAAAAATTGAACCTGCTCCTTTTGACCTTCGAATTTCCGCATTATTTTGAATGGCATGGAATTGCGAATGTTTCTGAAATACACTGTTATCTTTTACAATTTTATTGCATTGATAATTTGACCGGGTGTGCTTAAGTTTGAATGAATTTTTCTGCTTTTTGTGAAAACTATTACACCTATAGGATAATGAGTTTTTCTAATATGCAATCTAAAAAATCCGAGTTTTAAAAATATGTTAGGTAGGTACCAAAGATTCTATTTGTACAGCGGAGTATGCTAGAACGTATAACACATGCCCATGCGCCGCACATCGAAATGCATATTTGGATATCCCGCTGCACAAATATACTCTGCTCCCGTTCCCGTTTTCGCAGTCCCCCGTCCGTTTGAGTGGAACTTTTTATTATACCATGAGTGGAACTTAAATCCGCATCTCTACGTAACAACATTGTATACTCATGACATGGAAATTGCAACACCAAGAAGGAGTTGGAATTTTTTGACCAAACTTTGCAGAAACGTTTAGCTACTAATACTCCAGTCGTCAGAGCAATAAAAGGGGTTCTACCTAAAAATAATTCAAGGAGTTTTGATTTCTTGTGTATGGTGTAAGGTAAAGTGTCAAATACAACATATTTATTTTGCGACCTCGAAATCCCTGTGGAAATTGTAAAAAAAACTCGTGTTTTGTTGGAAAAATTTATTTTTGCCAAATATTTCGGTTCTCGTGTGTTTTAGGAAAAATATTCACCTATACAAAAATGAAGGGGATAAAATTCTCTTTAATTTATATCTCATTCATTTTTGCTGTAAAGTTGATAGTTTCGATGTAGCGGGTCTGTAAATGTAAGTATTTTTTATCGCAATTGTCCAAATTCCTGATTCCTTAGTTTTCTGTGGCCTAATCCACGAAGCGAATTTAATCGAGTTTCCTTCGCTTTCTCTTTCTCGATGGTCCTGGTTTTTCCATATCTTCAGGTTCTGATTCGTCACTTCTCCCCTCATTAGATTCGCATTCTTGTTCGTCATCCAATTCTTCTATTATTTGGCCCATAATAGTTATCGGAGCTGCATCTTCTTCATCATCATTTTCAAGAAGCAAGTGTTGCGCATTATCGCAAGAGTCACCGTTGATGCATCCACATATGTTACTGCATTTTAATCCAGTTTTCCTGCAGCCGCAGGCCGGTCCACAGCCTTTTTTGCATTTACACGAAAGTGCTTTTTCTTCTTAAAGACAGTGATGAATTTTGTCTTCCCTTGTTTAAAGATAGCGGAAGTTGTGTCGCAGCCGCTGATCGCATGAAGAACAAGTAGATGTTGTCGCACTTTTATGTCTTGTGGTCGTAGACTTTGCACAGAGTACATTTTTTGCACCATTTTACCTTTTCCGGGTTTAAGAAAGTATATGTTGGGATGAGCAGCCCCTAATGTCATCAGTATAACCAGCAAATCTATGTCTTCTCCAACTATGACGATAGAATCAAATGTGGATGAGTGGTTAATTAATTAATTAATTAATTGCCCAATAAACGAAAGCAGTTTTAACCACAGAAAAGATATTAAACAGAGGCGAAACTAGTGTCGGCGAAAAAGTCGGGGTCGGATTAAAAAAAAATATTATTCAAATAAAAATGCTAGTTTTTACTTAATAGTACCTTAGTCGGGAATTTAAAATTTTAGCTACAATATAACACGATATTAAAAACAAATTGGTACAACCGGCTTGCCCACGGCTCCACGAAAACGCGCGATTCAGAAATGTGTGCGGATGTGATGAAAAGTAGGTACTTAGGTACATTTACAGAGCCGCCGCATCGAAACAATTAACTTTACAGCAAAAATGAATGGAACATAAATTAAAGAGAATTTTGTTCCCTTCATTTTTGTATAGGTGAATATTTTTCCTAAAACGCACGAGAACCGAAATATTTGCCAAAAATCAATTTTTTCGACAAAACACGATTTTTTTTACAATTTCCACAAGGAGTTCGAGGTCGCAAAATGAATATGTTGTTTTTGACACTTGACCTTACACCATGCACCAGAAATCAAAACTCCTTGAATTATTTTTGGGTAAAAAGTACCTGACGACTGGGCTATAAAAGGTAACAATTGATTAAAATTTAAAAGAAAAAGGATGAAATATAAACATATTTTTATTAATAAAAATAGTAGTCCCTCCCTATTGGTTACACACTCCCTCACGCTTCGTAGCATCGCATTTTAGCAGACGGCCGATTTCCTCTTGAAGTATTGTGTCCCAAGCAACTGTGAGTAACCTCTATTTCATTGTGTAGAGCTTGCAGTGTCTGCGGAGGATGCGGTAAGTTCATCAGTCTTCTCTTCATAATGTTGCAAACTTGCTCGATAGGCGATATACTGGGAGATCTGGGTGGCTATGGCAAGAAATTGACGTTATCATGTGCAAATAAGTCCATAGAACGTCTTTCAATGTGGGGAGGGGCATTATCCTGCTGGAAAAGTGGGTCTTCCAACTGCTGAAGAGATGGAAGAATATCGGGTTCTATCACGTCATCCACATATGCCTCATAACAGAAAATTCAACATTGCGACGTTCCCCACGTCTTCGGCTGCCCTTCATACGGCCATCATGCATACCCAAACAAAATCCGGATTCATTACTGAACACCACCCAATGCTACTCTAGGTTCCAGTGCAGTCGCAACCTACACCACTCCAAACGCTGGTGGCGGTGTTGAGCTGATAATGGTAACAAAAGATGTGGCCGATAGGATTGCAAGTCGTAAGCTCTGATTCTGCGGTAAACCGTTCGAACTTCGAAGTGTTACAGGACGACCTTCGTTAGCTAACAATTGATCGGCAACTGACCTGGTACTAGAGAATCGGTTTCTTGTTGCCATAAGTCAAAGATGGCGATCCCGCACTTCAATTGTTCTTTTTCGCCCCCCACCCTTTCCTGCCCCCTCCCTTTCCTCTCTACGACGATCCTGCCCCTTCCCAAATCCATGCCCGATTGCAATGAATCATGGTGGATTGACTTCGGTTCAGGTGACTTGCAATTTTTGTGAACGAAAAACCACCTCCGCCCAACCCAACAATACGACACCTGTCAACTACTCTTAATTCGCGGTAATTTCCACTTTGGCGTATCTAGGCACGATGACAGCCTCAAAAGAAACGATTAAAAGCGAAAACAATAAGAACTGAACAAAATTGCGCAAAACGTACACGATATAAGAATACTAGAAAAAAATGAAAGAACTGTCAAATAAGCCATTACCACTTGATCCATATGAATGAAATTTTAATCAATTGTTACCTTTTAGTAGCTAAACGTTTCTGCAAAGTTTGGTCAAAAAATTCCAACTCCTTCTTGGTGTTGCAATTTCCATGTCACTGAGTATATTTTACAATGGTAAATCTATTCGTTCGTATCAAATCAAACACAAATACCTACCGCATATCAAAGCGAGACCAAAAAGGTCTGTGTCCAGCATCCCTTGCTGCGCGAAGTGCAGACATGTTTGCTGATAAAGCTCCCTTACACGCGACTTTACTTGAACGATGAAATACAAGGTCTGCTGGTGCAGCAGATGCAGTGCCAAAAATCTGGCGGCCGGGGGTAGCGCTGCTGGAGGGCTGCACGCGGCCAGGGGGGCGCTCACCGTGCACAGGCCGCCGGCGCGCATGACCCGCACATCTCTTCAGGGGGGCGTCCGCCGCTCACCTATGACAAAAAATAAAGTCATTAAAATATGGCATATAAAAAGTCAAATGTGCATTACAAACAACAAAAATATTGGCGGGCTTAAGCCATATTAAATAACAATAACAACAATGAAGGGAGGTAGAAGTGGAGTGTGATAGGGCTTTGTTTTGCGTTTGGAATTTGTTTAACTGCTTGGCTAATAACAATAATTTGGTAAATGCGGTTCACGGGCGCCGCTTCTGGTGGAATGCAGACGACCTTCGAGATCACACGTCCGCACATCTACCTGCTTAATAAGAAATATTTGTAATATCATCGTTTCAAAATTTACAAAAAAAGGGCAACTACTTACAGGAATTTTTTAATTATAAATTGTGATAGGATTGATGTGACATTACGTGAACAACGGACAACGAGTTCTATCCCCGCTAATTTCTAGTAGTAACGGGCGATCAAAAATGAGTTGCTGTCGAGTCGCCTTTGGAAGTTCAATTTCGGATTTTCTTTTAAATCTGGATATATACAAACTATGAATGAAAGATGTACATATACAGGATGTTAATGAATAATAGCGACAAACTTCAGGGGATGATTCTGCATGGAAAAATAATGACAGTTTGCTTTATCACTTTTGTCAGCAAGTGCTTCGTTTCCGAGATAGGTACGGGATATTAAAGTTTTTCTTCTTTTTCGTATGGTGCCGTTTTTATGCAAAAAATAAAGGAACGCATATTTTTCATTTCTTTAATACGAGTACATTATCAAGAACTATCTCATAGAATGACATTAAAACCAGAACAATAACAGAATCTAACACTAATGAAATAAATAGGCGCACACGAGGGCGCACAAGTACAACAAATTTTCAAAATGACCTCTCTCAGACGTGACACAAGATTGAACTATTCGCTTCATTAATTGCAAAATATTCCTTGTGTACGTGTATTCGTTATTATCTCACAAACGGCTATAATTCGGATATAATTCGATTCCTCCTGCAATTTTAAATCATTCTTTTTATCTTACCTAATGATAATTTCACATCATTTGTTTTATCTTTTTGATAATGAAAAAATAATTATTTTTACCTTGTTGATAATTTTTAATTCCATTCCGCCATTTAAAATTATCTGAGACAATTCAACTCATGTATAAAAAATCGCATAAGCCGCAGTGCAATTGTCACTTTGACAGCGGCAAAAGTTACCTGCAACTTTTCCAGCGACAAATGCACTAGTGGTTTTTTCACTTATTCATTTTCGAACCAATTATCGCGTTATCCTTTTCCATATGACTAGTTTGACGTTTGCCAATAATTGATTAGTTTGGCGAATTTTTTGTTCGTTAAATTGTCCTGCCGAATTACACTCGAGGTTTGTATTTAAACCGAGTAAATTTGTGTTGTTGCAATTAAAATCCGTTTCCTTTTAGCAATTGAACTCGAAAAACTGTCAACTAATAAAAATGCGACACCGAAGTTGTGAATTGCTAGGCAACAGATTTTCATTACCTTAACAACCCAAATTTACTCGGTAAAATACAAACCTCTTGTGCAATTATAGGTAAGTGATAATTGTAAATGGCTATTTCAGACATTTAATATTATCTGAGATAAAAATAAATGGCGCTGTGCGCTGCCTTTCTCTCTTTTTCCCTATAAAACAGCGTATTGCCATCTCGCTATGCCTTGCAAAGGTGGCCATTTAAAATTATCTAAGATAATCGTAAATGGCGGAAGAATTAAATTAATCTTGTTGATAATTTAAATTTTGCTATTTAAACTTTTCAACAAGATAAAAAAAATGATTTAGAATTATCAATATGATAACAATAATTATTTTATTTTATTAAATATGAATTATTTTTATCAACAAGATAATAAAAATGAATATTTTTTATCTTTACTTTAAGATTATACTCGTAGTATTGTTGCACATTAAATGTTAAAATTTGATACTTAGTCTCGTACTTAGTACGAATTGACTTTGTTTGACTACACAGCTGTGATCGACAAAAAAGACGTTATTTCGAAATGATAGTTATTAACGAGGTTATTGATGATATGAACATCATAATGAAACGGCGAGTTTTTAATGGACAGGGTCATACGACTTACAATCCCTCCGGCTCTGTAACCCTAGGCATAAATATCGCCTTAATGCCCTTGATACATAAATAACTATTATAGACAACTTAAACGAGTTTAAATTTAGTTCATAAAGCCAGTACTGCATCTGGAGAGCTGCTACGCTATAACAAAATTGGATATTCTTTTTGGAAACCTTTAAGTAATTTTACGAAACCTCTTTAAAAACGTTGTCTTCCTAGTAATATTTTATAATGCTCTCTGCAAACCTCTGCGCAAACCTTATAAATAGATGTCTATAAACGTTTTCGAAATTCTCTTAGGTTTAGGTACCTCGAGAGGTACCTACTTTGAGAGCATCTTCCTAGCAGTAGGTATGCTCGTGTCTAGGACACTTCGCCGAATGCCTACAACCACAATGCCACCACGATTTTTTGATGGTCCATATCGCCGACTAGGGACACTACGCCGACCGTGCTCACATCGTCGAAAAGTGTGCAAGGGACACAACGCCGACCATGCCCACTTCGCCGACGGACACACACTACTAAGCCGAACGTGACCACAACGCAGACTATTGGAAGTACCAGGCCCCTCATACTCATGTCCAGGTTCATTAAGAATTTTCGTATAAGTTTGTACCTAGTTTGAAAAAAGTTAAAAAAAATATTCAACCGACAATAACGAATAACCTAACGTCAAAAGCTGCTTGGTGTTGCACACCGTCCAGCTTCATTAAGAACTGTTGTATGAGTCGACGTCGACGTTATGGTCACGTTCGGTTTAGTGTCCATCGGCGTAGGGTCCCTAGTCGGCGATATGGACCATCAAAAAATCACGTCGGCGTTGTGGGCATTCGGCGAAGTGTTCCGGTCTCAGATTAAAATACGGCATCCTAAAATTTTACAAGCAGGGCGCTTAACTTTCTCACTTCCACTTTCGCATTCGCTTTCATACAGCTATACCGGGTGAATACTTTCAAACCGAACATAGGGAATTAACATGGGAAAACTGTTTTTCGCAGATTGTTGCTCCCCAAATTAACTTAGAGAGTTCATAATGCCACCATTGGAAAGAAGATTTTTTTCCACGTTTTATGATTATTAACGTTTAGTTGCACGTTTAATTATTATTTTGCGAAATTAGGTGGTCAAAATGTGTACTTGGTTTAAAAAATCACGGTAGTCATGAAAACAAGATACGATAACTGTCAATAATTTTAATTTGTACTTACTACAAAACTTACGATGTATTCCATTGCGGGAAAAAGTGTTTATTGTAAAAAACGTTTACGTACGGCGGTAATACCGCAGAGTGCGAGATTTATTTTCCGTGGAATTTAATCAAACCTCTATTCCGTCAATATCGACAATTCGAAGTTTTTCAATTTGACAATTCCGGGTGCTTAAATCTACGGGTCATGGCTATACATGATTTTCTGAGTTCATTTTATTTTGCGAATTTTTGATAAAATAATGAGAAAATACAAATAAAACTTAACTAATTCGCATTTAGTTAGATGAGAAAAAAATCCTCTTTCCCCTCTAAGTTAATTTGGGGAGCAACAAGCTGCGAAAAACGGTTTTCCCATGTTAATTCCCTATGTTCGGTTTGAAAGTATTCACCCGGTATACTGCAACAACGATCAGAGAAAATAAATTGGATGGGCGCATGTCTCCCGGTATGTCCTATGTACGTTTGGATTTTATGTCTGCATAATTACTTATACCTTCAATCTCGCCTTCAATAGAAAATTATTAACGTTAAAATTGAGCACATTCTTTGGAATATTGGATAATTAGTAGGTACTTATTAAAATGCGGCATTAAATTGTATTGTATTTGAAGGGAAAGAATGTGGGTCATTCACGTGGTCTCTATTTTTGTCATAAAGAATTTCTAACAATTACGTAAACAATCCATATTGAACGGTCGTACCCATGACGTTATTGCAAAATATTTACTAACGCGAAGTTATTTCAAGGTAACGTGTGCCACAATCTACCTTAAATCAAATTTGAAGGTAAATTCGCTATAATGTTGAACGAGGGATAAAATTTTGCCGTTTAACTGTCGACCCTGGGCGACCGTCACACACTAAGTACAGATTATTGGTCCCTCAATTTCGAGAGAAACATGAGACATCGGCATTCCCTACTTACATACTTGCATATCATTTATTAATGGAATGACGAAGGTCTCCAAATAAACGCGCTTTTCATTTCCATATATAAATTAACAATATACGCCTAATGCTTAAGCCTCATTAATATTCGAAGTTATGGAATACAATAGCTAGTATCAATCTCATTGAATAAATAGAGCACCTCGGTTGATGGAATTCGATCAATGAAGGTTTGACTGAACGTCGGACTGAACCCTAGAATGCCTTCAAAGATCATACACGTGGTACACATAGTTAATGAAGTGGTCCATTATTTGCCGGTGATATCAAAGGTAAGTATATGGAAGAATAGGCAAATATTTAAAAATATGCCCGAAATCGATCGCCATTAAAGAAATTGTTTAAATATTTGCCTATTCTTCCATATACTATGCGATCAAAAATGAGTTGCTGTCGAGTCATCTTTGAAATTTTTGTTTACATGGGAAATCGTACTTAACTCAAACTTCCAAAGGCGACTCGACAGCACCTCATTATTGATCGCCCGTTAATTTTACCTTTGATCATACACATATATTATCTCATACGTCTGGGTTCAAACCATGATGTATAACACCATGGTTCAAACGCACACAGGCATCTTATTTTTCATGCTCCATGACAGCAGAATATTACGTTTTAAGCTGCAAAATAATTTTTGCTTCTTAGAAATCTTCTATAAATTTTCGTCGAAATCCCCGAGGGAATCTCGCTAGAAATCTCTCTAGAAAAGTCCTTCTGGAAACTTTTTAATTATAGAAATTTTCAATGTTCTTTTAAAAATTTTAAATGCCATTCTAGAAATAATCATCTTTTTTACAAATTTCCTCGAACCTAGAAATCCTTTTTCTTATCGAAAATTCTAGACAATCTAGAGACTATGATTAATTTATTTTCAGGACCTTCTTAGAACGCTCTTTTTAATCGTGTAGATAATATTCTCGAAATTTTCTTAAAAAATCATTTGAACTCGGAAGAGCCGTTATCCAAATCTGCTTTGAAAATTTGACCAGAAATCTCCGTGGAATTTTCAAAGAAGCCTTCTTAGAAATATTCTTAAGAACTTTTTTGTAAATCTGCCCAAAATCTTCAAAAACTTTCCAGGAATCTTGGATTCTTAGAGATAATCTTAAAGTCTAGTATCCTTTGGGTAGTTAGAAATGTTCTTCGTAAACTTCTTTCAAATCTTGATTTCGTTTATGACTGTTACCACAAAAAGTGAGGCAAAGGATACTTATAGGTTCAAGTTTGAGAATTGATACTTGATTCTTGTACTTGCTACCGAGCTTGATAGTTTGGCGTACTTATATGCCTTGCACGAGGCCTTGCGTAGCCGCCTCTTCCAGAATTTAGTCAACTAAACAAAAAATTACCATTCTTTAGTCTCGTCTTCAGTTTTGAATGGGATTTGTATTACCTAATTCTGCGATACGTGTACCGGAGTGATTACTACACGGATTTCTAAGTTTAGCTTTGACCGTTCGGCGTATATTAGTGCATTTCATGATTAGTAACACTGCAGACTCACGGCTCTACGTTTTATGCCATTTTCAATTTTTACCTCGATTTTTCTAGACATCTACTCTCGCATCTACTTTTTGCAAAACTGGCGAATTGCGGCTAAACTTAGATATCATGTGTAATACCTACATAAATGAGTTACACTAAAATTGACAACGGAATCGAAACATGCAATAATATATTTAAAGATATTTAGGTTAAGAGTACTTCAACGTGCTTCGACAATGAATTTTAAATATGTGCGTCCTCCACCCACGCACTAATGGCCTACTCTGTTAGTCTGTTATATAAATCTCTGTCACGGCGTCTGTACTCAACTCCTCCGAAACGACTCGTTCGACTTTAATGAATTTTTTTTTGTATACCTATTTGGCGAGATTATTGGTACGTGAGAATAGGTCGTAAAGTATGTTTCGAGTTAAGTTTCATATCGCTAGGTGAATATATTTCGCCGAGTGTGCGAGGGGAGTCGGCGTGCCGAAACGGAGTGTACCTATAGGTATATTCCATCCAAGAAAACGATATTTCCCAAAGACGGTCCGCTAGTATTGTTGGGAAATATTGGATAAAACGCTCCCCCGCTCGATAGCTTCATGTCCATCGATTTAAAAGAGAACTGGGTATAGCTATAGCCATATAATACGAAATGCCAACAGTTGAGTCTAATCGATTAACGTTCACAGCGCCTTTGTGGCATCTCCGCCATTTATGCACCGAATTGTATGAAATTCAAACTGGAAGCCAGTACCATATAATATCTCCGAGAATATCTCTAATATAATATTTCTTCATCAATTACCTACTTCATGAAGTTATTTGTCAATTTATTGAACAATTTCTTGCTCGTTTCTTGGTTTTACACTGCTGTTAACTGGATCAATTTCTTGTTGTTTTTCAAGTCATTGTACAGTTTCACCAACCTTTAATTATTTTAAGCTCGATTTTAAGGTTAGGTTGTCCTTCTTTTTAATTGTGCAGCAAAAAAGTGAAAAGTGTAAAAATGTTCCCCTCTGTATTGAATAGAAGATTACGGAATAGAAAAAGAAAGACAGCGATATTATAGCTCATAAAAATGATGAAAACATCTTCATTTTATTATTTATGTTGGTTGCTGGTAGTTGGTACTTGAATTGAAAAATAGAACTTGACGAAATTGAGCTCAAGAAATTGATCAAGTTATTGCATCCAATTCTGTGTTTACACTCGTAGTTTTCTTATCAAGGCGACTTGAACATGAAATTGATCAATTTATTGTTGCTGTAAAACCAGGAATAAGAATAACCTAAATGGAATATTTGAGAATAAGTACCCGACAATAAATCTGAATAGGTATACTTATTCGGAAATAACAGAAATTGGAATCTGTCTAAGTAAACTCTCAACCTGATATTTTGTATTTGTAATACCATCAAACAAAAAGGAATTTGATGAATTTTTAAGGGTTTGGTTTCGATGTGGGGTGAACAATTTACCTACCTACCTACTCTTGGGAACAGATCTGCTTTTAAGCAATTAAGCACGTGGAATCGTGTGCATTTGTTGTAAAAGAATACCTCCTACCGCAATAAATACAGCAAATTCTCGAGCAAATTGATACCTCGATAGTACCTTCTCGTCTCTCTTTTTATAGTATCAATTACGTTACCTATCAAATTTTGTTTTCCTACAAAAATTGACCTTTTTTTCTGATAATTACATTCCAGAACCAAAAGGGCACCGATTTGGAATAGAATATTATTAGGTAGATGTAGTTACTTACATAGAAATCGAGATAGAAATGATCAATAAGATGTCCACCCAAATTAATTACTTATAATTGTGAAAAAAATGTAGGTACCTACCCAAAACTACAGTATTTTGAATTTAATAAAAATGGTTTTGGATATTTTTGGGATGAATTCGTGTGTTTATTCACCAAAGCGTTTGCATCTCTACATTTATTTCATTTGGCGGAGTTGTTATATTTTTCAAACAGACACGAGTAGATCAGATCAGATGCCATGATAAGTGATAACCCACCCCGTCCTTGTAATGTAGATACGTATATTGTTATTAACTATCAGACCTTTAAATAGTTTACCATGTGTTTTCAGTAATAATCCAAGGGCAATCCATGAAGCGTTCTCATCGCAAATTTTTGAACTTGCGGTAGGTAATCGTCAGCAGTAGGTGTACACAACACTTTGGCACTCGCACAGAATTACACGTGATTTTTTAAAGTGAACAGAACAGCCCCTTAAGAGCATTACCAATGCAGCAACCGGTGAATATATTCCTCAGGTATGGACTAAAACTCGCGACTCGCGTTTAACTCGAGAGCGGTCAGGTACACTCTTAAGCAAAACATCACCGGAATGCAGTTGACCAGAAGGATACTTTATTCGATAAGACGTCACATTCCGGGCTACCTACACGCAATAAATGGATCGTAATTACGTACACTCGAGCAAGCAAAATATTTAAAGTTAATTTATAAAGGAGCACGCTGCATACTGACGAAAACTGACCGCGCCGATTGTACCAAACTCAGGTGTGTTTTGTACCTGTCCGGAGGCTACATTCCTAAGTTAGTACGGCATTCCATACGAGAAATTCGTAGTAGCCTCACAGTGAGGTGCGTTGCCCATTTTACCAATCGGATATAAATTACTTACACCCAGACACGCGTCGGTAAAGAAAATGTAGCAATTTTACTACGACCACAAGCGAAAAAAAGGGGCGTTAGGTCTTCCAGCTTCGGTTGAACGAGAAATGTTGCATATTTGAGATATCGGTTAAAAATGGAATCTGATTCTTCATTGTAACTTAAATTTAAACCAATAAGAAGATATCCCGCCAAAGGTGCTTACGTACATTGCGGTGTGAACCGACTCAAACGCCGGCATATGAGCTCCCGCACCGCAGATTAAATATGTCTTGGTGACTTGCGAGCCCGACAATTTATTCTTAAACCCCCACTCCCCAGTACCAAATTTCAGTTCGCTCAAAGAATTCTTTGGTTCGGTAATTCGGTTCCACAATTAAATTATCAGCCCCTTTCGATTATTCTCAACATGAAATATTGCTCTGCTTCACTTCTCTCCTCAAGTCCTCACTGAGCACATTTATAAACAATTGCATTGCAACAAACATTCACTTGGGGTTGGTGGCATCTAGGGAGTGAAAGTGAATAAATCAAATTTTAAAAAAAGCACTTCTGTGAACAGTCGGTGAGAATGTTAATCAGCAGAATGTATAAGATTAAATCTTCGTCTACCTCTAGTTCTCCTTCAAATTCGACAATATACTTATTAGATACAAAAATGCCGTAGCCCTTAATTTAATGTTTATCGAATTATCCCCAAACATTCCATTTCGTGTCATAAAGGCATCGTTAAGTTACACTGACACTGGCCCCATTTCGTGCGTAAACGACAACGGAATGAATGAGGTTGCTAAAGTGCGTGAAATGCGTATACGAACTTTATTTTCATACGTTTAGGTTTAGATGCCAGATGCCAAATTTCGTCGAAATCAGAATTTTTCCGGTAGTTTTGAAAAAAAATTTTCAAAATCGGATACCCGAGACATTGTATTTCCTCTATGCCAAGACCTATTCAAAGACGTGCGGTGCCACCCATCTTTGTAACTTTGGTTTGTTTCGAAAATCGAAATTAGGTATACGTACGTACGTCTGTACAGAATTGCAGAGGGAATAGTTGAACGTCTCGTCAAAACAAAACTATTTACTTATAAAGTTTCAGCCTATTCGTTTACAAAAATAGGCCGATCTATTGTCTTGCGGCCCAGTACCATAACGCTTTTTTCTACCCTATGGCAAGACTCTTTCACGGGATCTACGCGTCTGCTTCATGTTTGTATCACACCAGCTCTTATTCATGTTCTTCTCGTGTTCCTTTAAGATATCCGTTTTAGCACATTTATAATATAAATTGAAATATGGTCAATACGAATCAATTAAATACCGTATAAAAGAATCCAGACCTTGACTACTATAAATCACAATTCACAAACGTTTAAAAAAAAAGAATTTGCAGCAAATGTCATCATCAGTAGGTTTTTTTTAAAGGTCATTAGAATAAATTCGTTTATCTTTTATTTTAAGGTTAATAACGTTATAATAAAAACAAATCAAAAGTAAAACAATTGACATCAATGTCCCTTATTTTTTAATTCACGCATGAAGTCACACTGATATAAAACCTTTATTCTTCAAATTTGTTCAAGTACCTATTTTGCAAATATTCTAGGTTTTTCTGAGGCTCGAGCAGGGACGGTTGCAAATTTTTGGCGGTGTTGAGGTACGCTTTTGCTAAATTTGTACGTCCCACTTTGTATTGCAAGATAGCAATGTTATTAAATGCGGGCGCGTGTGTTGAGTCCATGATCAAGCATATGCTTAAGCATTGCATGGCCAATTCCACATCGCCGGCTGCCTGTAAAACAAATTTGTTTAGCGCCCTTACTCATACGTCAAATATTTGACTTACAATGGCGACGTGAGACAAGTTGTACCAGATTTCGGCTTTAATTAGAGGATCAATGGCCAAATCTAGTGCTCTCTGAAAACATGCCATGGTTAAATCCAGCTGTTGGGAGTATAGACAACAAAGTCCTAGGTTGTTGTATAATTCCGCCGAATGGACGCCCATTGCAAGTACTCGTCTAAGAAAGAAATGTACAGTATGTACTATAGGTACCTATAATTCATTTATACCGATAATGTCGAAGAGCAAATTCTGGTTGGTTATTGTAAAAGTGGTACACTCCAATGCATGCAATTGCTTCTGTATTCATTGAGTCTTCTGTGACAATGTTGCGATAGTACTTCACAGACATCAGTACATCTCCTAAGCTCTCGTACAAACGAGCTACTTCCGTTGAAATCGAGACATCGTTAGGAAATATAGTCAATACAGTTTTACAAATCTCCAAAGCTGACAACGGTTGATCTGAAATACTAAATGTTAGGACTTTTTCGTCGTAAAAACTATAGCGTGTTCGGCCACTACTTTCTAAGAGTGGATCTTGCGCTCGCTTAATTTATGTTAATTATACTATTTCAGAAAATCTGTACAAATATGAAAGTTTTGGCACGTTCTTCTTTGGATGCCGTGTTTTCCTGCATCTACTGTGGTTAAAATTTTCGAAAATATTTTTACACCACGTTCGCAGCTTTATTAGAAGTAAAAGTTTCAGGAAAATTAAAATTTTACCAAAGCGGATTTGCGTATTGTTGTGTTGTTCTTAACTTTAACCATCAATTAGTTTTAACTTACTTTATCAAAAAAATAATGTCATGTTTTCTTAATGCGGTAAAAATCAGACCCTGAAAACGATTATTATACGTCCTCCAGATCGTAGCAGCACACGGAAACAATAAATTTCATAAACTTGAAGTGGAATTTACTGTAATACATAATTTTCCTTTACGGCTTTACATATGTATGCATTGTTATTAATTGCCCCAAAAGTGTACCCAAGTAACGGTATAGGTATAAGACGAAGTGCCAGAGCCGGAGATGAAAATTGGGGAAATAACCCTTTCTTGAATCTGATAAGAATCATTTTGTTTTTGATTCAATGTCGCCTTCCATTTTTTGAAATGAATTTCATGTGCAGAATTTGTTTATGTGGAACCCAAAGTTTTGTTTGGCACTCTCCACTATCAATTTGAACTAGATTCAAGGCAGTATGAGCCTCATGAGAGTACAATGCATGCTTGCCAAATTTCAGAACAGCAATCTGTAATTTGATAGTACAAAGAATTGTTAGTTGATAAAATACACGTTACTTTTAACTAGCATTATTAGTAAACGGCAAGGGATTTAGACAGACTATAGTTGTTTAAGTGATAAAAATGGTTCAACAAATACAGGATAAATTGCCAAATTAAACAAACTGAGATGATGTTGGGGGTTTCTCAGGTCACACACAGGCACAGTCAGTGGCTGCACTTATGTTCATTCTTTTTAGAAATGATATTTCTATCAATAATTATGAGTCTCTTAACTCTTGCAGACTATTTTTTTACTGTTTGATGGTAGGTAAATGTTTGAATGCAACTTACAAACGCCAATGATATAATACATTATGCATCAATTATAGGATATTTATTAGCTAACTTTGCATATAACCAGGATTATATTTTATTAAGGTAGCAGTACAATGGTAAAAAAAAATGGATAAAACATTAATATTTATTCGTCCATAATCTGTGAATATGATGAAAGGAAATCTACAACTAACGTCTTGGGTAGGTTTTGTTGGGCTTGCTTATACAACAAATGAACTCTTTGCGACTGTTCTACGTAGTGATGAAGATAAAAATGTATGCGACTGATCCAAACATCTATATCCTCTTTCCCAAACTGACTGCAAGCAATTTCGTGAACCTTTTCCCACGCTTTCAAATTTTTACTTTCTTCTTTAGATTCGATTTCGGACATCACCTTATGCAGACTGTAACAGTATGGCCTATTCACTGATAATCTCGCATAAACCTGACGAGCTACTTCAGTGCCCTTCTTTGTCGCTAACCAATATATATATTGAGGCTTAAGCACATCTGAAATTTCCTTTGGTTGTGCCACACCATCTTCGTAAATCTCACTAACGCTGTCCTCGTTGCGATAATATTGAATAACAGTCTGCCACAGAGGCAGAGATTTGTCTTTTAAGCGTTTCACACCTAACTTAAACACTTGAGACACCTTTTCCGAGTCGTTTTTTAAAATAGAATGGTGGAGAAGCAGATTCCATAGCTCCACAGAGTAAGGAAACTCGGATGTACCTAAAATATCTCACTTAAGTTCTCCTTGAAACAGTTTGATAGCTACCTTTTTCCAAAATTTGTATTGCAAGATCAAGTTCATCGCTTACCAAATCTAACCATACAATATAGAACCGCTCCAACAATGACTTGTCCTCCGATGCATCACGCAGGGCCATTTTTAAAATTGTGCTCACACCAAAATCTGTGTTTTCGTGAAGATGAATTAAGAAGTCTAAATATAACACCCATAATTTCGGTTTTGTGCTCGGTGTCACTTTAAACAGTCCCTCCTTGTACTTTGCAATGCAGTTATTTAACTTTGTTTCAGGCTGTGCACTCTGAAATTCCCGTTGTCCTAATGAGTGCCATAGATTTTCATTATCAAAGTGCTTCGCCATCATTGTTTGGATAATATAATTTTGAATATCCATCGTGTAATCATGATCAGAGAGCAATTCCAAAATTTCAACATAAAAATCGGGACTTTGTATATTGTTAAATATTGTATCGACAACCCCCATTATTCTCTTTACAGAGGTATTCTCGTCAGCCTTGTTGTGTTCCACATTGTATACCTCATTCAGGAGAACTTCCATGTATAGTATTCTACTGTCTTTATGCAGCTCGAGACCCTTTAATAGCATTACTAGTGATGTTTTTATGTCCTTACGATCGTACATATGCCAATTGGCGGCAATCTTCCATACTTCTGGTTTATCAGAATGCGTCTGCGTGAGAAAAAGAGAATTACAAATTTAATTAAAGATCCATACAGAGGGATTTGCCACTACCTTAAATATGTATACAGATTTAACCTTTTCAATATAGCCTAAATATTATTATTATTTTTTAAATTTTAACTGTAACTACATGTGACCCAAGTGCGGGTCGTGTTAATTTCTGCGCAAAATAATTGGCTCTTCTACAACAAAAGGTTGGTGACCCCTGTTTTAAACACTAACTATTGGTTTAAATGCCGCAATATTAATATATTTGTACACATTTTTAAGTGACATATCCCTCGCTCCACACAGATACCTTGATCATGTGAGCAACTGCGTCAGAAGCTGCATTTACATAATTTACTTTTTTGCAAAACTTTAGGAAACCGAGAAATAGTGATAGATCATCTCCAAATCGTTGCAATGCGGTGTCATACAGTGACTTTATTCTCTTTATAATCCTTTGATCTATACTGTTTCTCTTTTCGGCTATTTTAAATTTCCGTCGTCGCAAAGCAACATCTTTTAGCAAGCACTTTTCATAGTTAATGTAATCGTGATAACTCTTCAAGTCTTTGGTTAAGGCGTGAATTTTATGCTCAAGTTGTTTCCTTTTCTTAAATATAATCCTAAAATACATTAGAGAGGTATTTAGAGAGATTGTGAATTGTTACATACATAGTTTCTTGAATGGTAAACAGCTTTGTACGTCTCATTTCCTCCAACTCTTCCGTCATTAATTCCAAACGCTTTTGGACGACTTCGGTCATTTTTTTTGGGTGTTTTCAATTTTACGAGAAATATGGATTTTAGAAAATTCTAAGAGAAAATTCACAACCATAACCTCACTTATGCACAGTAGTGGCCGATTAGCACCCACATATCTGTGGTTATGTTACCGACAACGTATACAATGTGTGTCAAAATTATCGATCTAAGTGTATTACATTCACTTCGAATGCAGTGTTTACTACGTTTGCTGATATTACTTGCTTTGTGTAAAGTTTATAATCATTACGTACTAACGTCAGAAATGCTAAAAACTGGAAAAACCAAAGAAAAACGTTGAAATTAATGAAAGGGAAGGAGACACCTTTAATTGTTACAATTTGTAGCATAGCATATGTTTGTTTTATCACCCTTTCATAATGAGCTTGTACAGGTATAATATGTGGAAATTTCCGAAATATTGCATTTTCCCTTTGTAGGTACCTTCCTCCAACATTTTTAAGATATACACAATTAAGTTTTTTCATCCCCAGTAGATGTATCTCATCTATACCCACAAGTCATAAAATTATTTTAGTACCATCAGGAGGCTGAGAAAAATCATTAGGAGTTTGTTAAAAGTATTTTTTCAAACGCCGCGCATTTTCAAAATTTTTCCGTTTTTTTCCATAACTTTGCTATTTGTACAGCTACAAGAAATTATGAATAGGATAATTAATTATGGAGTGGTGTAATAAAAATAAACTTATTGTAAATATCTCTAAAACAACCTGCTTGCGTTTTAATTATGGTGGAGTGCGCAGTGCTACGCCCTTAAAAGTACGTATAGACAATAATGATGAACTGATAGCTGCCGAAACTGCTAAATTTTTAGGTACTACAATAGACAGCAAGTTAACTTTTTCCCATCACGTTGACGAAGTGTGTTCTAAACTTAAACAAGTTGTAAATCAGCATATGCATGATTAAAGCGCATTTTTGGTAATGCAGGTCAGTATTTTATTAGCGAAGTTTAAAATTATCGATCTCACGAGCTGCGTTAAATAATTAATTTTATTTAATTTCAATTGACGGTACGTCTTCATTTTGTAAAACAAATCACAAAGTAAATAATAAGTTTTTATACTGGTAGCGCTATCTAACGGTAAAATTATAGTACCTCCGAAACCCATATCGAAATTATTTTCTTCAATTATCGATTTCACAAGTAATCTAACTCAAAATAGACTAGTGCCTGCACATCTACACTATAGCAGAAAGCTTTTAGTGAAAATTTGAAGTCTCTAGCTATTGTAGTTGTGGAGATCTAACGCGGACAGCCGGCCTGCCAGCAATGACGAATATAATAGCGTATTTTTTTCAAAAATGCGCTAAAAATTGCATTACGCATTTATTTGTCTAAGCAACACTTTAGATCTTAAAGCAATTCTCACCGTATATTTTGCCAAAGTATACTCAATTATCAGTTACAACATAGTTGTGTGGGGCCAGGCTACAGAAGCCGAGCGTGTATTTATTCTACAAAAGAGAATAATTCGACGCATCTTTCGTCTGAAGTATCGCGAATCCTGCCGTCAAACTTTCAAAAATCACCAGCTTTTAACATTTATATCTATATATTTATATAAAATTTTAACATATATACATGTAAATATACATCTATTTAAACGTAACTGTGATAATCATAAGTATTCAACTAGAACTGGGCACAATATAATACTTACCTAAATGCAATCACACTAACTTCAAAAAATCGGTACATTACGCAGGCTGCTACTTGTACAATGCTCTACCACAAAAAATAAAAGAAATAAAAAATAAAAATCAGTACAAAAATGCACTTAGAACCTATCTAGTCAGCAATTGCTATTACTCGCTCCAAGAATTTGTGAAGTCATAGATGTTATCTGTTGTACATTATCTGTTGTACGTTATCTGTTGTACGTTATCTGTGGTATGTTATGTGAACTGTAATAATATTATAGATTAATCATTTTGTATATTACATAATAGTTAATGACTTACCTTTACATTTTAGAAATGGAAACAAAAGGTTAAATAAAATTATTATTATTATTATTATTATCGTCGTTTTTTACTCACTCATGGTGGTATGCTTCACATGAGACGGGTCTTAACCAAGTCATCATGTGGTAATGTGTGGCGTTTAGTGTCATTGGTTGAGAAACTTTCTGACCATATTTGCCGTGTTTAGTAATATGGCCTTCTGTATGTTTGTGTGTATATGTGTGCTGAGCTGTAGTGCTTGTAAGTAATGTGTAAATGTTTTTGTTGTGAGTCCTGTGACTGAGAGTACGACCGGTACTATTGTTACTTGTTCTTGCTTCCAGAGTTCTTTGAGTTCTATTGCTAGTGGAGTATACTTTATGATCTTTTCTTGCTCTTTGTGTATGAGATTAGCGTCGTTTGGGATGGCTATGTCTATTAACTGTGTTGTGTGTGCGACTTTATTAATTAGTGTAATGTCCGGTCTGTTATGTGCAATTGTCTTGTCCGTATGTAATGTCCTGTCCCAGTATAATTTGTATTCGTTGTTTTCTAGTATGTTTGACGGTGCATACTTGTAGTATGGTGTGCGTGTTTGAATCAGTTGGTGTTTTAGTGCGAGTTCTTGATGTATTATTATTATTATTATTATTATTAGTATAAAATGCTGCATAACTTTGCCAATTTAACCGACTTTCTATCTCTTACGGTTTACGAGATCCCCATAGTCATCGTGGAAGTGAAAAAAAAACTCACTCTGTATACTACGAAAATCAATCGCATGTACCAATTTATTTACCCAAAATCGTCATGAAACCTTCATTTTTATGCCTACTTTCTGTCAGGAAATTGTAGTTTCCATGACAGAGGCAGAGCACACTACGTTTCCTGCCGCTTGTCACTTTACTGGCCGCACCTGTCACTTCACCGGCCGCATTTTTGACATTTTCAAATGTCTCCTGCCATCACTGACAGATAAGACATTAATCAAAAGTTCTATATAAAAATTAAAATTTTATATTAAAATCCGATTTCGGGTGTAAAATTTAATACAAAACTCGTCACTAAAATGACACTACTTGCATTGATTATATACTTACGAAATATAATCAATGCTACTTGACTCGGAAATTAAAGTACTCGGCCCTGAAGGGGCCTCATCGTCCTTCAATATTTCCTCGCCAGTAATATATCATTTTCCTGTAAATAACTATTTCAAGGAGTTTCACTTACCTAATCTCAAGTAAACTCTGATCAATCTCATGAAAGTGTCAATATGAGTGTGTTGCCTCAATGCACTTCTCAGTTGTTGCTCTCCATCCCTTACCAAATTTAACGCATTGTAACATTTCGCCAACTGCACCTTCCACCACCAATCTTCAAAGTGATTGGCTTGCGTTGCTTGCACAGCTAACTCCATCGAGTTTCTCACATCGCCTTCGTGATAAAATAGGTACTCGAACAAGGGTTTTGATAGACAAGGATCTTTTGCGTATTTCACTAAATTTAATCTTGATACTTGAATAAACGGCCCATCTCTGTGACTGTACATTGCGGCGGTACCAAGACGTATGGCTCTAACTGATTGGCCAGTTAGTGGACGAGACGTTTTTAGTCGTTCTATTGAAGTTCCCGGTCGCATTTGGGTACCAGGTCTGTTGACACCTGTAATTGGTCGCCCGGTGGAAGTGCGAGGTCGGGCTCTACGAGATAACAAAAGGTAAACCTATGGTACGTTGTAAATTTACGTACGTTAACGCAGCTTCCAATTTCATTGAGGTACCGGGTCTTGGTGCTGAAGCGACGGTGTCATCATCAAGTGCATCGCCAACGACGATTTCTTCATTTTCTATGTCGTCAATGTAAATTCGTTTTGTAAGGGCTCGCATTTTTAAACACCAGGTCGCTTGGTCCAATGGTTGATTTTCTAAAATGTCCGTACATATTTCGACGCATTTATCGAAATTTCGTCGACGATAGCAACTTAACGCCTGATAAAGTGGCTCCATATTTGTTGTGTGTATGGCAGTCCATGGCAACCAATATATAACATATTGATTAATTTACCTGTTGCTTGTCAAAATGTCGACATCTACGTCACGTAGACGAAAAGATGAAAAATCTCAGACGAGCGCCTACAAAGGAAGTCAAGCACCGAGCCTTCACGAACAGTTAAGTGAAGATCATATAAAACAACTTTATAGCGCGTTTCATGCGTCGCACCAGGTGAGCATGGAACAACTTGCTACACTTTTAAAAGACATTGCCAGTATTGAGTATAGCGAAAACGAGTTCGATTTACTTTTTCGTCGCATTAACACAACAAGGTAACTGCCACCTTTTTCTTCTAACCATGCAGTCTACTCTTCTCTTACACTAGAAATGGACTAGTGACTTGGGACGAGTTTATCTCGCATTTAATTTTGGGTTTTCAAGAAAAGGAAATCAGTGCGGAATTTCAGTCATTAGACTCTCCAATATCGAAAGAACCAAGAGTTATAAGAAGTAACCACAGGCACCCCATAAATCGCATAACGTTTTTCCCCACCATTAAGAACGGTACAGACTACGACTTTTTAGACGGAAATTATTTGACATGCAGCAAGGATGGTGTTATCAACTACTGGTCGTTGGATCTGAAATTGGACAGAACGGTTCAATCGAGTAGTCCCGAATTGAAGGTGCAAACCACGTGGGTGCTCGACTTAGTTTGCCTCCCCGATGTATCGGTTGTTTGTACGTCCAGTTCCGAGCGAGACTTGCGTTTTTATGATACATCTGCCCGTAAATTTGAGCTGCGAGTTATGTTTTCCACCCTCAACGAAGCGGTGGTGAGCATGCATTACGAGTTTAACACTAGGGAGGCGAGTGAAGCGAGCAAGTTAATCATGGGCGATATGGGTGGAAATGTTAAAATTCTGCTATTTGGTACTGTAGCTCGGGGACCGTTTAAAAGTCAACCCGGTGTACCTCTCCTTAGTGTGCGTTACGAACGTTTGGTTAAAGGGTTAGTACCCGGATTTCGCTTTGTTGAATTTCAAAACTTGCACACGAACTGGGTACGTCAAGTGTCCTACTATAAGAGCTTACAATGCTTTGTATCGTGTTCTGCTTGCCCCAAGGCAGCCATGGTACTCAAAGACATAACGGATAACAAAAGTAGTTACGTTTATAAAATCGCCAAGGGCGCTTGGTGCTTTACTTTCTGCGAATCTGCCCATTTGCTCGTAACGGGCGGATCGGATTCTTTGGTACGTTTATGGAATCCGTTTGTACCTAACAAACCGAGCGCAATTTTCTCTGGGCACGACGCCGGCGTGTGCGCTTTAATCCTTCAAGAGTCTGGCAAGTTTCTTTACTCGATCTCCAAAGATAAATGCATCAAGGTATGGGATGTGACCGCCCAAAGTTGTTTACAAACGTATAGAACTGTACCATCCGAGCTGGGTGAATATAACGACTTTACTGTACTGTATAATCCGGATAACAGGCAACTGCTTTTGGGATCTATTACACTTGTAGTTTTGGAATTACGGCCATTGCAATGCAGCGACCACACAGACGGCACAACTCATTCTCTAGGTGTATCGGTGGTTTTGTATAACGCGTTGTTTAAAGTGGTATTGACTTGCGGTTTGGATAGCTTTATCATTGTATGGGATCCGTGGACGGGGAAAAGAATACTTGTGGTCAAAGAAGCCCACACTCGTGTAGTGTACGGAGAAACACATTCAATTGAAATAACAGCGGCGACTTTTGATCCAGGAAATCAACTCCTTCTAACCGGAGCAAACGACGGTACATTAAAAGTTTGGAATTTTAACAGCGGTACGTGCTTGCGTAACATGTCAATAGAACCAGGCTGCGAAGTTACTTCGGTGATTTGGATTCGAGGAAGGATATTGGCGATCGGATGGAATCGTCACGTGACAGAGTTTCTAGACACGGGAGGAACGATCGAATCTGCAGGCGGTGGTAAATCTTGGGATACTCGCCATAGCGAAGACGTATTCTGCGCGTCTGCACGCATCCCTCAAACTTTAGCAACTGCCACTTTCAACGGCGAACTCATACTTTGGCGTTTGGAAACTGGACAACCGTACCGATGTCATAACGTTGTAAATCCGACCAAACGTATAAAAATTGAGTATAAACTTAAAAAAGAAGAAAAAACTGCTCACTCGAGCAGAAGCAACAGTACGTTTACAAAGAAATCGATCGCCTCTATAAAGTCGTCACAAACGCAAAAGACTATCGCATTATGTAATCCTGAACTCAGGGCGCACAAATTATCAACGATACACATCCCAGAAACATACATTCCGTTGAGAGGATTGGCAGTTCACTCTATGATTTTCTTATCCGAAAGACCCATGCTGCCAGGTGTAGCGACACTACTCGTAGCTTTAGAAAATGGCAATATCCAAGTTTGGTCTCACCATCCCGGAGGAAGCTTTATAACATCATTTCAAGCGGTACATTCGGCCGGTGATTATGTTACGTCGATGGCGACGGACGCACACAATGAGTATCTTTTCGTAGGTAGGTAAGCGCTTGAACTTCTTTATGAAAGTTACGTGAAACAATTCTGATATTTGAAACAGTTACATGCTCGAGAGATCTAGGATAGCCACTTGCAGCATTTGGCTCACTTAAAACGCTTTTGACACTTTCAGATTTGTGATATAATATATGAGGTACTTTTGACCCCACCTCTAAGATACCTTTTATCCTTACAATAGACTTAGATGCTACATCAGGCACTTTTGCAATGCTAAAGACCTAAACGCGCTGAAACACTATGAGAATTGAACGAATTTGAAGGTTTGATGGATCAGAGGTATACCTATTTGACACTAAAGTCACTTCTCGTACTGCATCTGATTAGTAGCTTAAGCTACTTGAGATACCTCGCAACAGTTGATATTTATATACCTAACACTGAAAAACTTTAAGGAACAACGGCTGGCTACATCAAGACATGGTTAATGACCGATTATTACCCTCCAAATCTTACAACACGAGCGTGTCTCCCGAAATATCGATTAATATTTCCGTTTATGCTGAAAGACCTAATAGACGGTAGAGCAAAGAGAGCTGTTAGAGATCAACCGAAACCAGTGCTTCTCTCAAGCTTTAAGGGACACACATCTCCAGTTTCTGGACTAACATACATTAACGAAGCAGCGATTGTTGCTAGGTACTGTCGATATAAAATGTAAATAATTTACTAATTTTGGCTATTAGCTGTAGCACAGATTTTACTACTCGCTTATGGACATTAGGAGGTCGCTATTTAGGAACTTTGGGAACATTTAAGCCATGGATTCCAATTACAATCGACGTACCGCCTGACGATAACCGTCAGTACAGTATACCAACAGATTTGAAAAGGATGGCTAGTTCAACGTCATTCAAGGTTCATTTTCTCTTTTTTTATTTTGAGAGAAAGTAAACATGTGGCAGGTTTTTACCGGGAGGAATTATGAAAAAAACGAGCCGGCGCACGATGAGAAAGAAGATAAACCGTTGACAAATGTCGTTACAAATAAAGTGGAAATTTATGGTAAACGGTTGGAAGAGCCAATTTTAGGTAACCATTTCAGAATACCTCCTCGAACTGTTGGAAGGTACCAGTTTACTCTTGATGCGTCATTACCCTATGTAAGTATAATCTGGAGTGCAGTGAATTTAATCTTCTAGTCTTTCCGATGCCATCACAAAAAAAGAGCAGTTAACAGTAAAAAAAATTTAGGTCACTTCTGCGGAGACAAAAATGTTAGGGTATAGTTCGTCTCAAAGTTTAACGTACATACAGAGCGAGTCCATAATTCTTTTAATTTTCTTTATGGTATTCTAAGTGCAATAATAAGATTTTCGTTTTGAGTGAAAGCAAAAGATTGAGACTGACTATTCCACAATATACAAGGTGTCACAAGTACCAAATTGTAGCACAACAAGAAATTATAGCTGAATACTGGATAATCCTAAAAGTCATTTGGAGCAAGCAGTTTAAAACTCTTTGAGCTTTCTCTAATGTTTAGACACAGCTTAATATTAAGTAAGCTGTGGTTTAGATTTTGAATATTTAAAGCGCGATTTCTCGATAAGTAATCGATCGATAAAAAAAAATAAAACAGTTGTGTAAATAATGAAAATCTCTTCTAAATTTCAAAATCTTCGGGGAGTTGCAATCCCTAGTGCAAGGTTAAAGTTGTGAGAATAATTTTTGCATAAAAATTGGTTCCTTCGATTAGTTGTAAACACATATATTTTGGTGAGCTTTAGGGTTGTTTAAATTTTCGTTATAGTATATTTGCGTTTTTGATATGAAGTTACTAATAACTATGCACAAAAATGCATGGTGCACGTTAAAATCAAAACCTAAATAAAATCGTTACTGAATTATAGGTAATTTAGACAAATGATGAATGCCTTGAATTGAACACTACAAGTTACATTTAAATGAAAAAATACATGAAGAAAATACGTTAATACATACATTATATTCTCTCTGACAAAACCTTTTTGTCTCCTCAAAAGAATAAATAAAAAAATTACATCGGAAATCTGTCAACATCAAATTTTCACTGCAACTCTTATAAATTTGCTACCTACCGACTGTTGCTAGTCAGTAACTTACTGTATTTGGCAAGTGTTCAACTCTAATTTTTAGTTAGTACCTAACTCATTTTAGATCCCAGTATACACTCATTTAATAATGCCACCTGATAAAAATGTTCCACATCCACGTACACCTGAAGGTATTGCCTTATCTCAAATCCTCAGACACGATGAAAAAGACAAACGACCGAAATAATAAAATGGATTCCATCCATCACTTAAAAAGAAAACTAGAAATTGGAAAACATATTTATTTGAATTAAAAATGTTTCAACAGTGTATAAAATGAATTATTAACAACAGAGAAAATGAAACAATTACGACACTATATGCTACAACAACTCGTCTATTTTATTGTCGTCGAACATCTTGCAATGTTGCACACGCTTCTAACAATTGACATGCCAATTTGTATTCATTTTGATTTTCTTCCAAACATCTTAGGCAATGTGTGGTTATATTTAAAATTGCCTCTATTGAACTTGGAGCACACCACTCGCCATTTTGCTAAGAAAAGGTGTTACTGTCAAACAAAAGCAGCCGAGGTAAGGAGGCATTAATTGTCAGACACTGATCGTTCGTACACGCATGCATTACAAATTTTACAGCATTTCCAGATCTATTGCTGTGCGGAAAATACAAATATTATGTATTTCGAATTATATTTTTGGTAAAAATTTCACTACTTGAGAAAGTGGTAGACCGCGATAAACAATACCAGGGTCCCAAACTGAGGCAACAAGCGAGTGAATATTATCGGTTGCAACTATTTGACATTAAACTAAATTAGAGGTCTCACATTAGAGCAACTCGACTTCTGCTGGTTACAGCAACCAATATTTATTCATGACAAATGTTGAAAAGCGACAACAACACTTTCTGTACGACTTATCAGTACTAATACATTGCGATTAGAAGTTTTTGCCTTTTTGAACTCTTTCGATAACATATCAACACCATCATTATTACTAATTCGTACAAAGGTCAAATTCAGGTTCAGCACACTTAAACATTTGAAAATTAATCATAACATAACCTAATCCAAAGTAGTAGTACATGATACAGTTTGAGTTGGCAACATCGGAACACAGACATGCGCATCCTAGAGATCGTCGTCTGACATTTAACGCGTAGCACAAACAATTGACAGCACAAAAAAATTACAACTACCTACCAGTGAATCCAAATAGTTAGTCAATGCGGGAGTTAAAGCGGACATTTTTTCTCCCAGATCTTGAGATGATGATATAAATTGATGAAGTCGTTTTCCGGCAACTATCAATAAATCCGGACCTAATTTTTTCAATTCCGCGATGGTCGGCAGCAGTTCTTCTGCGACGCTATCAAAACCGTTCAAGAAAAGCTGCATTACTTGGAATCTTTTTAGTAAGTCAACGTCCAAGTTCCAAACTCTAGCCAACGACTGACATTTCGACATCCAGTTCACATGGATATCGGCGTAAATTTTGCGATCGCTTACGGTCACAGTTTCGATGCTCGACGATATTATTTTGAGCAGAAATTGTGTTCTGGATGTATGGATTTTCGTATCCGACCTATGCCAGCTCAGCTGCGTTTTCTGTTGAAAATCGGTGAAAAATAGACTAATAATAGCACTATCGTACAAATTATTGACGGGTTTGGCGTGTTTGATTGTGAAAGTTGTGATCATTTGAATTGTTAAGCTCAGCTGGTAATGCGCGTGCAATAGATCATAGTTAATGTAATTTTGTTGCAAAGCTAATTCGGCCAGCGGTTGCCCTCCATTATCCCATATGCTCTCGTAATTTATTCGGATCTGTAATTATAAATGATTCATGCCAGGCGACAAAGTAGGAAAATATACCTTCTCCGAGTTGTAGCTTTGTTGAACAACTTCCAAAAAATTGTCTAAAAAATTTGTGCAAATACTAATGAAAATACTAATTTGAAAGTCGGTCAGTCCCGTATCTTGTTTGCACAGTTTTTCTTTTGGTAACTTGCCAACTTTGTTAATTAATTTGCATGCGCTTTCAAAAATAATTTTTAGATGAGTATTCCACACCAAATTATACAATCCTTGTTTTAAGTGTGGTTCCGCGATATGTTCCAAACACCTCACCGCTGCCTCTAAGTACAAAAATTCTGATAAGCTTTTTTGCCAGGCTAACGCGTACTCCCAACACATATTTACTAGTAAAACGTCTGCATCTAAACTGTAAGGAAATTGTTTCTTTAAAGTATCTAATCTCTCGAAAATTAAGCTGCTATTGGCGCATTCATTTTTATTACGAAATACTATACTTTCTGGACTAACACCGGCTGTAGTTAACCACTGGGCCACTAATTCACTAACGGCACCCCTTCCCTTTTGTAGCACATACTGTAAACTAACATCGATGGGATCGTGTTTCAATTTTGGTGCATCTGACTCCGCCACGTTAGTCTTAAAGTGCAGTATAATATTTAATAAAGATATGTCTTCTAATTTTCCTATGAGGATCATCCAGTCGCAATTCTCCTGAGACATCTTCTCCCAAATTTCCATATTTTCCTCTTCGAGACTGGTGCCAGATTGTTGTAATTCTTTCTCGTGTTCAATTTTTTGAGCAACGCCGCGACAAATCAACGCAGCGGTCAACGCTGGAAAGGGCCGAGAGGATTTGGCTAAGACCTCTCTTATGCCCGCCCAGAAATCTGATTTTTGATTGTACTCCACCAAAATGTTGTCCAACGATTCTAGCTTTGTTAAAGTGTAAATTAAGTGACTAAGATTTTCCATTTCCCTCTCTAAATTAACGTTAATGTGTAACGGCCGATTGAACCAATAATTCAAAACCATCTCGAACAAATTGCTCAGGGAGATTTTGCACGTTTTAATTTGTAGCGCCAATTCCGTGTAATCGTTGCGGTTCTCCGAAATGTATTGCTTAAAGATGCCTTCCGATATTAAAAATAGTGTGTTTACGTCAATGTGGGCACGCAAGCGAATTTGCTCGCTTTCGCCAACGTCAAACACAGACAAAAATGCGCAAAATGTGAACGCATTGTCTTCAAAGAATGATACTTTAGGTTCTACGCTTTTGTCATCTGTACTCAAATCAAGCAATTTTTGTAAGTTACTGATCACTTTCTCACCCAAATACGTTTGAGTACTCAATCTTTGGCTTACTTCAGACTGATTTCCATTTTCATCGCCATTAGACAAAATGAAAAGATAAAAGTGTGTCATTATGTTCAAATTATGCAAAAGTTGTTTCATCATCTTCATGTCGTTGTTGATCTCATCTTCCTCTAAAGAGGTGTATTTCTCAAGAAAGTACTCGACACATTTCAAAATTACATTCGGATGCACCTCTTTGCACCCCATCAAAAGTTGCAAACACTGCAATTGCACTTCCGTTGTTTTAATTTCCATACAACTACTGAGCGCTTCGGCGATAAAATTTTCTAAAATTAAATCTCCCGTTTTTATGTAATTTTTTAACCTCTTGTACAAGTGCAAATCACGAGCTTTGTGGGAATTCTTCTCCGCAAGAGAGAAATGGAATGGTACTATTACCTCCTTTATTTCACCGTCGGAATCTAGCAAACCGCACGTGAATGGACAAAGATAACGTGACTTTGTCGTAATTGTAAAACCCACCAGGCCGTAATTGACATAGAGCAAAATGCTGAATTTGGAAGCGGTAAACGTAGCTATTTTTAACCCGTGTTGCGCAGTAAAGATCTCCAACGTTCCCTTCTTGGGCGCGTAAACTATAAGAAATGTGGCAACTTTAACGTTTGAGTGACGTTTGCTGTGTTTTTCGTTGGGAACTTGAATAAATGCGCACTGAGCATCGCGGTAACCTTTCAACATGCGCAAAACGATTCCTCGTCGACAATCTAGTAGTATAATGCGACCAAGAACGTCGGTAACAGCTCCCAGACGACGATCTTGCGATAAAATTACGCTCGAGGCAGTGCGTCTCAAATCGCACAGACCAAACCGACAGCCCATTGGTTCAGATGGTTGAGTTGCCAAAGACGCTTGCTTCTCTATACCTGATTTATTACCAGTCAGCCAGCTTCTGTAACTCCATATTCATTAAGATGGACCACACATTAATCTATGGAACGCCGTTTTATCATATTACGTTTATATTATGTTTAGAAGTTTAGAAGATTTCACAATTTTATATCTTGCATCTTGGAAATATTCTTAAATCGTTAAAAATATTTTAGATGGACAATATTTTATACAGGGTGGTGACTTGCGTAACGCATCATAGGGATTTCAATGTAATACTCATAACATGCGATTATTGGCTCCCCAAATTATTTTACAGCAAAAATGCATTAAGGTTTTTTGTAGAAAAAATTTTTTTACGCCAATCAACCGTATTAGTTTTCAATTTTTTGCATAATAAAGACGGAAAATTGGAAAAATAAAAACCGCATCTTTTTCAATAATCTGCAAAGCCATGGAATTTTCTAAAACAAAAAGATATCCAGTTATCAATTAGCAGCAGTTCGATTTAATGGATTTTATGATCGACTTGGTTACTGTATTGCAGTTAATGGTAACTTATTCGAACATTTATTGTAAATTGTTATATTAGGAAACCGTTTTTAGTAATTTGGTCTTTCTTGGCATAAGGGATGTTGGTGTAGTTTTTGTTATAAAATTCCATGGCATCGCAGATTATTGCAAAAGATGCGGGTTTTATTTTTCCAATTTTCCGTCTTTATTATGCAAAAAATTGAAAACTTATAATACGGTTGATTGACGTAAAAAATTTTTGTCTACAAAAAACCTTAATACATTTTTGCTCTAAAATAATTTGGGGAGATTTCAGCTGAAATATTGAAGTACCCAAAAATTTTAGCTGATTTAAATAATGGATTTAAAACTGTTACAGTGACTTTGGATTTTTGCTATGAACAGTGGAGTTTGAGTCCGCTGATATAACTACCTAGTAACTTTTATCGTGACGACCTCAATAAATGGAAATGGTTTTTTAAATCGAGGAATCCTATCACTCAGATATTGGTTTTTCAATTTAATTTAACACCAACCCTCTGAACATGTAAAACGGCGTTCCATATTAAATCATACATACGGTAATGCAGATTTCAGCTTGCTGGCAACTGCTTTTGCGACATCCGTAAGGACAGGTTGCGAACCCCCTTCTAGAGCATAATGAAATGCGACGTATGGCTTAGAACCGACACCAACAAATAACGTATTATGTGGTGCCATTGCTCTGTATCTTGTTTCAAAACCACCGCAAGTTGATGCTGTGAGCAAATGGTCAAAAGTGTTTGCCAAATCCAAACCGACAACAGATACATCATTTATTAAAAACTGATCTTGGAATCCGAATTTTTTAACATTTACCCCTTTAATGCTGCATTCTATGGCACTGCCGGTACCTAAACAAAGTGATTTATTGACGATGTTGAAGTTTTAAATACTCATACCCAACTGATTTCGACAACTGCGTAACATGGTAAACAGCTGATTACCGTTAATATTGCAAATGATGTGTGCATATTCTACATAAATTTCTTCAGGTTTAAGCTCCGTATTGAGATCAGGACGTGGGCTGTGCTGAGACTGGCACTTTAAATTCCACACTCGTTCAGTATTAAACTGTTCACTTAACAGCAATTTACAATCTTCTGTATAAAAACGTACAACACCCGATTCGAAACCAATTGCAACACATACCCATTCGGGACCAACCTGAAATTAATATTTTAAATATAGGTAGCTTAAAAATTCATTCTGCTATCCAATAGGAATAATATGCATCTCTACCTATATCTTTATCATTATGCTGTAACCACATGTTTGCCAAACCTCAACAAATTCAAACATGTAGATAGATGTGTATGAGGACACGGACGACTCGGCTCCGCACCGGACTACTCAGCTTCAGGACTTCGAGGAGCAGAATATTGACCGATACAAGCGACCAAAACCCTGTGACAACATTCACCACTGAATGTGGTTATTAAAAATGAACCTCGCTTTTCTATTGCATCAATCATTTTCAATTAGTGATAATGCGTTGTTCAAAATGCATACAGTACAGCTCTTACGACATTATTAGCTAAGTGGTAAAGCTGTTGTGTAGCTGACCGTATCTAAACCCAGATCGAGACACCACCAATTATATAAATTGATTAGTTCGGTAATTTGTACTGCTAAAAAAACCTGCCAATACGGTGTAACTTCCCTTACCTGTGAGCTTTGACTTTGAATAACCACAGGTAAACAAAGAACTGCGGTAATTGGATCATCGTTGTCAACACAACCCGAAAATAATATAGCGAATGTACTTATTGCTTTGACGTTATCCCATTTTGCGGTGAGGATCACAAGGCGTCTATCGTAAGCTATAGCTATTGTATCCCCAGTCGGTGCTGCTGATACTTTACAAATTTGCAACCAACTGTCCGATCCTTAAAGTATAAGATACACTTTCAAGATTACATTGGGAGGCGGCCTACCTCGTTCGTCATCTGTGGGGAACAGACACCTTCTTATAGTCGAAATGTTTTCTAAATTTCCTATTTGTTTAATTTGACAAGACATTTTGTTTACACCACATACAGTGAGTTTTTTTTAAATGCGAACATAGGAGTTTGCCTGCAAGTAATTTCCCTATGTTTGATTTAAAAAAAAAACACATCAATCTAAGAGATGTGCGCGGTTCACATTCCCAAAACGCGCAATTTGTGTGACTATGAACAGCAACTCTATAGTCTTTATGATGAAGAGCACTCGGTAAGATTTTTTTAAATAAACCATGTGAGGCCATAGCAACTTTAGGATAAATTTTTCTTAAACTTACGATAACTTGACTTCACATGGCACACGCTAACATAACAATTCATTGTGAACCAACCTTCAATTATTTGTAGGTCACGTGCACCTGGTATTCTACTAATTTGATTTATTCAATACAATACATAAATGAAGAAAATAAATAACGCAAACAATAAAATTACAATAAATGTTCGAAATGTCCTCCTTGACATTCTAAGCAATAACCTAACCGATTTCGTAATTAAATTGGACGGCGGTATTTTTAAAAATGTGACAGCTGTCAATTGTATCTACTACTCATTTTTACTACTCGATAGATTGATGTGTTTTTTTTTAAAATCGAACATTGGGAAATTACATTGCATACAAACTCCTATTTTCGCATTTAAACAAAATTCACTGTATATCTATGGTTTTTAAAACAGCACTCTGACATCTTACGTTAGTTTCAAAAAGTACATTACAAAATTAGTGTGGCGACATCTTTGAGGTGTAAGTTCCAACTAAAATAGTGGTGGTAATAAAGTGTCCTGCATTTACCGATAAAATGTTAGTCCTCAATAATAAAGACAGATGTCAGCACAATGTATTCTGCTTTGATTATTTTAATGTTAAACAAAAACTCAAGCAAGGCTATAAACATTTTGGGATTTGTGCCTTTCGCTGTCAAAGGAGTAAACCACGAAAGTACTTCATCATAACCTGTTGCCTTTTTTGTTTGTAGGACATCTATGATGCAGCATATATCTGAGGATGTAACAGGTTTCAGGTACATGCTCTCTGGAACATTGGCGGACGTGGAGCATGCTTGAGATGCAGTTGTCCGAAATGTTCTTCCAGTTTACGTGGAATTACGCGTTCGAAGAATTCTGCAAATACATGACATAATTCATCATTTCGTGTAATAGATCTGCCTTCGTAAGTTACTGTTAGACCCTTTCGCACTTCGGTTGAGTACGAAGTTCACCAGTAACCATAATGTTTTGGGTTTATTGCTCGATCGTTCTATTTGGGTCGAATAGTGGATTACCTTTTCGTTTCGAATTTGTATGCGTGTATTTCTTCTTTCAGTTGTATAAAGCTGCTCCAGCCAGCTTTCTTGTGTAGTTTTTCTCAAGAAGTTTAACATCTTAACTCTGTTCAGTTTTTTGTTTAATTCGGTACTGAATTTTAATTTTCGGGGTCGTGGAGTCTTGATTTTGGTGGTGGTTTTAGGGAAAAGCGGTATTGAAACACCACAAGAAGTGTTCCCAAAATCGATCGAAAGCCCATGAGGTTGTGTCAGCAGCATGCGGTGGGTTTTTCGTTGTAAAAAGTTTAAGAAATTCGAAGATTCCGAGGCCGTTGAAATATCGTTTATGTATGGTGGTCTGGTGTGTTTGCTCTATGTGGCCATCAATTTGCACTTCCGTAGTAGAACCATATGATCGGAATAGCCAAGATCTTCGACATCAAACTTTACTTTGTGCAGTTCCAAGTTCGTGATCAAATAGTCTATGCTACTTGATGGGGTTTGGCCTAGCCTTGTTGAAATTCGTGTCGGGACGTCAACGTTATGGATTGATAAATTATGTGCGTCGATTACGTCTTCTAATAATATGAAAGCTCGATTTTTATTCATATTATTTATGTTTAAATCGCCGCACATGATAATATTTTTGAATTTGAGTGTGGCTTGTGTTAAAACACTTGTTAATCTTATAAGAAAGGTGTTTATATCTCCATGTGGTGGCCTGTAGATACACAGAACACACGTGATTTTGTTATAGGATAACGCGACACACTCAAAATTGGTGTCGTCTGATAAGTTGGTTTTGGTAAAAAAGGAAGGTTGTACACTGCCTTTTTTTGAGGCAAGAAGAAAAAATTGTCTCAGATCGACCCGGAAAAAATATTTTCTTATAGAATGTGGCCTGTAGAATACATAATTTCAAACAGTTCCAAGTTTGGGCTACTAGTTCAAAAGTTACAGCCCTTTGAATTTTCTTCCGAAATTGGTCTATAACTTTTGATTGAGAAGTCTAATCGAAAAAGTACGAATTAATTTGGATTCTACGCACCAAAATTAATAAGAAAAAGTGTTTTCCCGAGAAATTTTGGTGTAGTCGATTTTTGGTAAAAAAGGAAGGTTGTACACTGCCTTTTTTTGAGGCTCCAAAAAAAATTTGTCTCAGATCGACCGGAAAAAAACATTTTCTTATAGATATGGCCTGTAGATTTCACCAGGGTCTTAAATGGCGCCACCGTCGCTTTTTAGTTCGCCGAGATTCCACCAGGAGCTTAAATGGCGCCACCGTCGCTTTTTAGTTCGTCGAGATTCCACCAGGAGCTTAAATGGCGCCACCGTCGCTTTTTAGTTCGTCGAGATTCCACCAGGAGCTTAAATGGCGCCACCGTCGCTTTTTAGTTCGTCGATTTTCCACCAGGAGCTTAAATGGCGCCACCGTCGCTTTTTAGTTCGTCGAGATTCCACCAGGAGCTTAAATGGCGCCACCGTCGCTTTTTAGTTCGTCGATTTTCCACCAGGAGCTTAAATGGCGCCACCGTCGCTTTTTAGTTCGTCGATTTTCCACCAGGAGCTTAAATGGCGCCACCGTCGCTTTTTAGTTCGTCGATTTTCCACCAGGAGCTTAAATGGCGCCACCGTCGCTTTTTAGTTCGTCGATTTTCCACCAGGAGCTTAAATGGCGCCACCGTCGCTTTTTAGTTCGTCGAGATTCCACCAGGGGCTTAAATGGCGCCACCGCCATTTACATCTCATACTGATATCAGGGGAAATGCTTACAACAGTTTTCTGTAACTTGAGATTTAGTTCAATGGAGAATGCATTTTCTTTAAATCTTTATTGGCAATTTATACATTAGAACATTATATTTGATAAGGTTAAACTTACAACACTAGTCACTGGATATAAATATTACGAAATGAGTAGACACATGAGAATGAAGACACTAGGTATCTAAGAGTACTATAATTCAGCAATGTACAAATTTCCAAGTTTGGCACAAGACGAGCATACAAGATACGTAGGTCCCTTGAATTATCATTTCTTATATAAAACGTGCCACAATTCAATACACAATTTTTAAAACGCTTAAAACTACTTGGGCAAACAACATATAAAATAGTTTCATTTAAAAAAAGTTAACAAAAAGTAACGGAACAATGGCAAATTAGGAAAGAATTATTGTTTTCTGCGTTGTCTCGCAGCAGCCTCTCTTTCTCGTTTTTTATTATCTGCATTGCGTAGAACTTCCGCGTACGACAGGTCTAATCGTTTCAGTTTAAATAGATCTTGCGAAGCGGTACTCGGTTTGTAATCCAAGTTGTTCTCGTACTGTCGATTGCTCGGTCGTGCGGGGGGCGTAGGTGAGGAAGGATTACGAGAGTAGAAATGTAAAGTGTTACCGCTCCACACGTTGGGGGGTTCGGTCGTTATCGGTTTAAATTCCCTTCGTTTACGTCCCGAAAATGGTCGATTGCTGTGCGTCACCTTAGGACTACCGATAATGGGCGTGGCGGGAGAACCCGACCGTTCGGCCAGTTTATTCTTGCGACGTGACGACGATCGCTTACGTACGTTTACCGAAACGGTAAGGTATTCTAAGGGTTGACGCACGTACGGCGTCAAAATGGGCTCTTCTTTTTTGTTCTCGACCACCGTGGGCGTTTCGGACGTCTTTTCGGGCTCCACTTGGCATATCGAAACTTCCGACATGGTTGAGGATATCACGCTTTGCGTGTCGTCGGTGAGATTGTCGACAAAATCCGGCACATCCTCGGTGGCCGGCGTGACGGGAGGTACGCACGGTAAACTTTTGATGGGAGTTAGATCGTCGAGTAGCGGTAGTTCTTCGCCTTCGTCTTTGTTTTCGGCGGCCTTCTTCAGCACCGTAAAAATTTCACTGAACAGCTCACGGTATTCGGGTCGATTTCGGAATCGGCTGTCGACGGGGCTCGCGTCGTCGTATATGCTAAACTTGCAGTCCTCGCCGTCGGCTATCGTGCAAAGGAAGGAACCGGGTCGGTCGTCGGTTTGCGTCGCTTTATTGCTCGTTTCGTCCGAAAAACCTGAAGAACTCGTTTCGGCTTCCGAAAAGTCGGTGGGCGTTCGTGAAATTGACTTGTGACTTTTCGCTTGCCGTTCCGGCTGAAGACTATCCCCGTGGCCGCTCTCTTCATCCGTATCCTTTGTGTTAAGATGATTAAAGTTGCCGGATAACCGCAGTTCCTCCTGAAGAGATTTCGGGTTTCGTAGCGATTGCGTACGTTGGACTTCTAACAACGCTTCGTACTTTTCAACTAGGTCTCTGTACAAATTTGACTCTGGACGAGGAGATTTATAGTCCTAAAAACAAAACCGGATTAGTATTCGGCTTGACCAGGCGAAGAAAATTGAAAATAAAAACCACGAAAGCGGGTATTATTTTTATTACAAAAAAAAAGACTTTACAATTCTTTAGGTATACGTTACACACCATACTATGCGTTAGTTAGGTATCAGTTGCTTGTACAGTTTTAACACTAAGATTTAATTTGGTTAAAAATATTTAGGTACTAAGCTAATGACGATGGTATCCTTATGTGGAAATTGGCGTGTTCTCGAGAGCAAGTGCTCATTCTAAAGACTACCAAATCCGCAAACACGGCACTATTTCGCTAAACAAGTAAAAAGGAACGGTAGGTATAAAGTACGCTATGAATTTGATATTAAACTAATTAGTCTGTTATCAATATTTGCAAAGATACGGTGGTCGCTCAAGAAATCATAAATCAAACAAATGTCATTGCTTCTACGAGAGTACGGATTAGAACATTTTTATTAGCATAATTTTACAATAATAAAAATAAGCTAATAACAAAATATACCATCTTTATTTGTCCGTTTAAGAGTTACGATCTTCGCATCATGACCAATAAACTCTAAATCGGATAATTCATAAATTAATTGTAGGTAAGAATTACATGCTGCACGGATAATCCACTTACCAGCGCCAAATTCCTACTTTTATCACTTATACAGGTAAGTGAGTGAGAAACATCTAACATGGACGTTGTACGTACCTATAGTTTTGATATACAAGTTTGCGTTGTGTCGTACAGGTAGATCGACTGCCTAATTCGCGATTCAGAAGCGACAGTGTGTAGGTGGTTATGTCTGCAGGTTTTTAAGTGAAATTGTACTAATTTGAATGTGAATGGAGTTTATCCTGCCGTTTTTTAAAACTTGAAAATACAACCCCTTCATCCCATCCTACCTGAAAGGCCATCTTCTTAAGCACTCGAGGCTTGAAGTCTTGAATTAACTTAAATTTCTAATTATAAATAAAGATCACAATTTATCATTCATTTTCCAGTGCACAACAACTCACCGACATTCTCTTACGTCGACTATGCCTTAAAAAAGCCTTCGTGGGATAATTACACTGACCACAAAATAAGCAATATAGGTAAGTGACGATTTAAAATTCTTACTATTTGTGGCATACCCTTGAATGTGGATATTCCGCTTTAAGTACCTACCGTGAGTAGTGAAATTACACCGATCACAATTTAAAGTTTTGAAAAGGTTGTGTGTTAAAAGATGACGCTTTACGCGAACGTTATCAATATTATAGCCTAATTATACATCTGACAGCCGTGATAGAAATAAAAGTTGGTCAAAGCGGAGTGTGTCTCCTATTTTTTGTTGCAACTAGCAAATAAGCATTTTTGGAGTAGCCAATTTTCACATTAGGATACCATCCAATAATAAATGAAAACGAACACATGCTACAAAAACATAACTCGACCAAATATCTACTAAAGCTAAGTTATTATCATAAAAGGAATTAGATATTATTATAAAATGGCATCTCATCGCAACATACCTCAAAGCTGATGTATTTTATCGTGTCTGAGTACGCAATGTAAAAGGATTAATGGATATCTCCAAGGTTTGCATAGGAAGGGAAATATGTAACGATCTTTAATATACAGAAGGAGGTCTATTAATACTGATAACAAAGTGGGACCAGGCCACATCCATAGCATAGACATCTCTCTGCGGAGGATATTTCGAAACTCAGATTTGTCCTGAGAAATAAAGAGAGCAGCTAAAACGTGCATTTGCGACATAATCGAGCGTTAGCTATTTCTTTCGTGCATTCTTAATTTATGAAAATAAAGTAGCGGATGTGCATTTCTATTTCCGAAAATATAGTTCCTTCAAATTTATAGGAGTTAGTGTTGGCGACTCGCATTTATGCAGTAACTATAGTAACGCATGACGATTAATCTAGCAGATCATCAAATTGCAATGATATGTACAAAGTACCTAGGTATCTACAGTAAACAATGAAGACGCAATGTAAGGCCTAGTTGCATCAGTGGCCAACACTAAGTTGATTATGAAATTGAAAGGAAGAGGGTGAGATTAAGGGTATAGCCAGTACACAAAGGACAATTGAATAATTTCACAATCTTCAAATTTTAAAAGAACTTTAATGTGCACTTCCATTAAAAAAAGCATTGCAATAAACTAAGAAAGCCAAGGTGACGGACAAGCTCATGCCTCACCTGTATATCCATCGTGAACGAGGAACGGTACTGTGAATCGTTGATCAACGCCTCAAACACACTCGAATCATCGTCTTCGGCCTCGTCTCCGAGACATGACAAATTATCGCCGGTTCGTTGCGAGTCCATCGTTCGTAAACACCTCCTGCATAACTGACCGTGCCTAAAACAGTTGACTTCAAGAAGAGCTAATGTGATCTCGCCAACTTACTGCACTTCTTCCAACGTTGTAAGTTCTTCGTGCATACTTTTAGGTTCTTCTTCTTTGTAGTTCAACTGGACCAGCTGCTTTTCTAACGTCTGATTTTGGTGTATCATTGTGGAAAGCTGTTCTTCCAGTTCCGACACCCGTCTTTGCTCTCTGTAAAATGATGTACGGCTTTCCCGTAACTGTACCATTAGTTCTGTAACTTGTTCGTTGGCGCTATCGGGATCGTCCTTCTCCTTATCCTGCTTTTCGGTTGTAACCAAAGGTATTTCTGACGATTTGGATTTTTCTTCCTTGGGCATCTGGTTCTAAAAGGGAAATTAATTTAAGACCGAAGTTACAGAAGTGGCGCGTTACCTCCTCCTTTTTCGGTGAATTGTAAAACTGTTCACTGGCGTCGACTTCATCTCGTTCCGTATGCCTGAGAGTGATGGTTTGTTTGATGGGGTCGGGTGTGCTTAACTGTCTACGTTTCTCAGACTCAAGCTGTAAGGTGAGATGATCAATCGTCCCTTGAAGTTCCTCACATTTGATCTCTAAAGCTTCAAGGTTTGCCGTTAGGTTTTTCAATTGCTTCTTATCTGACGAGTTTTCAAGTGCGAGTCGATGATTTGCCCTTTCTAGGTCTTGTATACTTACTTCTAATTGTTCATATATTCTTAAACGGGAATCATTTACCTCACGAAGTGCCACGGTTTGTTTTGTCAAGTACTAAAAAAATCAGATCCAGTTAAAGAAAGTTTTAGATATGAGTAAAGTTAATTCTATTAGAAGTAAGAGATTGATTTTAGTAAAGTATCAAGGAATAAACTTTGATATTGGATCTATCTAAAAAAAAGATTACCTATTCTCTACAGCCTACAAGTAAGTGAAGTTACCTACTGCTTAATAATAGGTATACTTTACTTATAATTTTTGTTCATCTCATATAACCATTTGTTTTTGAAACCCACGTTCTAGGAGAATATGAGATGCAAACAATCAGTTCTCAGCAATCTTTATTTTGACACCCTCCTATCTTCTAATCTCGTGATGCATTGTAATGGTTTTTAAGAAAGATTTTTATCAGGAGAAGATAAAAGTAAGTACCTAGGTGTGTGTTTTATTGCAGCTGATCCATTTTGGGAACGATATAAGAAAAAAGAAAAATGCTAGCTGACCACATGTGCGATTTGTTTGGAAAGCGAAAAATTCTGATCACAACATTTTACATAGACCTATTTTAGATAAGCAAATAGTACCACCTACAACAAAAAAAAACTATACTGCATTCAGAAAGTAGTAGATGGCGCTGTGTTTGAAGTTAAGCACACACAGGAAAAATATAAAACGGCACTAAAATATTATAAAGTACAAATATCCATCGCTACAAAGAGAAATAAATCTTTGAGATTAACAACTAATAACACTTCAACCAATGAGTAAAGACTTCAACAGTTTAGTTGACAACAAAAACTACCAGCTTGCAAAATTCGCCGCTCGTTTTATGTTTCAGTGTAATACTGACTCGTGTTTTAACCAATCACACTGAAGGTCAAAGCTTTCCTTGCAGATGTGTTACACACTGACTCCCTCGGTACTGCTCAAACGCAAGCGCGCTAAAATTTGAATTTGCGAACAACTGTCAAGTGTAAGGGGTAAATAATATACGTACACATAACCTGCAAACGTTATAATTGAAGAAGATTGAAGATAATTTAGCTTACCTGCTTACCTATTGTAAGTAGGTATATGTTAATGCAAGATGAATTCCTACACTAGAATATGCCAAAGGTGATAAAAAGAAACTATTTCGGTAAGTACTGTAACAGTTAATTAGAAACAGTTAATGAAATCTACTTACAGACCAATATTGACCTACGCTAGAGAGAGAGAGAGTTGGGTGCTGAACGAATCACAAAAACTTGCCTACAAACTACAGAAATGAAGTACTTGCGTAGGGTAAGGGGGAGTTGGTGGACTTCCTAGTAAGAAGATAAAAAAAGAAGTGGATGCTCTGATAGAGACCTTTGATAGACAAAAATTAAAACGCTTATTTGGACGGAATGGAAAACAGTCAGCTTGCGAAACACATATGGAACACCGGAATAGGAAGAAAAGGGGAAGCATAAAGACAATATATGGGATATGTACCTAAGTAGCAAGAATACTTCAAGATCGAGGCATAGAATGGGAGGAGACTAAAGGCGCCTTTAGACTAGAAAGAAAACTCGCGCGATTTGCTGTCGAACATTACTGACTTAAGTGTAAATAACATTGCGAATCCATTTGTCAAAACTCGCGGAAGAATTCTTGCGATACTTTTCTTGCCAGTCTAAACAGGTAAAAGTGCAGCTCACCAAGTTCTCGCAAACTTTCCATTTCGTTTCGATATTTTGGCGAATAAACGTGCAAGTTTTATTATATTGTAGCACGTAAATGAGTATCCTGCTTTTTAATTTTGTATTAACAGTTACTGAAGGTCTACCGCTGACATACGAATAAAATTTTTAAATTTTGGTATTGATTCTCCGATTATCAGCGCATCAATTAATTTTTTGTAGGCCCCATATTTTTCTCTTCTTGAAATCCATTCTTTCACCCAACACTTCTTTTGTATTTCACATTATTGCATAAATCTACAGCTGCGGCAAGACAAAGAAGTCCTATTGACGCCATAACGTGACATACGTTCTGGAAAACAGCTGCTAGGTATCAACTGACAGCATTTACGGAAGCTAAAAGTGCTGCTAGTGTAAACAGTTTTGTGAGAACTTGCGACAGCAATGGCTCACCCAACTTGCCCAACAGTTTATCGCGACACTTATTGCTCACAGTGTAAATACATATGTGCAAGTTTCTCCCGGGAGATTGTCGCAAGTAACTTGCTACTCTATCTGCGCCTTAAGAAGTTAACGTGAGATAGGAAAAAATGGAGCACAATAGTTTATAGCTTGGTTTATCTGGTAGAATATGTTAATTTATTTTCCACACACCATGATGGTAGAAGGGTTTTGCTTATAATAAATAATAACGTTACAATTCTTGTTGTTTATTCCATATTAGTAAAGGATCATGACGATTGCTTTCAAGTTGGGGCTATAATGTAACTGAAATTCACAGTGATATGATAACCCAAGGCTTTATTAATTCGAGCGCGTTAAAGCAAATTCAAATTTAAGCGCGTTTGCGCAGTACCAGGGAATCAATGTGCAACACATTGCAAGTTTTCTACCGCTACCTTCGTATAAGTTATGAGGTGCCGTTTGTGCCATAAATATATTTATAAAAATAATGGGGATATGCAAAAATGAAAGACACTAAAGTATTAAAATATATCACACAGTTCACATTATATTATATCACTGCTGAAGAGAAATCATTCACATCACATTTTGTATATCCCCATCCGCGCCGGTTTATAAATATCCCATCACTTCACGTGTGCCAAAATGCAATGTTGGTTGCGGAGAACAAATCGGTGAGGCGCTATTGGATAAAATATAGAGAGCAGTAACAGCTTTTCAAAAATTCAAATTCGCTTGTGGATTCCGATTCGCGCGGAAACGTAAATCAGCTGATGTCAGTGTGTCCTGTAGTCAGCGTTAACGTCTTTTTATTTTTTAGTACTTACAAGTGTAAGGTACGTTTATTAATTCTTACAAATGACCACCAAATTTCGAGGGTGTTTTAAAAAATGGGACGTGTGAACTGCACTGTTACGCAGTGTCCTACGTGAGCGGCAACGCGCGGCAGACGCGGCCGGTGCGGTCGACGCTGCAGTCGCGGGCTAAACGGCAAACGCGACCAGAGCGTCCTACGTGCAAGCACCGAACGTAAAGCGGTGCAAGCGCATGTTGACAAAAATATGCTATAATAATATAAATATAATATTTTTTTTATTTAGTATGCTGGAATTTGTTGTATATAAACGGCTAGGCAACACAAGTATTGAAATCAAAAGAGGCAGAGAAGTGGAAAGGAGGCAGAGAAGTAAACTTTCTCTACCTGTTTTCCGCTTCTCTGCTCCTTGGAACTAAACAATACTTCGCTGTTTGAATATGATCAGCGAAAAGTCACATTTGCCGTACGTATAAAAAATTAAATTACTTACAAAATACTTACTTGTTTCCTGAAGATGTCCTGCAATTCGTGTCCATTCTCGATCCACCAGCAGTCTATTGTGATAATGCTTGTGTTTCATGTCCCAAAGAACACGTGTATTTTTGACATTACTAATTAAAAGTTCGTAAAATGTGTCAGACATGATGTATACCCAAGAACTGACCGACGTAGACTGAAGCGGCAGACGCGGAAATATCAAATATTTTGACCTGCTGTGCCGCCTCAAAAACGCTTGAGCAGCGCGTGCCGCGCGGTGGTTGCTAGGTAGGACATACCAATAAACTATCATGGTTTGATATAGCCGCGAGGACCGCGCCGGCCGCGCGTTGCCGCTCACGTAGGACACTGCGTTAGGGTTGTTAATTGGTCTAGGACTCGGGATCAAAAGGTCAGCCCGCCGTTCTAAGAATCCCTTAAAAGAGGGTTGACATTATTTTACTGCATTCATAGTAAATCTGAAAGCCATTCCTGTAGAATCCATAATTTCAAACAGTTCCAAGATTGGGCTACTAGTTCAAAAGTTACAGCCCTTTGAATTTTCTTTCGAAATTGGTTTCTAGTCCATAACTTTTGATTGAGAAGTCCGATCCAAAAAGTACGAATTGTTTTGGATTCTACGCACCAAAATTAATAAGAAGAAGTGTTTTCCCGAGAAATTTTGGTGCAGTCGATTTTTGGAAAAAAGGAAGGTTATACACTGCCTTTTTATTTGCCCCGAAAAAAAATTCTCTCAGATCGTCCCGGAAAAAAAAATTTCTAATAGAACGTGGCCTGTACAATCCATAATTGCAAACAGTTCCAAGAGGGTAGAAGTTTTTTATTAGAGGTGGCTCAAGGCTCAAGTGACTGCGCATGTGGTGTCGGATTCAACACAAGTGAGAAGATATACCGGTGTTAATAGGACACCCTTTTACGGAGTTACCTGGAGTACTATACTAGTGATTAAGGATGATAAGCAGTTGATCATAACAGACGGGGAACTAAATAAAATACAAGGTATTCATCAGAAACCACAGAAAATAGCCTTATATACAAAAAGTCCCTGATGCCTAGTACCTAAAGACACCTTAGTCAATATTGTAGTTAGGTCTAGAGATAACAATAATTTTAGAGATTTATTTCTAGAAGCTAGTTTGCGCCTCAAGGAAGGAAATGAATATTCCATTCCGCGAACTATAATTAGATTAAGCTCCAATAATGAAGGTGTTATACCCATAATAAACTTGGCAGACGATGATTTTGAAATTGGAGGAAATGAACTTTTGGTTAGGGCATTTTATCCAATAGCGCCTCACCGATTTGTTGTCCGTAACCAACATTGCATTTTGGCACACGTGAAGTGATAGATATTTATAAACCGGTGCGGATGGGGATATACAAAATCTTTTCGGCAGTGATATATAATGTGAACTGTGTGATATATTTTAATACTTTAGTGACTTTTATATTATATATTGCTTTCATTTTTGCACATCCCCATTATTTTTATAAATATATTTATAGCACAAACGGCGCCTCTTAATAAGTGTCTGCTTGCTTCAGATTGACAGCTACCTAGGAATTTACGTCTACGGCGAATAATTCCCAATACTAATAGGCTCATTATAAAGACCCTTCAAACGTAGCAATCTTTTTAATCCTCCAATTCTTTTTAATCCTTCAAATTTCCTCCAAATTTTTTTTACAAAAATCCGGCCCGTTATTTACTGTTCCGTGTGCCTAATATACATACAGGGTGACAATTTGAAAACTTACCCCCCCTCCCCCCATATCTTAGTAAATAAACGAGATATTTAAAAAAATCAAAATCCGTTTCGGTAATTCGGAGGGGGATTGGCACCGCCCTCCAACCCTCTGCGCCCCAGCCACCCCAACTTTTAAATCTTAAACCGTGACAACAGAGAGTTATTGAAATACTAAAGAGAAAAAAAAACAAATGCGTTAGAATCAAAATGTTCCTCTACATGAGCGCAAAAGAAAGATGGCACTATATTCTATTTGGATCTTTGAAAATCGTATACGAAAGAACGATGGCGATCGAAATTAAATTAGCTTACCTCAATTTCTTGAGTTTGGTCTTCGATCACATTTTGATGTTGTTTCAGACTAGTTTCCAATTCCTTATTCCTCTCCAAGAGCGTTTTACCCAATTCCGCGGCCAATTGCAGATCTGGAAATAAAGCGATTATTCATTTCTGTTAATTAATGGCTTACAATTAGGTTTGTATGAGGCATTCGTTGTAACTTGCCTAAATGAAAATTATAAAATCAATTTGAGAATGAGATTAGTAGCAATCATGCTGTATGTCTTTATTAGGTACCTATATTTCGTGGTACCTATGTAATTATAAACTTTCATCGTGTACAAAATTTAATAGACGCCTTATAAACAAGCATACAATTACGGCTTCCACTCCTGAGATAATAAAATATTAAAGAAAGTGAGGGTACTCGTTCAAATACCGTACACGCAATCAAAGGCGAGCGGCAAGAAGTAAAGTGTTTATGTCGCAACGAAATATTAGACATAATTAGTATAGATATACAAACACTTATATAAGAAGACAAATGTACTAACCATAATAGAATTATAGGCCGTTTCCTAGACCTGATTTAAAATACTTATATAACCGAACGGTAATTAAAACGAGCAAATTAATATTCAAATCAAACTCCATGGTCATTCGGATCATTTTTATCAAACAAACGTCAATTACAACAAAAACGTAAGTAGGTATAAATATATTCATGTAAGGACGTTATTTACATTAATTAATTAAAGTAAATATAGAATTAGGGGATACCTTTATAGTAAGTATAGATACATTCCGTTGGTAATGTATCTAAAGCACAAGTATTATCTGCTCATATTTTAAATATCAATACGTTTTGGTTTTTGAGTTACTTTCGAGCTTAGTTTTAACATCACAGTTTACTTTGACCACAGGTTTTAAAGGATTTGATCTCTTACGGAAATGGCGAATCCAGAAGGAAATTATTGTGTACCTACTATAACAAAGCTATGCAACTTAATATTAGCACAGACAAAATACTAATCTGTGATATTAGGTACGAGGAGACGCAATGAATTTATTATAGCGAAGAGATTTTCTGTTATTGCTGTGGTAGAAATAATCATCTCGCATCTCGGTGTTTGTATCGCAACGCAAGATGTTTTGTGTGTAAACAGAAAGGTCACTTAAAATTTGTTTGTCCCCAAGATAAGGAGAAAATGAAACAAGGCAAATACTCAGCAAGGAGAAATCATTTTGTGGATGCCGACGATCAGGAAACGACCTGCACTGAATGAAATGCAGTTTTTTTTAGCCTGTCGGACGAGCACAGCATTGAGGAACCCATTAAAGTTTCTCTTAAGGTAGAAAATATTGACCTGGAAATGGAATTGGATACGGGATCAGGAATTTCTGTGGTGTCTTCTTCAGTCCACAAGAAATTGTTTCCGTCAAAGGAAATTTTAAGTAGGTACCACACTTAAGTTAAAATTATATACGGGCGATTATTTAAAACCTCAAGGGTACATCTTCGTGAATGTGTGTTAACATGGGGTTGAAAAAGTGTTAAAATTGTACATCGTTATTTTTATAATCTTGTTTTTTTAATGTGTAGTATTAAGGGTGGGGGTGTGCAATACTGTATGGTAATCTTGTATTTGTTTAAAATAAACAGTTTGATTTCAGCGTGTGTCTTGTTTGGTTGCGCATACGTTACAAAAACTAAATTAAAATGTCATTCGTCATTGTGGTTAATAATTTATGTCAAATGAAAATCGCATTTATATAGTAAATACTATTCATAATTACGCTATAAAGTTAATGACGTGCGACGAGAATTGCGAATATAATTTATTCGCCCAACCTATCAATACTAATTCCATGTTTACGCATGGAACCAATACCCATGTAGCGTATCCGAGAGCTTTTAATTTTCAAAAAAAAATTGGTCGTTGTTACGTTTCTAAAGCAAGTTTACTTTAATTTAATAACCGCAATTAATATCTGCATCCGTATCACCTACTACCCCAAAATGCTTGCTATACTATAAGGGGTGTACAGATATAAATATACAAAAACAAGCAGCAACTCTTGTACAGATAAAGTGCATTTTTAAACCGAAATAGTTTAGTCGGACGGGCGGACAAAACGCAAACAATAGCACATTTTTTTAATTCTTAAACAAAAATTTACCCACAATATTTTCAACGACAAGCCCCGTTTAGATTATGTTAGGTAGGTTTATCTATTTATTTATTTTTGGGTTGATTTGATACCAATTTATAGTAATAGTTCGGATGCCGATAAGCCAAAAAATAAATTTTGGATTATGGACGGACCATTATCATCCGGTGGATGTAAATGGATTAATTTTTTCTTACAACGGTCGCGAATATTCAGGGCCGTCGAGAGCTACAGCGGAGCCCGGTCATCTTTAAGCGCCCGGGACCCATTATGTCATGTATTATTCATAAGACTAAAGGAATAACTTTATTTGTAAATGTAAGTAACGTATGGGATGTACAAAAACCAGTAATAGATCAAATACATGACTCTAAGACAGGCACCCCCGGTCAAAAACCCCTATCCATTAACCCCTGGACAGTAAATCCCGCGCACTTGAAAAATATACCTCGAAACATTGGAAAAGTAAGAAAAATAACCTAAACCTTGGAATTTCTTAAAAATGTTGTACGAGTTTGCTTAAAAGATAAAAGAATCCGCATGGGAGTGTAAATCATCAAACTGTATAACTAATTATTTTCATTGTTTTGTTACCTCGAATAGATTTTGTTTTGTTTTTTTTTTAAATTCATCACAGTCTACTTGATTAAAATATAAAAACCGTTGATATAACTGGTATCTTATTTTCAATCTTATACTATAATAGCTCGTTGAAAAGAGAATTAAATAATCTATCAAATAATCTAAAAATCCAATATGGCGCCTATTTAACTTTAGGAAGTTGGTAAATGTTCCTCAAAAGTAGCCATTTTGAATTTTTTTTAAACATCAATTCTGAATGAAGCGTATCAAATACAGTAACTTTTATATAAAACTTCCTAGCGTTAGCTGCTACACTGGGTAGATTTTTAAGGGGTGAAAACCCCAAAATTTTGAAAGTGCAACTCCTGTCGAGTTTCCCCTTATTATAAAAGTACTTAAACAAAAAAAGCACATCCCCATAAGTCTTTTTCCCTCATCAAGAGTACACTTTAAAAAAAGTTGAGCTGTTCCTGTCCAACTGGAGTTTTTAAATCAGCTGGTATTCGCAACTTCGCCTTCGGTTCTCCTGTTAGCAACAATGCAAAGTTTGTTATTGTTTGAGGCAGACAACTATGGAGTAGGTAAAGAAAGGAAAAGGGTAATGATACACACAAATGAGCAAGTTGACAACCGTTCCTTCGATTTTTATGTCGCAAACAAAACGAAATTTTTAAACGTTGTAGTAGTGTAGTTTTAATAATGATTGAGCATTTATTGTCTCTACGGAAAAATGAGAAGTTTGTTTGCCAAACGACACTCATCTTTCCTTGTAACTTTTGTTAGTGTTTTTTATAATAATAATAACAATGCCTTTATAGCATGGGCGAAAAAAGTATATACCGGGTGGTGCGCGGTAAGTAGAAACAGGGATTTAACATGGGAAATTAGTTTTAAGCAATATCCTGCTCTCCTGTACATTTTACAGAAAAAACTGTAGAGTTTAAAGTTGTTCAGAATTAAAAGACGCATACAAAACTGTTTTTACATGTTTTATTAAGCTTTTGGTGTACCCGCAAATTAAAAAATAAATTTCAACATTTCTGTTATTGGTAGCAATTCATAAAACAACAAAAGTCATGGCTATTGCTACTAATAACAGAAATGTTGAAATTTATTTTTTCTATTTCGGTGTCACAATGATGATTTTGTACAACTGTTTTCGGCCGAAAACAGTTGTACAAAGACAGTGATTATAGTCGCTTTTTTTTGGTAACTCATCTCTTAAGTTGGCAGTTACTAGTTAGTACAAGTAGGTACTTCGTTGGGTACTTCCATATTTGAACTTCAAAATGTCAGTCTTACTACGCTGCCAACCTAAAACTTAACGGCATAAAAAGTGTTCCCAACATAAAACATGTTAGTTCTAATGTTCCCTATAGTTTCTGATAATGATTTTTTTAATTAAATTAAAGCACCGAAATAGAAAAATAGTATGAAAAACGCGTGTTACAATGCTTTATTGTAATACTCCTATCTTGCGGACACTCGTGGCTACGCTTCGCGTCGCCACTCGTGCCACAAGATAGTCGTATTACAATAGATCGCATTGTAACACTTGTCTTTCAATATACTATTTTACTACTCCAAATATTGAATGTTAAGCCACTTTTCATAAGCGAATAGTTTGTTTTTAAACCGAGCACTTGTAAACTGTTTTACGATGTCTGGTACCTCTCATTGTAGATTTTTACTATATAATTGCGGGTACTGATATCGCTCTCGAGTTAAGTTTCCAAACGCAGAGTTCAAATGCCCTTATATGCACTCGCGATACAATAGCATACGAGTTTTTTTTATACGTTCGTTCGCGATAACGGGTACGTAACATCCTCGTGCGTGTAACGAATTTATTCGTGGGTGAAAATCGACTACTTTTTACAATGTGGCTGAGATACTGAAACATCTCGGTGCCTTTTAGCAAATGACGTATCTATATGTCAGTGCCTGTCTTGTCGAAATTAATTAAGTTGCGCCTCTTTATATTTATCACTCAACGATTAAATATGAGCCAGACTCTCGCTATCCTGAGAAAAGTTTTTCGCAGCCTGTTGCTCCCCAAATTAACTTTGAGGATTCATAATGGCACCACTGGAAAGAAGATTTTTTTCTCATCTAACTAAATGCGAATTAGTTAAAGTTTTATTTGTATTTTCTCATTACTTTATCAAAAATTCCTAAAATAAAATGAACTCAGAAAATCATGTAGCCATGACCCGTAGATTTAAGCATCCGGAATTGTCAAATTGAAAAACTATCTGTCGAATTGTCGATATTGACGGAATAGAAGTTTGATTAAATTTACACGGAAAATAAATGTCGCACTCTGCGGTACCACTATTACCGCCGTAAACGTTTTTTACAATAAACACTTTTTCCACAATGGAATACATCGTATGTTTTGTAGTAAGTACAAATTAAAATTATTGACAGTTATCGTATCTTGTTTTCATGACTACTGTGATTTTTTAAAACAAGTAATTTCGCAAAATAATAATTAAACATGCAAATAGACGTTAATAATTTGCATATCATAAAACGCGGAAAAAAATCTTCTTTCCAATGGTGGCAGTATGAGAGGAGCAACAATCTGCGAAAAACTGTTTTCCCATGTTAATTCCCTATATTCGGTTTGAAAGTATTCACCCGGTAGGCGGTATGTACAAAATACTTTCAAAATTGATGGATACAATTCTTGAACAATTTGTATACTTAAATTGATTCGGTTTGTATTAACTATCTAACTTCGTAGGGTGGTGCACACGTAAAACTTTATGTACCTAACCTATTGGCTGAATAAAAACGATAATTGGAGGATGGTTTTCTACTGTCTCGATAAGGGATTTTGTTCTCGTTGAAAAGATAAAGAAGATAAATCTAATAATAGCAGGTTTTAGATAAGCTATTATGGTGTGTTATGAGGACTTTATTGTAGTAGTCCTTACAAGAACTTCTAATGAATGTCCATTACCAAATAAGTGAAGCAAACATTCCCATAATTACCAGTGGCAAATTTCGACCTTTAAATCGAATTGCTCAATCACGATTGCAAACCGGAAAGTGAAATTTCCGCCACGAAAAATAAACCCAAATTTTGTTGCATTTTAATTACGAAAAAAACATGCGGTGATTTGCACGTTTAAATGATTTATTCATAAATGTAAATCGAAATTGTAGTATTAATAACGGACGGAAATTAGCGGTAATTAAAATAATATTGTACAGTGCGTGCACGACTTTGAAATTTCTGCCATTATTCTATTCAAGATCAGCATTCATCGTATGTACAAACAATGGCGTAATTACTTTAAATCGAGCGCCGTGAGCGAAAGAAGACGTCCTAATTAACGGCAATGATCCTGCACCGAATATGAAATGGTATCAGCTTCCAAATTGAATTTTGCGGCAAAATTCAAACAAGACGATCGCGACAACACTTTCCGATTTTAATTGGTAGCCGTTTCGTTTGAAAGTTTTAGCTTCGCATAAAATACTGCACATTGGCGTGCTTCCTTCTTTTAAAACAATGACTGGTCAACTGTGCCATCGGAGGCAGAAGAAAACAGAAAATCGAGAACATTTTTCCCTTTCAAAAAAGTAGATGGTAATTTAACTAATAATCCGGTATAAACATGCAATTTGCCATGCTTTACTAGCAATTTTTCACTTTATCGGACCATTAATTTACCTAAAAATGTGCTCTTTTCTAAAATTCCTCGCGAGAATGCCATCAACCATATTAATTAACATTTGCCAAGGGCTATTTGGAGATAACGGAACCGTGGCGAGGATGCCTAACATTTTCCAAAACCTACCTTGCGTTCCTTGCAGGCACTCGAGCTCGATGGAGTAATCCCAACACTCCAGCGAACTAAAATTTTGCAACGAGTCCGGATCCTTCTCACTCATTTTCAGCTAACGCGCCAGTAACTTACATTATTACCCGCACAAATTCTTTATTAAAAAGCACAAATTTATTACCTAGGCGCAATAAGAGAACGTTGCCGTCCTCACTTGAACATTGCTCTCCCACAACTGACGTACCTTCTACAAATACGACAATTACCTCTCTACCCAACTCCAATTTGTGTAAGACCTTCACTCGCGAAGATAACAATATTTATTTATTTATAAAACCTGAATGGACGAACTCGAAGAAGGTCGTCCAAAAAGCAATGGGCATATACGTTGACGTAACGATTCGAATTCGTTCCTGATCCGTTTTTCCAACATCTCAGCACGGGAATTATAACACGCTGTTTTGAATAGTTGTTCACGATGAGAATTATGATTTCGGTGATATATGGGATAATTTGTCTCGATTTAAGTTACAGTAGGAAGTAAAGTTTCCGATGAAAGGTCCGTATCCTTAGTAGAGGTGTCGACACTTCGAGATATACCTTTTTTCATCGAACAAAAACGTGAATGAATACCTTGAGAAAATGATAACGGGTGATCAAAAATGAGTTGCTGTCGAGTCGCCTTTGGAAGTTCAAATTAAATAGGATTTTCCATGTAAACAAAAATTCCAGAGGTGATTCGACAGCAACTCATTTTTGATCGCCCGTTAGTTAATCAGTAGAGAAGAGAGTAGGTGAGGAACACTTGGCCACAGTTTCAAATTTTAAACCCACACAAGATTTCGAAACATTATTCAATCGACCTAAGGAAACCGTAGCGTTCGCATTTAAAAAAGAGAACCCATTATATACAACAGAGCCTGAGAATTTTAAAGTTCACATCATTTGCTACATTAACCTTGCATTAATTGCAACAAGGCCATTTCGCATACTCGGCCCATTATAATTAATGTTTCGGCTCCCAGATCACAATTGGGAATTTCACAAAATTTACGTCCTCTTTCAATCTCTTATTTGTTGATTCAATAGGCATGTAATTAGTTGCGATCATTGAGCCTAGGTACGCTCCCATATTATTGCGAACCGTGTGACAAAGCAAACGGAAATAAACTAATTGCTTTTTACTCGGTTGGAAATTTCAATTTTTCACTATTACAAATCATTCAAATCGGAAATTGTTGTTTTATAATAATGATTAACGTGCGAAAACAGGAATAAAGGTACACTGTGGGCCAAATTTATTTAGAACTCTTTTTGACCTTAATAACTTTTTTAGATTGCAACGAAGTTACTTTTTTTGAAGTTTCATACCCGAAGTTATGGCTATTTGTGAAGTGCTGAACACTTCCGTTCCGCCGTTTCTTGCTGCCATCCGTTTATCTTGTAAATTACCGCTGAATGTAATTATACCGTTTAATTTGTTTTTGTTTGATAACGATGCCACCCTTCGTGCGCGAGTTTCCGGAGAAAGTTCGTTCCAAAATTTCTTCCGATCATGATGACATTTAAACTGTACATATTGTAGCGAGTATTCCAGACATTGATGAAGTCGGTAAAAGATCAGTCACCGGCGATAAGGGATGAAAGCGAATGGGACACATTTTTTCCTTGAAATATGATAGGCGATTTTTCTAGAGACTTTGACTTGGCATCACTAAAGGCATGTGTATGCAAAATCTGAGACCAATTGTTTGTCGCATATGTAAAAGTTATGCACGTCTTACTTTCAAGAACGACATCTCAGGAAACAATTTTTGGGGAGGCCCCCCCTTAAGACATTGAAATTCGATGGCGATCTGGCACACCTTCAAGGTATTCATATTCATTTATTTCCCGTTCAGATAAAATTAGTAAGGTATAGGCTACCATTGCAAAAAATTCCAGGATTCTAGGACCATTCCCCTAAAAATAGTTCAACACGGCAGAAATGGGTCCGGACGGACAAAACGCAAGCAAGCACTTTTCTTTAATACTTAAAGAAATGCGCCTAAAAGACAGAGCTTTCAGGTATTTTTTATATAAATAAATAAATAAATAAGTCGCGAGAGGCCTGCGCGAAATATTTTCACCCTTTACCGCTACATTCTATACTAAACACTGAGAGCAGTTTGTAAATGACAACCCCATCTAGAATGAGCAATTTTATGTAAGTAGGTACTCAGCCCTCAGGTTCAGACTGCTCTTTCTGAACAAAACCTAAGTACATAGTATGGTGGTTTCAGTTACCTACTCTTTGAAATCATATATTTCAGATGCCCGATATACGAAGGCTATTTTCTTCGATCTAATTCCAATAATTTGTTTGTTATATTTTGAAATTTACGGCGTTAGTAAGATAAAAGAAAACAAATGGATACAAGAACAGAAAAACACAAGGAAACGTGTGTAGTTTCTAGAATTATTTCACCCAAGGAAAAAACCTAATTATTTCCGCTATTACCCGTCGGCAAGACATTAGTAATTTCCATAGATGAAGTAAATGAAAATGTAATCGCGCGATTCAAATGAACTCTAATTAGGTCACTTAATGTGTGCGTATCGTCTCTAAATGTTAAAAGAAGATCGATTTATATAACAATTTTAAGATAAAAGACCAAATCGTGCGTAATTATTATTATTATATTGTTACCTCACAGCCTTGTCACGATCTTACAAATTACAATGAAAGTGAAATACGATTTGTTATAATAAATCCGTGGTTTGGAATATTGAAAAAGTTTCCAATGGGCGAATTGTTTTACAATCATGCGATGGTAACGATCCCGGTTGCGGTCGTAGAGAACTTGGACTTTTTTGCGAAAACGAAGCGAGTAAAAGTGAAAATTTGATACGTCTCTTACTGCGAGTAGTGTGAAATTTCGATTGTATTCAAAAATCTCTTCTCATCATCGTCGAATTACCATAAAGATATCTGTAACAAATTTTTTCCGCTCATTTCACTTTCTTCGCAATATTTTATGTGTCTCGGCGGTGAAATCGGTTAGGTATATGTTGATTAATAAAGTACGAGTGATGAATGTCGAGTGGAGGTGCAGATAATGAAAAAATTTGAAAACGGGCACCGGAAGACCGCTTATGGCGGTGAAACTGACGGCGGCGTTTCAGTAATTCGCCGTTTTGATCGAAATTTATTATCAATTGTTTACTTTCTTTCGTCTTCGGCGGCAGTCCTTTTCGATAACATGTAATTTAGTCACGAATTTTATCGATCTACTTTTCTAATCGGAGTCACCTTTCATTTCAATTCAGCTTTTAACAGGTAAGTACTTTCCCTTGCACCAAATCTGGATTCGATTCGACCACTTTTCAATCACGGTGTAAGTAGCCCTAATAGATTGCTATACACGCGCCAATCTTTCAATATAAAAGATGAACGATAAACTAAATGGTTGATTTAAAGAACAATTGATTATTGATGTTTCTTTTGCCGAATCATATCATACATCGGTAATAGTTATTTACATTATTAGTGCGGGAACAGTTATTTTGAAGATGAGCGCGAAGTTTGGCGGCGCGAGTGCGCAACGCGCACGAGCGACGCATCTCGTGTGAATCAAGCAAATACTGTTCACGTACGTAACATGTATTCTATTTTTTGCACGGATTAGTTAAATCGAATTTATATAAATTCAAATCCTTTTCGCGAGATTTTTGCGACATTATAATTCTATTGAAAAAATCAAGTCCTCTATGCTGATAAAGTAGAAATTTAAAATGTCAATTTATTGTTCAAAACTTCTGGTTTAAGCTTATTTTTGCCCGTGTACTACAGGGAATGATGTAAAGTGTATTTATATTTTCTTTTTTACTCTTCCATCATGCTACTTATTAGTTCATGATCCGCAGTTAATAGATAATTTCGTTGAATTTTTAGGCACTAGTGCGCGAAAGTAGATAGTCAATTGTAAAATTGACGTTCCCGACGTTCGTGTTTGATTGGGAAAACGCGATTTAGAACGAAGGAGTGCAAAAAAAGAGATTAAGCGTGCCATAGGGAAATTTACATTGCATCAATTGTTTCAGTCATAGCTTCCTCGCGAATCATCTGCCACAGTACTGTAGAAATTGTTTCTAAATCAACAAATTTATTCAAATCAGATATAAACGTATTAGATTACAAACGGTGCTCGAATTGTTTTCCACCGGCAACTAAACAATACCCGATACTCGGCACTGAATAGCTATAGCATTACCACTCGGTTACTGTGCCCTCTTGTACAAATTGTACTTACACCTTTCCGAGCGGGGGAATACATGTTTCATGCTACGTTGATGCACTGTCATAGTTACATAACTAAGCGCAAGGCCAAGATTTGAGAACAATTTGCGCAATGTAAATTTCCCTATGGCCCATTTTAAATAACTCGACGCCTTCACATTGCCTTATGCTAGGTGTGTATTTTCTATGACCGATCTTTAAAAAAAACACCCTGTATAATGTAAAAACGGACTGCAATCAAAATTAGAACGTCCAGGAACTGGAACACAGTCTGTGGAAAAAAAATTCCTTTAAGTGACGGTCTCCACAAAAAAACACGTTAAAGGATCAAGACCGAGATCCCACCAGTTTCATACAATGAAACCTTCTAGTTATTAACATAATAACTAGAAAAGTAAGTACGGTTTATAAAAAAACAGCGTGTTTGTAGAACGAAAATTTACTTCTTCCGAAACCCGTGGAATGACGTTCTCGGCAGGGGCGGACTGGCCCGGGGGGGCGGGTGGCGATTGCCACCTGGCCTGTACGTCATAATGGCCCGTTGGAAATTTATAAGTATGTGCTGTATTTAGTTTCTTGCACTATTAATAAATTATTAACACGTTTCTCTAATTGGGGTTGATGTTAGGTTGTTAAAAAATTCTGTTTTAATTGAAGTGTTTTACAATGAATTATCATTTTTTGTCGTAGCATGAAAGTGCTGAAATACAATGATAGGCGACGCGCCTCGTTTGGATTGTATATTTTGTTACTTTTAATTATCAGCTGCAATTTAAAAAAAAACTGTATTGTAATTGATTTCCGAAAAAGGAGTACCTTAAAATGAAGCAAAAAATGTTTTTGTGGTGCACCGCAGAGCTACCCCCCCGCCACCTTCATTACTACACTAATACTTTAATGGCCCGTAACCTATGCAATTCCACCTGGCCCGCCCCTGACTAGAAACCAATTTCGAAAGAAAAT